ACTAACAGTGTCGGAGACTGTGTCGATAGATGAACCCACCGGTGGATACATGGAGATGTTAGAATACCGAAACTCGGATAGAGGGTATGTAATGGCCCTGGAAGACGAAAAAGCCATGAAGGTTATCTGGAAACGATGTTGCAAGGCACCACCCTCAAGCAGAAGGCGTACGGGACTTTAGCGTTGTCTGACATACAGGCAGAAACGATAGAGCAGTTGGTGAGCCTTCCATGGAAAGCAGTGGTATTAAGGTACTTCGAAGAAGAAATGAGGACTACGCCAAGAATACATGCTCTCGTGGCAGTGCCTTACGTAAGAACAGAGTTACAACTCAGGTTCGCCTGGTGCATGATGGGACTGACTCGCGAAGAATATGATTCAGAAGAAAGGAAGAGATCAAAAGAGGAGAAGGTTTTCCTTATGACGAACCTGAGGAATCTGATAGTCCAGGAGGGAGCAGCAGTAGCGTGTGCGAAGCGGAGAGACGCTCTCTGTTTCATTCAATTCCTGATAGAGCAGATTTCAGTACCTGCACTGAACACCTGTGTTAAAATGCTTAAGGAAGGCGATGAGCGAACGAAAGCCTTATTCTTGCTAGCACTGCTGGATATGCAGCAAAGTAAACCGATGAGGGTGAACATGAAAGAACCCGAGGAATTAGAACCCATGAAAAATATAGACGAAATCAGGAGATTCTCAAACAAGGAGCTGAGACTCACTAAAAAATCTATGGGAGCATTGCCCAAATCCAGTGAATACTGTGGACCGATCAAGAAGAAATCGTATAAGCTACGTATCCGGGATCATAGGGATAGCGTACAATCCTTTCCTGAGTGAAGACATACGCGATTGCTTCTTCGATTATGAGCAGGTGGTGTTGCTAAGATTCTGGACGTCCAGAATTGTAACGATCAAGAGCGTTAACAATCCACAGGCCAAATTGGGATTGGTCTTGGAGGAAGAGGTGACTGCACCTTCCGTATCAAAATCCGACAAAAGAGTGGAGTTTGGGTTGGGATTCTCAGATGAATTACTGAGAACGAGCTTGATGGCAGTGTGGGAATTGATGAGGCCATCATGGTGTCCTACCCAACGCTGACTCAACATTACGGGCAACACAAGACGTACAGAGGGAACTGAATGCAGACTGTAACCTGCGTGACCTCAACATCATAAATGATGTGATGATAACGGCCTCTAAGAGCAACGGAGAAGATAAAGTGGAGTTGCCTGGCTGGGGACCAGAAGACTGGGTCAAAGCTGGTAGCTGTCTGGCGGAAGTTTGTGGACTGGAGGGTCACGTTTGTGGAAGTCTGGACTGTGTGAAGACCCTGGAGAAACAACACAAGCAATTGACGGTTTTGTTTGGAAACGTAGTGATGAAAGCGAGAACAGAAACGGAACTGATAGCAGATTGCCATGGAGGAACCGATGTGAATCTAGTGACTGCACTAGGATGCTACAGCATGTTTGGTTCTTTAGAGTCACTATTGAATCTGGAACAGAAACATGAGATGGTCACAGCCATCAGCGTAGAAGTATTCCCAGGAGTTCTGCAGACTGAGCAGAAATACATAGGAAATTGGAGGGAAGCAATCGAGACGGAAATGAACATTAGACACAGTGAGACTTATTGTAGACCATCAGGAGCACGATATTTGGTGGGTTCAACATTGGTTTCAATGTGCAAGAGCAGATACCCTGTACATTTCGTAGCTGTGGACATAAAGAGTACGAGAACGATCGTGGATCAAGCCTTCTCAGTGCCGAAGTGTGTGAGACTGGCGAGAATGTCCGAGAAGTCATACGAGTTGCTATGTAAGATGTTCTCAGCAGTTCCAGAGAGAACCAAGGAAGAATTGGAGTCAATACTAGGAAAGAAGTTCATGGGATATGTGAGCGGGAACTTCAGTGACTTTGAGAGAGAGAAACAGAGAGGATCAACCGTTACAGACCTGGTGGTATCCCAAGCGTAGTAAACTGATGTTGATCTGGGACTCTGGAGAGCTGCTCTCCATGGGTTTACCAGATTCATCACAGCATATAGCAATAGTGATAGTGGGAGTTATGATGGCGATACGATGGCTGGAAGCTCATGTGAGAGAAAAAATAACAGACAGGAGGCACCGACGAGAGAACAGTTGCGGAAGTTAGATTGTCTAAAAGATTTAGATCTTTTTGAGACAATGTGCAAAATTGTAAACATTCCGATGGAAGTGAAGAAGATATGGGCAAGGAAACGATTGATGCCATGGTTCAGAGCTAACATGACTGCATGGTTGTATGAATATGCGAAAAAGCATATGTCGAAGCATGGCAGGGTGTACAGTGAATGTCAGCTGGACATTGGAGCAGGTTCTTTCAAGCGAGCTCTCGTGACTCATCGGAATGCAGTGACTACCGCTGTGAAAAGAATTTCCAGGACGAGTGAGCGTAGTGGAAAGGAGAAGGCAGAGATGTTAAAGGAGGATTTGGAGAGAAACGTGACGTTGTGTCTCCACAACAGCTTCTGTAGGAACAGCGAATCTAACTTGGATCCCCTACCTTGCTGCAAACAGAGGGTAGAAGAGCAGAAGTGTTGGAGGACGGCTTCCAGCAGCGTCAGGATAGCTAAGGACGTGTTGCAAGATACGGAGGCTGAGAGTGCAGAGTCAGTATCACAGGAGGAAGAAATGGAGCATTGACGAATGACCGAAAAGCAAGATGAAAAAATAGACGAAATTAGAAGAATTTAGAAGTTTTAGAACTTCTAAATGACAAAAAAAGAAGAAAACAAAGGAGTGATGAAGAAAAATTTAAAACTCAGAATTATTTTATGTGTGCGAAAAAAATCAAGTGAGAAACCAAGCAACCAAGTTGTAATTGAAAACTGAAACATTTAGTTGAGTTTTGAAATTGTTGCATTTATAAATTTGCATTTTGATTTTAGTTGAGTGGCTTTAGAGACACTCACTTACTATTTATTTAGAAAGGCTTAAGTGAAGGAGTATATTTAAATATTCCAGCCTACGTGACTGTTTTTAATCAGCTAGGAGAACTGATCACTTTGTGGTGACATGGAAGGCTTGGGTAATCTCTCGAAGAGGGAGATTGTTTCATTGTTCTTTCTAACCACAGAGTTTCTTAGTTTTAATATTCAGGACAATAACAAGCAAGATTTCCGAAGGGAAGAAGCATAGTAGTATAATTTTAGCTTGTTGGTTGGCAGGACTGTCCTGCAAGCCAACACCTTTTAAATCTAAGAGAAAAAGTTTTAATCGGGACATTGACATTGGAAGTCAGAAAATATGTTTTATCTTAGGTCATATCCTCAATGTGCAGGTTGATGAAAGAATTTGAAGGCTATAGTGATGTAGTATGATGCCATTTATATTCTGCAGTGAGTCGATGTGACGTGGATAAAAGTAATTTCGTGCATTTTGTAAATTCTGTTCGATGACACTGTATCTATTTTACGAACATTGCGTGATTCAATGAAGACACTGACCGGACTGTCCGGGGAGTATGTGACCTTCGACCAGAATATGCCAAAATGCAATCTCTGCAGAATTCGAAGTTTTAGCAGCGAGCCTTCCGGATTAGTGATTTTTAAGGATTAAGAACGTTATTTGAACGCTTGAACAAAACGTTAAGGTTGAAGGATTCGGAAATTACTAATTTTTAAATTTTTGAAGTGATAGCGTAACATTTCCGAGAAACGTCCGAAACGGCCATTTTGGCAGAAAAGCTAAAAAGCAACAGAATAACGATAGTCGCACTGACGAAAACAACGAAGATTGTGAGAGAAAAACAACAGAGAAAAACAGAAGAACGTTCCGAGTTGCAACTATTGTGTCGCTACAATAGTTGCAAGGCCGTTGCAGACAACGGTGAAGAGTGGAGGACAGCCTTCCGGATTACGAAGAAATCGAGATTAACGAGCTTGATTCAATGGATTCAAGAATCAGGAAGGGTTTCGGGACTGAAACTTTTATCCTGTTATAAAAACTTTTAGCTTCTTGTCATGTCCTGAATTGAATTTAATTAACAACTGGATTCATTCTGATAAGGATGAGAAGCTAGGAGTTGGGGGAAAGGGTTGATCCATCTTCAATGGAGATGATGATTTTTATCTACTGAACAAAAACAATAATAATCCAATGAGTAGTAGCCCTGTTTTTAGGAGTGACCTCGTGGTCTGGGGATACTGAGACCCAGCCATGAGCTCACTATTTCTGCATGTAATTAAGTTAATTTGAGTGTTTTGACCGAAGCCGAAAGCAGTAACGTTTTTTGTCGACCCGATGTTAGAAAAGACCACCGAAAAGTACTGGCTTGGTAGAGACGGTGAAAAGCATATGAAGCTCTGTTTAGACGTTAGCCAGTCGTCTTAGGACTTAGTTTTATTTTCCGTCGATATGTATCTTCCGGGCGAATGTTACAGTGGCGCTGCTCCAACAGCCACGCGGACGATGCAGCGATTAGCCGAAAAACTAAGTGAAAAAAGACAAGAAAGCTATCCAGAATCTATAAACTACATAAGAACTAAAATAAGCTTCGCGCTCCTGAGGAACTCTATACTTTGTATAAGGGGGTGCAGATCGCTAGGCAAAGTTCAATTTATCGAGAACTCCATAAGCGCTATTGTAGAGGAAGGACGGCTAAGATAAATTAACATTACGACGATGCATTTAATGCTGATCTATCACTTCATTGCTGATATATGCATTTTTATATCGCTGGTATGGCCCTATCGAGCTTGTGGATTTACCGTAATTAAACGGTAGGGACCCTTTTGTAATTTCGTTTTTTCTTACAATAGATTATTTGCTATAGGTCGACCGAAGAAAATTTGGCAAAAATCTAATAAATGTTCAAAAGTTTCGTCAAGTTTGGCATTTGAAGTGTGAAAATGTAATAATTTTGAGTAAAAGCTAGTGTACGCCAGGATTGTTAATCAATTAGTACAGCTAAAAACGCTTGAGTTGTTTTTGGTTGGTTCTGCTTGATTTATGAAATATATTTTTCAGAATTATGTTTTTGCCAATTTTCTTAGCTTCAATCGGAGCAGCTTTATGTTGTGATGTCAAAAATTGTGCTTATATGGTATCTAAATGTATTTTCCTTGGTGCTTGTAATTGCACAATAGAACTGGAGGATTGCAGTTGTTGCGACGAGTGCAAAACATGCTTGGGCAGAAGTTTATTTACGCAGTGCGCTTGCCAATGCCTTGGCAAAAATTGTTTGGGTTCAGATGCAATGTCCGAAAACACTGTTCACCTTTTGGATATGCCTATACCATCTTTGTTTGATGCACTAACTGAAACAAAGGGGCTGTATCCATGGATGCCCCAAAGTGTTCCACAGTTTTCGGCAATGACGAGGAAATATCCAAATGGTATTTTCTCTGAAAAACCGCAGAGTAAATGTCCAAGTGTCTTTTTTGATTCGTGTATGCCAATGTACAAATGCTCGTCTTCCTGTTCTTCAATGGGGTCGAGTGTCATGCGTTGGTTTCACAATGGATGCTGCAATTGTTTTGGAGGTGAAAGGTGTGACGACTTGGGCTCTGTTGTGCCTCAATGCCGCAATTGTGTTTCATAACTCATTGTTTATCTTTGAAAACTGTGATTTTTGTTTTTGAAACTGTTTGTCTGAGGACAAAATGTTAATTTTGTAAATATTTTGGACAGTCTGCTGTGAAAAATCTCTTAAGATATTTCATCAAAAGCTTATACGATTTGTTTTTTTTTGTAAATTCACAATCGATCGTTTTATCATTCGTAGTAATATACTTGGTACTACTATGATAGGCAGGTCCCTACAGAAAGTTAGACAGGTCCGATCAGGCAATTACACTGATTTCGTGCGTAATAATTTGAATTTCAAATAGTGGGTTAATTATACGCTTAAATATCTCGCGAAACACGAGTTAGAAAGTTTAATATGGAGTTATAATTGGCATACTGCTCATAGGAACCTAGCTCCTTGCTTCAACTTATTTTACCATTTCGGAGTCGCCAATTGGTTTAACTTATTAAAACTCAACTTTCAAATTTGCTGAGATGTTTTTATATTCTCACCTTCAGATGGTGACACGAACGATTCGCTGAAGAAGGGATTTTAAACGTTTAATTCATTTAACATTTACAAATATACAGTACGAGGAGATAATTCTAAGAGCAAATTGATTGAAATCATGAGCGGTTTTCTATGACGAGAAATAGAAAATATATTAGTGAAGGTCTTCAAAATGGAATACAAAATGGAGTAGTTCGCTAGCTTTCTCTGAGGGAAAAATTAGACGTTTTTATGTAAGTTTTACAGTCGTCAGCTTGGGCGTTCAACCTCGACCGTGCACTTCTGAGACACATTATACAAAATCGAGTAATGGCAATGCTCGGCCGGTTTCTAAGGCAGCATGGTGTGATATGACGTGGAATATCAAGATTTTCTGACAAAAGAGAGGCGGGTCGTTTCACTGGTGCTTGGGTGGCGACAGCTTAACCCTCCGATGTGGATAAAACTATTGGGCAAACGGGGCACTTTTTTCTGTTTCCAGACGTCGATATTGAATGTCGTCACTATTCGCTCTGCACAGTGGAATTAACACCCATACGTCAAACAGTGTTTTCTCAAGTCTCAAACAGATTTTGAACCTCGTGTCAAGGGTCGGTCTACTTCCTGTAGTTGAGTTTCCACTGCTGCATCATAGCAAGAGCGTCATAAGACGTTGACGAACAGGTCAATAGAGTGTTCACCATTGAAATCTTTTGCGTAAGCACACGTGACAGGTATGTGATCAGGGGCAAATCCGCATTTCAGAGAAAAAGTATCACGAAAGTTTGACTTGGTTAGTAAGAACACTTCTGATTCGATATGTGCCATTTTTTATCATGCAGAGGCACTATGTTCACTTTCTAGCTTCGCCATTTTCTTGAAATCGTTTGAGAACACTTCCAAAATCTTGCACAAGCGTCTCTTTGATTCTTCTTTAACACTTGATTACTCCTTTGTTGCAGGAGTAAGAGATTTTCCGTCGGTTTAGGCTTTCCGGAATTAACAGTTTCGGTTAGCGGATTAATGAAGGGTATCTAGTTTTCATGCTTCGTTATGAAGACTTGATTGGTAAAACCCAGGCCTCCTTGTAATATCGCTACTTTCAATAGTTCGTCAGATCTATTTCGCCAGGAGATTTTTTTGGTAGCAGAGCATTATCTATGAACGCTTAAATGGGCTCTTTCACTTCTGCCATGTCTGGTGACGTTCTCAGTAGTAAAATGTAATTAATTTGCATGTCATGGGATTGATTTCACGTGTTGTTTGATAAACCTCTGGTGTCCAATGACTGATCCAAGAACTCGGTGCCCATCTGTTATAATTTCTTCAATCTCGCATTCGGAGAGTAACTGAAGCTTTGTTCAACGGTAACGACTTTTTGTCACCATCTTTTAGCGCGTTATTGTTTTCAATTCCTGTTGCATCGTAGCAATTCATTATTGCTAACACCCTGGAATTTCAGTATCTTCGCTTATTGGCATGGCTGACAATGTAAAAAACTGCATACCTAACGGATCACCTTGTGTTGTGACTTCTTCCGTATAAAGAAAGTCGACGGGCAGTTGAGATGGTTCACAATAGATGTTTGCACAAATGGTGGAGAAACGAGGATATAGTACCTGAAGGCGTTTCGGCATCCACCAACAGCAGAGCTGCGCAATCAGGCTTGGCGAAAAACTCTATGATCACGTAATCAGCAGCTCGCAATCCAGCTTCATGGCCAGTTGGTAGTGGTTGCTTTCCCGCAAACCTGCCATCTTTTCGAGTGGTTTCAACTATCACTGAAGTTGCTAATAAGTCAGGAGCCAAAGATTGGGTACACAGCTTTCTCGCAGTCGTGGCTACAGATTGGCAGAGCGCACGCGAAGCTTGTTTGTGTTAAGAACCTCTTCTGTTGGACTGCATCCGTTGCGATGGGCCTGCTGCTCCCTTGAGTTGCAGCCTGATTTTAAGAACTTCCAGTTATGCTGTCGATAAACTCCTGATGAAAGACATGATTGTCTTCATGATATTCAACGAAAGCGTCTACCTTGAATACTGCGCTGTCGTAGATGAAGATCTAGTAGATGTTTTTCACTTTTTTTAGCTTTTTTTGTAGCTGTAGCCTATTTCCGCCAAGACCATCCGATGAATATGCGTTTCCAGCGCTCACTGTGCCTCATTTTATGTTGGTGACAAACGGTTTTGCAACATTTTCAGTTGCAATTATTGTTTTTCCAAAAACAATTGTTGTATCGCTGTACTCGCAGAGGTTCATCGATTCAGTTTTTGTACCGCAAATCAAGATATCTCAGACTTATTTTTGTCGGACGTTTACAAACGAGCCAAGGCAATTGCCTCATTGAGTGAATATTCAGAACTCGAGCCATTTTTTGCTAAAAAACTCTAGCAATCTACTCATTCTATGGAGGATTTCTAGAATGAGCACGCGCTCCAAGCTTCCACGAATCATTTTCATTTAAAACTTATTTAATAAGTTTAACAACAGTTAAGCATATTCGCTGAGGAAACACGACAAAATGTGTCGAAAATATACTGGAGCGTGCTACTGAAGGTATTTTTCCTTTTAATTGAAAATATAAATCTGATGAGAAGTCTTCGTCAGAGGAGCTGATGATTTTTAGGAGCTCGTTTATCTTAGTAGTAGCATATAGTTTATCCTTTTCAGAGCTTCTCATGTCATTGGACACACAGCAGATTCTGTGTCAGTGTTGTATTTGGAGTGTGGAATATCAAGACCAACTACTGCCCTCATGTGAAGACAGTTTCGCAGTGAGACAGTACAAGGATAAAAGAAACACAGTATCAGATACGCCTCTTACATTCCACAGAAATACTGCTCTATTAGATAGAGGTTGTCTGGTAACTCCTTCCAGTAAACGGTCGGACAAGTTAGTAATTATGCTGCATTTTTTTGCCTCCAGCTTCGATCTAAAATGCCACAATAACAACAACTTAAAAAAAACAAGAATTTTGTCCCTTTTACGTTCCTCATCTTGCGCTAAGATAAGTTTTATGCAGCCAGTGTTATTGATTTAGAATGATTGTATGAAATTGAATTGTGGCTAAAAACTGTTTTTGGGTAACTACTCTCCATGCCGAAATGCATTAGAGTAGGACAAAGTGAACAAAAATGCACACATGGTAGGGTAAGTTGAGTCGTAAGCCTCAGCTCCGAAGTTAGAACATATGGTTAGTTTTCAGGGAACTGTTCATTCATTGCCCAATTAGTAGAACAGCGACCTTGTAATTGCGAAGTTTCAAAAAGTTTATGCCTGCTGTAGATTGAAGTTCAGCCTCCCTGAGTTCGAGACCCTTCTTCGCAACCAGGAAGTGGCCTCTTTTCAGTGGAGAACGAGACTCTATGTCATCATCATCTTCGTCAACCGTACTTTTGCACATGTCTACGTCAACTCAGAAACAGGAAAGTACAGTTTTTTGACCTCTCAAAAGATCCAGTGATACATCAGATTAAAGCCTTTACAGTCGTAATTCGGATTGCAAAAAGAAACTTCAAAGAGGTGTTTAGAAAAACCAGTCTGAATGTATTTTTTTGCTATTCAGACTAATTTAGCTCATGGCTGATTAAAAAAGGGTATGTGTGATATTTTATTTTGTTTTACCTTATGTAATTCGAAGCTGAATATCGGTTTTCGGGCCTATATGTTATTTTAAAGAACATCAATTTTCCATTTTATTTTCTAAAAGTCTTGCAGCGTTGCCGTGGTTGGAACATTCAGTGAAGGGGTATGCGATTCTTTCAAAATATTAATGCATTGAATTGATTGTCTAGAATTGAAATGAAATCTCGTCAAGCTCCATAGAAATTTCAATAATTTAAGCTAATTAGATGCAGTGTTTTTTTCGACATCTTGGAGGTCCAAAACAACGTGTTTCCACAAATGTATTTCATTAAAATGTGCTCGCAATTCTGCTTATGTTTTTTACTTTGGTATCGAAAACATAAGCACAATTTGGTCCTTCAGTCATTTATTTGGTGCGAAAACATCTGATAAATTGTTCACGCCAAATTTTAGATTTTGATCTTTTGCTTTAAACTTTTAAATTCATTTGCTAAAAGCAAGGCAAATTACGCTCTCCAATTAAGAAAGTGAAATTGGCGCGACAAAAGATGCACTGAGTACTTTCGAAAGTGGTTTTTAATTTTAACAGTGGAATAATAAGCTTACCTATTGATCCAGTTTTTTCAAATTAGGTGAATTTAATCAAACAAATGTCAATCATATTTTTTTCTGAAAGTGAAAGCGCGTAGATATTTTTTGAACCTCGAAAGTTAAAAAACTGTCCAATCATTTCAGAGGCTTTTTGCGTTAATTGACACATTTCCAACTGGCTATTGGCTATTATGGTTTAACAAAATGTTTAAATTTGTGTTCTAGGAGACTTGGAGTTTATGTTCATAGACAACAGTTTACAAAATAAATTCACATCTGACGAAGAAATTAATGATGCAATCATATCGGAACAGGCACGAAATCAAAATCAATTGAAATCAATGAACAATAATTAAAACCCAGCTTAGTTTAGTCATTGAATTCCGAGCAGATAGTCAAGCCAACCCAAGAATCTGACCTCATAGTTCTGCCGTGCAAAGATTTTATTGCTGGTGTTCATCCAGATATGAGTTTATCGCTAATTTTAAGTGGGGTAATAAAGTTTCTGGTCAAAAAAAGAAAATGTTGAAAACAAAGTCTTTGAATCAAATTATAACTAGTTTTTTTTTTGTGAAATTGAGATTTTAAATAACTCTAAAAATGTATAATTTTCTGCTGTTTTATGGAATTTCTGGTGTTTTTTTATTTTTTTTTCTCAAACTGCGTCAGTGGTTTGAAAGTACGATTGAAAAGATGCGTATTAAAATAATCATACTGATTTCGTGTCTCTCTGTTTGTGTCCCTGCCTGACTGCAGTTCTACGTGTTCTCGTTCAGAGGCAGCAATAGAATAGGCGTCATCTCCTTCAGCAAACAGCTGCCAATCTTCTTCTCTGGCTCCAAAGTGGCCAAACTGTCCAGCTTCACTCCCAAACTGGTCTACTATGACCTCCCTGTCTCGTCCATCGGAGGTCACAATCGTCATGACCATCTGAATTTATACTAATAATTCCTTTCACTCGCCGAGGAGCGTAAAAAGCATTAAGTAGTCATTTTCTGAAGACATCATAAGAGGTATTGAGTTTCAACTATGAGATCAAAAATTGGAAAAAAATGAGATCAAAAATTGGTTTAAAAAATTCAAATTTTGAGGAAACATTTTTGAAAGATCAATGTTTGAATCTTCGTGAATCGAAAACTATTTGTGAACGCTATTAGAGCAGTTTTGTTAGACTTCAAAGTAAAAGCACACTTCAAAAGGGTTCTCTATGGTAAGCTAGTTCAATTTTTTATATATATCTTTTTGTGTTTTATGAAGTTTTCATAATGTACAAGATTAAGCTGTTTGAGTGTCCTTATAAACATGTTTTATGATCTTTTTTGGTTGACATTAAAAGCTTGGGCGTCAAAGGGCCGTAAAAGTTTATGTTTAAATGGTCTGAGTGTAGGCGTGCCCTCAAACTGGAGGCTGTTTGCGAATAGAGGCCACAGCACAATAGTAGTTTATGCTAAACCAGTGACAGCTGCTGCATCTCATAATAAACAGGGAAGAGCGGCAACATCCTCTAGTGCATCTACCACAGAGATCGGAACATCAAAGGTGATTCAAGGTTATTTAAACTATCAGTAAAGAAGATTTTTCATTGCTCCGGCACTCCTTAGAGAACTATGGCGTAGGAGGCGTTTGCCGCTTGTTTTTAAGAACATCGAAGCTGTGGCGTGCGCTATAATTTGTAGGTTTATTTATTCTATCAGTTTCGATTGATGAAGGAATCGCAAACAACTAGTCGCTTGTTTGATACTTTGGGTTTAGTGAAAATTTTCCTAATTGCATGTTGACTATAGTGATATATAGATATTTTCAAAATTGATATATATATTTTTTTGGTCTCACCATTGTTTGTTTTAAGTCGACGATCTAATGATTAAATAATAGTTCGATTTAATGCTTCAGAAATAATGTATTCGAGAAACTCAATTAGAATTTATGCAGTTTTGAGTGAAAATTCGCCAACTGTTTAGGCCACCAATGACCTGGTAGTGTTCACAATGTCATCACGTGGAGTTGCAGTACAGACAGGCAAGCAGTGATTGGTTTAAAAATAAAAAATGATTTCATAAACTGAAAGTAAAAGAAGTTAAAACGGTTTATAAATTGATTTATGGCAACATCAACGCAACTTTTTCTGATGGAAGTAATTTAAATATCTGGGAAATAAATTTATAGATCTGGCGTCTAAAATTATTGCCATGAAATGAAATGGCAAAACATTAATTTTGAGCCCACAAGATCGATTAAACAAGTTTTAAGTCAAGATTGAACTATTTCTTAAAACAATGTTGAAGGAACATTTTAAAACGCAAAACTGAACTATTTATTAAAACAATGTTGGAGGAACATTTTTAAACGCAAAACAGAAATAAAAAAGAAAGGATCATATCTTTCATGCTGCAATTGTTTTCCAATTCACTGCTGTACTGTTAACTTTTTAGGCAAATGTTACCTGGGCAAAGAAGTACTAGACTTGTGTTTCACTGAGAGTGGCTTCCAGACAGTAGACAGAGACATCCACTCCTCCAGGGGTTCATACCAGATCAGCCATGTCACCACTACTGGAACAGGAGAGCCACTCTTGTCAGAGGTCAAATGTCTGCAAATGAAGGGTGGGTTGCACTTTGTGTATTTGGTTTTTAACAGTTGTTGAACTTCACAGTTCTATCTATTAGTGGAGTTAAAAGTATTCGCTATCTGGCCCCCAAGTGTTACGATTGAGGAGAGAACCTAGCATTGAGATAAGCGAGGATACGTTTTTCTAACGATAGGTAGATGAGAGTTAAATCTCTCATTTCAAAGGCTCTCATTCAACTTAAAATTGCTTAAGTCAGTCATTGGGTTTCAATATACTTAAATTGCTTGTATTGAAGTCTATTTAAAAAGCTCAAGAATCATCACTCAGTCTAGCTTTGCGAGGAATCTATAATCTATCTGTTGAAGCCTAAAAAAGACATCTCAGAAGCTACGAAGGACCTCCAGTTACCTTCAATTCATAGAAAAAATCATCAAGGAAATTCAGACCAATCTGGAAACACAGTGGTGATCACCGCGTGTATCAATGCACAAAATTTCAGGAAATGTCTATTTCCAATAGAAGACAAGAAGCCAAATCAAAGCGATTATGCTTCAATTGCCTGTCCCTTGGACACCAAAATCATGAGTGCAAGTCGAAGTCAACGTGCCAAACCTGTCGAAAGGGTCATCACTCGTTACTTCACATCCATACAGACCCAAACAAGCAACCGGGACCTGAAAATAAGTTTGCGGGTCACGGGGGTACTACCGGTGCCACTACCATACTGGGAACTGTGCTAATTGAGGTGAAAACTGCAAATGGCGGTTATCACAATTGTCGAGCCTTACTGGACAGCGGATCTGAATGCAGTTTCGTTACAACCAGCTGTGCTAACCGACTCAAGCTACCAATCAAGAAATTGACTCTTCAACTAACTCGAGTTGGCGGAGGAGCAAAAACTGTGAAATCTGGTTCTGTCAATCTGGAAACAAAGGATTCTCAGAATCAATCTCTACATATTGAAGCCTTCACTCTTCAAAAACTTTCTGGCTACCTGCCCAGAGAACGGGTGAATATACCGAACAGTTTGGATATCACACGTCTTAAGCTCTCGGACCCAGACTTTGATAAACCAAAGGAAATCGATATAATCCTAGGCTGTGATGTCTACAACGACATTGTTGGCTGCGAAAAGATTAAGCTTACAGACAAGCTTTATGCACGTGACACTCTATTTGGTTGGATGATTAGCGGCAGAACACCCGGTCCTCCAACAACGTTCTTCAAGTCATTTCATGTGTCTATTGACGATAGTCTAAGGAAATTTTGGGAATTAGAAGAAATTCCTGATTTCAAAAAGACAACAACAGAAGAAGATCGATGTGAATCTCACTTTTAGTAAACAACCATAGTACAAAATGGACGATTCACCGTGCAGCTGCCTTTCAAGCCCAATAGTCAACTTGGCGACAGTTTAGCACAAGCAAAACGCAGATTCAATTATCTCGAGCGACGACTGGAACAGAATCCAGAACTAAAAGATCGCTATACCGCATTCATAGACGAATTTCTCGATATGGGGCATATGGAGTACATACCGCCTGGAGAAATCGAAAAGCCAGTTGATAGCATATATTATCTGCCACATGACTGCGTTTTCAAGGAAGATTCTACTACCACAAAGCTACGTGTAGTTTTCGACGGATCTGCAACAACATCAACCGGACAATCACTCAACGACACTTTGGTGGTTGGTCCCACGGCACAAGATGACCTCTACTCGATAATCATGCGCTTCAGGTTCTACCCAATTGCTTTATCAGCAGATACCGCAAAAATGTACCGACAAGTTGCTCTAGATCGGATGAAATCAAGCATCTCAGGATGACACGTGTTACATATGGAATAGCTTCGTCAGCTTTTCACTCAACAATATGCCTCAATGAAGTAGCAGATCAATCTAAGAACCCAATGATCAAAGAAAGTCTCAAAAATTGTTTATGTAGACGACTTTCTTGGAGGCGCTAATGATAAGCATGAAGCAGAAAGACTCATCTCTGATTTATGCGAAGAGCTGAACTCTCATGAATTCCCTCTACGAAAATGGACTTCAAGCAATGGTAAAATAATTGAAGGATTGCCAGAACATCTCCGCGAAAAATCGGATGTGCTGGAACTTTTCTCTGACGAATACAAAATCAAGGCGCTAGGAGTCAGTTGGAAGCCCAATAAGGACATCTTTTGTTTTTCAACTGCCTTACCAGAGCTGAAACTGCTTACAAAGAGGACTCTTCTGTCCACATTTTCAAAATTGTTTGATCCGATGGGATGGCTAGCTCCATTCATCATAAATTTCAAATGTCTCATGCAACAGCTATGGGTCCAAGGTTTTGATTGGGATTCTGATGTCGATCAGAAAACCAAGGAAAAATGGTATGAGCTCACCGCAACTTTGCCTCAACTACTGGAACTACAGATACCAAGATCTATGAGCTCACATCCATTAAAGGAGGTTCAACTTCACGTATTCTGTGATGCTTCCGAAAAAGCATATGCAGCCGCAATCTATGCAAGAATTACCAATGATGATGGCAAAACTTTTGCGTATCTTCTGACCTCCAAAACAAAGGTGGCTCCGGTCAAAGCAATCTCTGTTCCCAAATTAGAGCTCTGCGGTGCAAGTTTAGCTACCAAACTTCTTAAATCAGTTCATTCAATTTTGAGGAAAACAAATCTCAAGATAACTTCACACGCCTGGACTGATGCAACAATTGTCTTGCAATGGCTTGCTCAACTTCCAAGAACGTGGAACACTTTTGTTGCAAACAGAGTTTCACAAATACAAGAGACCCTACCCAGAAGTGATTGGAAACACGTGCCAACAGCAGTAAATCCAGCTGATTTAGCCTCTCGTGGTGTATTAGCTGACACATTAATATCTTCCTCACTCTGGTGGAATGGACCAGATTGGCTGATCAAGGATGAAAGGCACTGGCCCAACCAGCTACCATCTCTAGTTGAAGCACCTGAAAAACGAATCTTCAAAGCCATGACTAATGCAAAAAGTGAACAAATTCGAACTGTTCTCGCAAATCATGCTCAAAACGAAGAAATGACGGATGGAATTTTTCGTTTAAAGGACTACAGCACTTGGAACAAGACAGTACGCATCGCATGCTATGTACTATCATTTGTTCAACATCTTAAGCATAGAATATCGACAAACTATCGGAAGTGGCTCAGATCTAAGCGGACATCTGATGTACAACTTGAAGAAGATTGTCTTAGTCCTAAAAATAGAATCATGGCAAAAATGCTAATTCTTCGTTTAGACCAAGAAATACACTTCAAATCAATGCTAAATTGTCTGAAGGTGAAAAGGGAGCTGAGTGAAACATCGAAACTACTCAATCTTAGTGCGTTTTTCGACAAGGATTACGATCTACTAAGAGTTGGAGGCAGACTTTCACAATCGAACTACCCAACAGACAAGAAGTTTCCAATACTCGTTTTGAAAAAATCTGATTTAGTATCCCTACTTATACGCAAATATCATGAAGGTACTCTTCATGGCGGGGGGCAATTAGTACTGAACACAATGAGAGAGGAAATTTGGATAATCGGAGGCCGTGATCTAGTTCGACAGTTCATTAGAAGATGCATGAGATGTGTCCGATTTAGTCAGCAACCTACTTCTCAATTCATGGCTGTTCTTCCTACAGAAAGAATAACACCCGCAAAATCATTTGCTTAATGTGGAATAGACTTTGCTGGTCCCTTTGAAATTAAGGAAGCAGGGGTCTCAAAAATTTATGTTGCCGTCTTTGTTTGTCTCGCGACAAAAGCTATTCATTTGGAAATGGTTACTCGTCTAACCAAAGAAGTATGCATCCTTTCATTGAAACGATTTACTGCACGCCATGGCAAACCTGAGAAGATCTTAAGTGACAATGGAAGCAATTTTATCGGGGCTCGAAATGATCTGATCAAAATCAGGCAACTGCTCGACAAAAATGGAACGGACAAATCAGTTGTTAGTTTCGTCAATAGCCAAGGAACTGAGTGGGTTACCATCCATCCTCGTGCTCCTCACTTTGGAGGACTCTGGGAAGCAGCTGTAAAAAGTATGAAGAGACATATGCGAAAAGTTATAGGACTGCAACGTCTCAGTTTTGAAGAATTTCTTACAATTCTTAATCAAATTGAAGCTGTCTTAAACTCACGACCATTGTATCCAATGTCAAGTGATCCTAACGACCCAACTCCGCTGACACCCGCTCATTTTCTGATAGGGGAATCATTGCTAACTCTTCCCTCTGCTGACATCCAAGTTTCAACCAATGTACGATATCGACTATTACAGAACATGATCAAGGATTTCTGGAAAGTTTGGAAAAGGGATTACCTCATAACGCTACAAATACGGAAAAAATGGTTCACGGATGGCCCAGAATTTAAAGTTGGCAACCTAGTCCTACTTGCCGAAGACAATGAACGACCGCTAGAACGGAAAACTGGACGAATCATTGAAGTTTATCCTGGAAATGACTCGATTGTTCGAGTGGTAAAAGTGAAGACCACAACTGGTGAATCCATACGCCCAGTCGCGAAACTGCGGAAGCAACCAAGTCATATCCAATGTGCAGTTCATTTAAAACAAGAACTTTATAGTGCTAAAAATCGAAAAATATCAAAAATGTGTAGTTTTCAAATTTTAAGTGGTAGTACCCCCATGACCCTTTTGAAAGTAGGAACCTAAATTATCCCCTATGCAATACATTCTGGTCTGAATCGTTCAAATTGACCACTTTCATGTAAATTCCCAATGTTGTAAATTCCCAGCATTAAAATTCGTATGAGGTTGTACCCTCATGACCCAAAATGTAATTATTGTCTGAAAACAGCTAGGACAAACTTTCGCTCATGACTCGTACCGTTAATACTTCACTTGTATACTCCTTACTTATGGTGCAGTTCATTTATTGAATAATTGTTTACATATTTACCGTTGAACAGTCATTCGCTGTCATGCGATTCGCTGTCATCTGGTCCTTTTCGCTTGTTGACCCTGCAGTGTTGCTGGCAGCGCTTCCACGCAGATGCTACCAAGGAAAGTCGAGTTTGCATCTCCGCATAGTACATGCAGCAGACCCTCTCTTCGTCGCAGAGACTCAGAACTGCATGGCACCACGCATATGGAAGATACAAACTTTTCCCCTTCACAAGAACACCATAGCGGACCAGTTTCTTCTGCTGAGAACCAAGGTTCCTCAGATACTTAGCAGCATCAGTGAACCCCATCTCCGAATCATTGCTACCAGCCAGTGCACAATGACCCTTCTACGCTGAGGTAACTAATACGTTTAAGACCTCTAAGTTGCTTCTAAAACAAAACAAACAATTGATGCACACCCGCTATACTCTACTACTATGATACAATGGAATAAATGCTACTCACAGTCTCAGCTTTCGGAAACCGCAGAACTGCCCTATCCACGATTGCAGCTTCCTTCCTTGAAGACTGGATCTCATCCAACGACTTTACAGGAATCGGAGTGAAACACACATCTCCTCTGGTCACTGCATCGAAGAAACCCTGCAGGTCCTCCCGGTCGACAGCGCCCCGCCTACTAGACCTTCGCACCTCGCCATGTGGAGGCAGACGTGGTGCTCTACCCGACTCCGCCCTACTCTTCCTCTCCTTCGTCTCATACACTGTAAATGGGTTGTCATATCCAGACATAATAACGATCTGAAAATTGAATACACTTCAAGGGAGGCGGAATGTTGAAGCCTAAAAAAGACATCTCAGCTTGAACTAAATCTACGATTGAACTGATTTACTTATTTAAAACCGCATTTAACAAAAATCAATTGACTTCTATCTATAAGTCATGAAATAATTTACACTCTTTGCGAATCACTAGTTTTATTCAGTCGGATTGGTGATTTTTCGTTTCCCAACTTTTGCTGCACAACACTATCTAAAGCAGCGCAGATGAAAGTCTAAGAGGAAAAGTGCTGTTTGTTTATTGTTAGGTGAGCTTATGTGTTGCAAGTGGTCTCCCAATGGTCGCCTGTGTGCAGTGTCTGGAACAGGAAAAGAACTCCAAATATTCGACAATGTGACCCAGAAGACGACCCAACTGACTCATTCTCTCAGAGTGGATAATGTGCACTTCATATGTTGGCACTCTAGTAGTGTCGTCCTCTTTCTGTTCAGTCGCAAAGGAGACATTCAGATTGTAGATGTTGCAGGTGAGATCAGAGAAGTGTTGCATTTTTTGAGCTATTGTAATTTTGCGTTCATTGAAAAGTTAAATGTATGAGTTAACCGAGAAGTTAACTGGTTTTTGGGAGTTTTGATTTTTATTGCCGTTTCTTCATTTAAAAGTAAGAACTCTCAAGTTAAGTTTTTTGTGTGCGAACTGATGGTTCATTGGGTTTTTGTAGTTCGAAAGCTTGAGCATTAAAAAATTATTTATGTGTCTAAAAAGATGTATGTTGTCACACTCGTCTTGTGATTGGAATTTTTGCATATCGAATTGTCAGCAAAAATCCTCTAAAAATTACAAAGTCAAAAGTATGAACGTAGTCATTCAAATTCAGATGCATGCAATTTTGAAACCATCACAAAAACTATGAAATGGTTTCAGGCAATGAGTTCAACGTTGCACTCTGCACAGAAAAAGTGAGAAAAGTATCTTTGAGGTCTCACGAGTCAAACTCAACTCTGAGTTTGAGACAGATATTCAGACACACTCGGTCCAACATCCACAACATCGGATCCTGTTACAAGATCGAACTGAGTTTGTTGGAGGCGAACAACAGAAGCATACAACCGCACACGAAGGTATTATAGGCGATAGGTTATTGTAGTAGACAAAACTGCTTTACAATGTGAACAAAAAGCGAAAATTTTCATTGCGTTTTTTGGAAACTGAAAAACTTTTAGTTTCAACTTTCAGTTTTCGGTTTCCAATGAACTCAATAGAACTTTGCGAAGAAGCAAAATCTTCGTCAAGTCCGAGAAACAACTTCATTTAAAAACAAAATATAGTTGGTTAAGTATCTGAAAATACAATTTCAATGTTTAAACATGGTGTTTAGTTTATAAGTGAGCTACTATTGTAATCTATCGCCCGGGGTGTAGATTCTAGTCTTTCTCGAAAGGGGTCCCTTCATCATGTTCGATTTCATCACCCCCAAATTCACCATGAAGAATCTTATTCTATCTCGCATATCGACTGCCAGAAACACCCTCTCAAACACCTTCAAGCTACTGGAGAAGTTGAACTGGAATGAAGACCACGAGTTGTTGTTTTTGGCCATCAGTAGGATTCTAAGCCGACTGCTCTCTAGGCCGATTGGATTTGAGGCCGAAGATGCGGTCGATAGAGTGCTGGATCTATTCTACGAACCGTTCAACGGTGGTCAGGTTAGTAGGCTTTCTCCGAGTTTGCTCGAAATACAACTATAAGTAGAAACCATTTTTAGGTCGGGTGTTTTTAGTGTTAGCGCAGCAGAATAAATCTTTCCTACTAATCCAGTTGTCTCAATTTAGGTTGGTTTTATGAAAAATGTGGCTGTCATAAAAGATTCTCGAAATTCGAAAAGCTATAACTCGATATCTTTCTTCCCATGGATGATATGATAGTTAAAATGTTCAAAAATAGTAAATATATTTGTTTTTGTTTTCATTGCGAAGTTTCATCTTTCTGTTGTTTATGTTATGTTTTCTCACTTAACCTTGTGGGTGTTTGCAGGGGCGGATCTACTAGGATTTCTCGGGGCGGATTTTCTCGGGCGTGGGGGATTCTCTTTTTTTTTAAGGTCGATCAAATCCATTGATTTTTCGAGCACTCCCAGAACATAAAGTTTCTGAAAAAACAGTCCAAAAAAGTCTTTTTTGGAACTTTTCGACCGATAAATTGCGTTTTTTCGGCGCGCGTTCACCTTTATAATTAGTATATATTGGCGCCTTTAGAAAATTTTTAGGCCGACCAACACGAAGGCGCTTTCAGAAAATTTTTAAGGTTGGTCGGCCTAAAATGAATACCATAAAGTAATACCAAATGGAGGAACCTTTGGTTGGTGAGAGGGTCGAATCCCTGAAGGGGGGCGTCCGCCGTAATGCGACAACTGGCAAGAAAAGACAACTCGCAATATACTCACCACCGCAGTCGCGTCAACGTGTTGCGAGCTTGACAACAGGGTAGGACTTTATACGAAATTTAGAGCCGGTTATTGCCGCGAAGCGGCGACGCGCGCATAGTGCGCCCACCGGCAACTTTAAACCAAGAATATAAAGTTTCCAATTAGCTTCAAAAACTTGCGAGTTGTAGCGCTCCTTAAATTTTGCGAGTTGTCTTTTCTTTCGAGTTGTCGCATCAATTAAACGAGATGTTCAAACAATGCATTGTGGTTGCATCAAATGTCAAGCAATCAGATTCGAGCAGTTTTGTTAGTGTTCTGGTCAGAATAAATGAAAAGACTCGACCTCGCATAGTTATGAGTTGTGTGTGTTAGGTGAGTGAGGTGGTGGGTGAAGAGTATGAGCACAGCATGTACCACTTCTCCCTCAAGTACATGCACTCCCTCATGCGAACAGGCAGACTGGAGAAGGCACTCAACGTCGCCACTGCCATCAACAGTCCCGACAGCTGCATGGTAACACACAACACTCACCCAATAGACTTGACCTAGTTTTTACTTGACAGTTTCTACGCTTGTAGTTGCCCCATCACAGATTTTTCTTCTTAAACAAAGGCAGTTGATAGCTAGTTTGAAAATAAATTCAATTTTTTATCTACTCCGGCACAATTGGTCTAGAGGTAACAACTACGCATGGGACGGCAAATGTTCTAGATTTTACTCTGGCCTGAACTTTTTTCAAGCGGAAAAATATCCATTGCAAAAATTTGTCAGTTTATTGTTTGTCTGCTTGTTTTGTCGGCTCAGTTGCCACACCACGGATTTTAAAAAAAAAATTGTAAACATTTCCATTTGAACCTTTTTGACAAAACTTTTTGACTTCTTAAAAACTATCCTATCAAATCTGAGAAGAAGGGCTCAACCGAAAGAGCTGGTTGCGATAATTTTTCTACCCGGCGACTACTCATTTTTTTGGTAAAGTAAATAAAATTCCAAATCTCAAAACTTTTTCACTCTTCTCACTTATTTTAGTACAGAAACAATCAAGGTTTTGGGCAAAGTCTTCTTTTTAAAATTACCCATTTCATACCGCATCATTCAAAAAGTGTCAAAACGTACCTGTAGCTTTAGCTGGCCCCTATGAAGAGTAATGAACGCATTGAAGACTCGTATATAAGTCTTGGTGTTTTTTTTCAGGAAAATGTCTTAAAATGCTCTAATAACTACAGATGTGCATTCATACATATTTATGCATTTATGAATGTTCTTAAGTATATATACACTAACTGAGCTGGTCTGCTAAAGTTTACGTAAATAGCACTCTCAAAATACGAACGTGGAAATGGCGTAAAAAAACTATTTCTGGTTTCGAAAGTGGAATTTAATTTTTAGGTTTCCCGCGGAATAGAAACGTTTCCTATTGATCATGTTATCTCAAGCTGAGTTAATGTTATCAAAAAGGCGCCAGTCATAAGTTGTTCTAGAAATTCAAAGAGCTTAAAGTGCATCGTTTTTTTCTTTGAAATTCGAAAGCTGAGATTTTTTCAAGAAAAATCTGTTTTTTTTTTACTTGCGTGCATTATTCTTTTCCAACTGTAAGTTGGCTATGTTTATTTTTTACCGAAAGATAGGAAAATTTTGGTTCACCTTAGTTTTTTTTCGACTTAAGTTTTTTTCATCTTTGTGTTGTATCGCAAGTGATGCGAAGCTCGGCTTCGCCTCTGTGTCGAAAGTGCCTGCAATGATTCCTATAAATTGTAAATTTAACAACTCTAATTTTTTCGTTATTTCTTTCTTTCACTTGAAAATTTGGCTTGAATGTTTTGGCTGATGTTTCATCGGATTGGTGGGAAAATTGGTAAATGGAAACTTTTATGTCAACAATTTTGTTTTGGGCTCATAGGGAGTTTTCCTAAATTTTGTCGACCTAGTTACCGCTTAGAGTATTAATTTAAAATCGGCAAGTGTGTTTCTGGACGTGTTTATCTCAAATTGAACATCATTTTAATGATTTTTTTCGTATTTTTTCTTAGCCATTTTTTTCGACTTCGTGATTTTCTTTAAGTTTTCTCTATCTTGCAATGTTAGGTTTGTGTTGTATCTCAAGAGGTGCGAAGTTCTGCTTCGCCTCTGTACAAAAATTGAAAATATCCGTTCTACGGTCTGTATGAAGTAAATGGCTGATGTGTCTGTGTCCCGCTTTAGGACGTGTGTCACATGGCGACTGACTTGAAAGAGTTCGAACTGGCTAAAGTGGCAAGATTTCACGCAGAGACCATCCTGCAGTCTGAAGAGTACGATGCAGAGGCCTCGTGTCTCTTCCCAAAACTCGATTTCAACCAACAAAACGAAGAGGGGGAGGGAAAGAGAGAAGGAGGTCAAGGAGCGAATCAGAGGACAGGTTCGGTGCAGGGTCAAGCTAGCGAGGTGGGTGTGCTTATAAGTAATAAGTCAAAGCATGTTATCGAGCTCATGCTAGAAGTGAAACCGACGGGAAATTGGGTGAACTCAAATAGATTTTTCAGATATCTCGTTATTTTTATGAGGGGAATGAAATGAAGGTAATGTTTATGAATGTTGCGGATTTCTCTCAATGAGGATTTTGTTTTCGTGTAACTATTCCGTACTTATCTTTCTCTCGTGATTTAAATAATCTCAACAATTAAACAGTCGAGATATCAATGAGAAAAAAGTGAAAGTTTGCTAGTTCAGCAGCTAAAAACCTAACCCAGTGGTTAATTATTTAAGTTCAATTTAGCTATGCGAGCCTGGAAAATTATAGCGCAGATGCCAATGTGGAACCGGCAGCCATGTGATTGCTGGTACGCTTCGCTTCGCTTTCACTGTGCGAGACAGCTACCATGAAATGTAGTTGGATAAGGACCAATTCAACTACCAGTCACATCCAACTCCTTGACTGATGTCAATTTACTTAAGATTAAATTATACCATGTTATTTGGTGTTTCTAGGATGCGCCCCCTCTGTTCCCCATTCCTTCTTTGGAAGAACTGCAGAGGAGGGATGTGGTGAAAGATGCGATAGTGGAGGAGGCACTGAAGGGACTCTACCTGGTCAATGAGCCACTGGGAGACAGCGAGGATGAGACAACCAGCGAAGAGAGGTCAGTCCCCTGATAAAGGTTTTGGCTACAAGTGTAGGCCCCGTTGCAAAATCTCCACAAATGTATGTGATCATAAAGCATAATCTGTTAAACACTATCTCTTCTGTATTCGAGAAACATGTAGTGTTGTTCGAAGGCACTGCGTCTCTGCTAGGGCTCTATTATTACGATCTGTCGCCAAATTTAAGTATTTGAGACCGATATGTGAAAGGGACATGTATTTCAAGCTTGTTGAAGATTTATTCCTGTTATTTTCTGTTGCAGCATTGATGTAATAAATTTAGCTGGTGTAAGTTTGTAGATTAAAAGGACAACTTAGTTCGAATATAAAAATCTGGGATTCAACGTGAATGATGTAGATGACTTTTGGTGTTTTGCCCCGGAATAAACATACAAGAGGTCACAATTGAAGAGAAAGTCAAATCCAGGGGCTCAGCTGAGAGCCATAGAAGATTACAGGTTTCATTATAGGTCTCGAACTGAGGGCCAAAACAATGACACAGTTGACGGAGAAGGGGAAGGGGATGAGGGGGAGATAAGGAGGAGGAGATCCACCATTACTTCCTGTCACTCGGGGAGGGGAGACAAAATAGGAGCAGGCACAGGTACTGTTTAGCTCACAGTTCAGAACCACGAATTAAGAAGAAGCGGAGAAGTTTGAAAATGGACCAGAAGGTCTCATGACTATCTCGCAGGCTAACATTTTTTTAAACTTAATAATGCGGTTCTATAATAATCATTATTGCTATGTTAGCCTGAAAACAATTTAATATGATTATTAACGATGTAATAAAATGAGCTTTTAATTAAGTGCAATAGCTGACTTTGAGCTGTGTCCGTGCATTTTTCCGTGGAATGAAATAATGCAAAGTGTTGATGCTTCTAACCGAATGAATGCAAATCGACGGATTTTTTTTTGGTGGTAGTTATACGAACGTTAAGATACAAACACGCAGTACTGAACATGTACAGGACAAAAAGCTTTGTCATTGCAGAAACTCTTCCGAAGCCACCGGCAGCAAAAACAGGCACGTCTTCGTCCTTCCAGTTCGGAATACTGTGACTGCAGGCGGAAACCTGGAATCTCCTGGCACCCTTGTTGCAAGCCACGATCTCAGATCACAGTTGTCAGCCAGTATCTATGACTCCAGTACTTCATGTATCGTCGTTTATTTTTCAGTTAACTATTCACTTAACCCAATCTCTGGCTTATTTTCTCCCTGTTTTGCCTCCTGGGATGACTGAATCTGTACAAACGATTAGTTTCGAAAAATGAAGAATTTGGTACCGATTTTTATATTTTCGAGATCATCGCGTTTTCGTCTTTGATCTGTTTTAGTTTTTCCTCTCTTTATGGTGCTTACTCATTGAAGTTTTATCTTGTAAAAAAGATCATAATCTGTACATATTAACTCATAGATAAGTAAATACTGATGTGTAAATGTGTTTTATTTGAACAAAAAGTTTGAAAGTACTCTTTGTTTTGTAAATTAAAAGTTGAAAAATAATTGCTCGGAGAATTAAATATTCTAAGCTTTGATGACAAACATCAGTGTAATTTTAAAACTGGTTTTTACCGGGTTCACTTTTATCACAGGGCATAATCTTTGTTTTTCGTCAACATGTAAGGACATCCTGTGTAACCCGTATGTTGTTTCAGATTCTATGTTGTCCATCAGTTGTGGTGTTTAACGGACTCTTTTTGTAGTTATTACGAGCGTGTCAAATCATTGTTTTAAACTCCCTTCTCTGATCTGTTAGTGTCTGTCTATACTGGTAGTAGTTAAGCATAGTTTTCTCAAACAACTACTTGGAGAGAGATAAGGTTGTGAGTGGTGGATGCCTATCTACAATCTGTACATCTTCAATCTGTCCTGTGGAAAGTGTGTGTACTATTGTGAGTTCAACAGACGGCACAAAACACAGGACTTCAAAGAGAACAATGACCAGGTATATTCAATTTTTCCCATTGGGTTTCATCATCAAATGTTATTTTAACACCAATTTTTGTATTCAAAGGTGTTTCGCAGTTTAGTCCTATTAAAAACACAGTCAGTTTCATATTAGTCGTACCCGCTCTAAAATGAGAGCGTGATTAAAAAGTATCGTACCCACTCTAAAATGAGCTAGAACTTTCATCAGCGCTTTTAATGGCAATAGGGTTTTCAATTTTAATGCTAGGATTTGCAATTAGTCCCTCCCCAGAAATAATCATAAAAAGCTAGTTGCCGATTCTGAACTTCGAAGTTATTTGCCAATTCAAAGTTTTAGGTGTACCTGAGACAATTTCTGCCCGAAAACTAGCTTTCACAAGTAAAAATGGTCTTAAAAGTAATTTGTTCTTATTTAAACTAATTTTTTGTTCGATTTTTTGCGACTCTATACACACATTTGATTTCACATTTATTAGACGATTTCTTCAAATTCATTAGCTACCAAGAAGGAAAGTTATGTTCATTTATTGAAAAGAAAGTAAATTATGAAAAGGCTATTGGTGGAAAAACGTGATTTAACTTTGAGATTTCGCAACTTCAAAAAAAAATACTTCCTCGTCAAATTTTTCCCATTGGGTATCATCATCGAATGTTATGTTAACACCAATTTTTTGTATTCAAAAGTGTTTTGCAGTTAAGTCCTATTAAAACACAGTGTATTTCATATTAGTTGTACCCGCTCTAAAATGAGCTGGTGATTGAAAAGTATCCCCACTCTAAAAATGAACAAGGACTTGTGTGCATCAGCGCTGTCTTCGTGTGCTTTTAATGGCAATAGAATTCTCAATTTTTCTGATAGCTTCAAAAAAGTCAATCGCTAGCTAGCTGATTTTTTACCCAACTCGCTTTTGAGCACATGCTGTGCTTTTTGCGCAGCCAACAGTTATCCTTGTTTTGTTTTGTTTTATATGTTTTTATTTAGATGAGTGTTTTAAACCAAATTTTAATCGACAGTTAGGGCTCAGTTATATATTACAGAAGAAACCTGATGTGTTTTTTGTGTCTCTGTTCAGGTGAACATGCTTGGCATGTGCCACACTCTGAAAGACTTCATGCAGAGAGTGGCAACTAGTGACAGTAACAGCAGCAGCAACAACAACAGTGGCAGTGGAAAGGACTCCTTCGTCTCCTACAAGACAAGCAAAGCCAAAGTGCACTACTACGAGACCCCCTCTGGCATCGCATTCGTACTGGTCACTGACCCACACGTGGGGGACATCAGGAACATACTGCAGGAACTACACAAGAGTGTAAGTTAGACAAATTGTTTTTCTTGTTCGTCGTTTTATTGGTAGTTGCATTTTCTTCTGGACTTTCTTTTTTTTCATCTTCAAACGAAAGAGGTCCAGCTAACGATGGGGATCTAAGAGTATATATGGTCTATCCTTGAGAACAAAAAAGGGGACATGGAAGGAAAGGGCTTTGAGCGTGACAATGATGCTGATGAAAATGATCATGATGGATATGTAGTTTCAGTGTGAACAAACAGCTTGCAATGGCGGGCTAGTTAGAATGTGACCATAACTGCACTAAGGTTCTATCCATGTACTGCAGAGCTTGAAGAACAGCTCTACCTCTGTGAAATTTTTATTCCAAAAGGTGGTTTTATCTTCAGGTGTGGGTAGAGTACGTGGCTAAGAATCCCCTGTGTGACTGGACTCAGACCATCACGAGTAATCTGTTCCGAGAGAAGGTATCCGATTTCATGAAGGCACTCCCATGCTACTCCAACTGACACAATACGACACGGCATAACGACAACAATCTTTATATCTTACATGGTTTATTCAATGATACACCGTCGAAATCTGAGAAAAATGGCCAAAGTTGCTTAAAGCCTAAATTCGTAAAAAGCCAAAGACGTTTCCAATCTTCATATTTCATTCCTTAGTGATTTCAAAGCAAACAAGTATACATATCAGAATTAATTTAATTCCTTTATACGCTCGCTATACGCATTCTTTGGTCGTCTTCGTTATATTGACCGTTCACTTTGAAGAAATTGATATGTAAAACTTGAAACCTTGTTTTCCTATATTGAGATTTGATGTGAAGTGAATTCAGACATACTACTCCTAATATTCGTTGCAGTTTTGTTCGTTAAAATGTAGAAGTATACGTTCACAAGATCATCACTGAAAAACTGTTTAAATCATTGTGTTATCTGTACTGTGTTAGTTATCCGGTTGAACTTTGAGCTTGATATATACCAACATTTATACAGTTCTGTTCTAAATTGAATCAACTTATCTGCCGGATCCCTGGTCGTCGTCTTTGAATGTCTGGGAACCCTGTAGCTCCTCATGATTCTTTCGGATCCTTTTCTCCTGTGAGTAGTGTTGGAAATAGTGGCGCTTTATTGCGTGTGAGTGCAATAGTGTTTGACCTGGACAACACTCTCATAGACACTGTGGGTGCTGACAAGTGTGCATTTGAGAGAGTCCACTCGACACTGCATTCGAACTACCCTGTCTTCCCCCACCCATCACACGTCACAGACACATTCAAGTGAGTCACTCACCCATTTTAATGAAAGAAGAACATGGCTAATATGAAAGTGGCTCTTCTCACTTGAATTCAATGGCACTTTTTGCCTCTATTATTTGCTTATAAATCATAGAGGCAATAAATCATTTGCTTATAAATAGCCAAAGAGCCAACCAAAAGATAGAAGATCACCCAGAATTTTGATCCAGACTAGATTTTGCACAGAAACAAATCCGTAATTGTGATCCGGTTCAGAAAATTTTTTGCTGGTCTTGAAGTTTCTTTAGTGCTTTCATATAATCTTGAATGTTTAGAATGTTGCTTTCGTCTGGTGCTGAACTGATGAGTGTAGATTGTGACGACATTGACAACAGTGCTAGCAGTACATCCACTTCCTCCTCTGCCAAACAGAAGAGTTGCCACGAGATGCGCTTCGAGATGTGGTGTGAGGCAGTGGAGAGGAACATCCCCCCAGACAGCAATGCTAAGAAGTCATTGGACCCCAGTAGGATAGCAGCACTATGCAACAGGCACGCTTCAAAATATTATTTAAATATACATCAGAAATCTCAGGATAGTATTAGAAAAAATCTCGTTTTTAAAGAGAAAGACGCTTTCATCCATGTACTAATGTAGTTGTAGTGTCCTGGTCGATTGTTAACTAAAGTGACTAGATATTTCGTCCAGATGTGATTGGTGACATGCAGACTTCTTAGCTTGTTTTTTCCCGATTCTTTGGAAGTATCGTTTTTCTGAGGATCATTTTCACGACGAAACTTGTTTTTGACGACACATTTAAAGTTGTGAGCTTTGTACTTTTTGCAGTGTGTGGAGTAAAACGAGGGCGGCTGGGTTCAACATAGCCCCACAAGATGCTATTCTGCTGGAGAGACTGAAACAGAGGGGATTCAAACTAGCCATCCTCACTAATGGGCCAAAGGACGTTCAGCAGATAAAGGTAAGGAAAAAATTGCTTAGTTTGGAGTGTGACAAAATGTTCTTAGATTAAGCTGCGAAAAAATACTGCATTTTAAACCACCAGCGGGTCGAGGGGGAGTGCCTCCCCCTTCCAGGGATTCGACCCACTGCCGACACAGAAGATCCACCCTTTCATTTGTATAAAAGTATCCATCGTAATACAAAAGCAACCCTGTGCCTTATTGAAATATTCAATTTGGCTCATTAAAAAACATTTGATACTAGTTTGAATTGAATGTTGATGTGTCATTAGTGATCAAAATAAAGGGTGGAAAATTGTTTCGAAAGAATTAACTTTTTCACTCCTCAAAAATGTCATACCTTTTTTTTTAAATTTGTTTATGCCATTTGGGAAATAATTTGCTTTTATGCTATTTGGGAATTATGCCTTTTGGGAAGTTACTTACTTGATCTACCCACCGATCTACGAGTTTTCCTTGGTTTAGTCAAATTTTAGAACAAAAATATAACTATGCTATAGTTCCTTCCCTTTTCGTTAAGTGTTCGGAACAATGATTTAATGTTTTTATAGGCTTAACTTCGAAACAGTTAAAATGTGAGTTTTAATTTCAAGTTGGTTTCAGTTTTCAGTTTGAAATAGTCTAATAACATGTTACTGTTTCAAATATAGCTTCAGTTGATCAACTTACAAAGCTCACTTTTTCAATAACCCGTGTGCTTGAATTAATAGTTTTTCCACTCTTGATTCACATAACTTCATGGCAATCGTATAAGACACTCCCCGAAATTTAAATGCCATATAAAGTGTCAGGACCTTTCAAGAAAGGTAAGCTCGCTTCGCTCCCAATGTTTTTTTTTGTTTATCCACGTCTTTTAAGGGGTTTTATTTCTGTAACTGAATTAATCAAGTTTCCAAGAAAGTCCATTCTTAACTTTTTTTTTTCGACTTTGTTCTTTTCGTCTCAAGAAAATAATTCGTCATTGACATCAATTCGTTACAGCTAAAAAGCAATTAATTGTCCTGCAACAATACAACAATAATAAGTTTCCAACTTTTTACAAATGCGCAGAATTATTTTTAAACATGCCCGGATGCGCAGCACGAAGTTAGTGGTAATGGGCAGAAGGTGTAAACATCGTTAACGCGACGCGATTTCCATTAAAGCAAACCAGTTTTCGTCATTCTAATTTTTGCAATGGGCCATTCATCGCATGGGAATTGCATCGAGCTCTTTTTTTCGCATATCGTCCAAACTTAATAAGAGTTTTTGATCAGTGGTTAGGTAAGCGATGTCTGTAGGTTGTTCCTAGTATTTGACTCGTGTTGTGTTTGTTGATTAGGTGAATTCTGTGCTGGACCACCTCTCCCCTGGCATCTTCGACTGTGTGGTGATCAGTGGGGAGTACAGCATACACAAGCCAGACCCCCGGATATTCGAGACAGTCACGCAACAGCTCAACACCACTCCCTCACAAACTGCAATAGGTCCACTTCACATTATAACTCCTTGTGATTTTCCATAGTTTTTCTCTATCTTTCAAAAACAATTTCAATGGGTTAAACTAAAAAGACGAATGTCAAAAAGTGCTTCAATGATGAATGTATGAATCTATCTAAAGGGTTTTATTGGAAATGGTGATATATTTTTGGTCCTCGACAAACAATTTTTTCAATGCAATTCTTATGCAATTTTTGTGCTCTTTCAAAGTTTTAGTTGGTATTGGGAACGCCTCAATGCATTCCATAAATACGAAGCGCAGTTTAAAAAAATGATAATAACATGTTACTTGCGCGTAAGTTCTAAGTTAGAGTAGAAATACTTTGGTGAAAATTTTTCTGGACTCTTTCTCAGTTTTGATATATGTTCAGTGGGTGACTCTCCTGACACGGATATTTTGGGCGGGAATTTCGCCGGCTGGAAGACAATCTGGTTCAACCCAGACAAAAGAGTGTGTGACTCACTATCAAGGAAGCCACATGTAGAGATCCAGTCTCTAAGTGACCTGGCACTGGTCATAGATCTAAATCATGCACCTCAGAAGGCACTGTGACCAGAGACATAAAGTCTTTTATGGACCCGTCAAGTCACTTCTGCAAATTCAATGGTGGCGAAAATTACACTGACGCATCGGGCGCACCAGTTTGAACCAAAGTTGTTAAGCTATTAAATAAGCTGCATGTTCTTCGAGAAGCGGTTTCCTCTGTCGCGCCCGATAGTCATGGGGAAGGTTCGCCGCAATGGCTTCAAGTTTCAAGGTTGTTTGAGTTTTGGTGCTTGATTAGAGCGATAAAATCAATTTATAGTTATTTGTTAGGTTCTGATTCTTCTTATTTGTTTGTTGGTTCCTTCATCTTTCTGCCACATTTTTGTTGAAATTATAAATTATAATTAATAGAAGTTTTTAAGTTCGTTTTTCAAACATTTTCCTAGGTCTCGCTTTACTCCAAGAATTGTGCTTTCATACTAGTAGCTTTTAGTTTTCATTGAACAGTTGTGAACTGTGTTGTGGGTGTTCCATCTAAAAAGGCTAATTATTTGCTATCAAGTGAGAATGATAACTAAAACATACTTGAATAAAAACCCCTACGTGACTAGTGAAAAATTAATGGCAATTTCATACGTGCAGTGGCGTGCGAAAGCGTTTTTATGAAGAGGGCTATCCTCTTTTTAAAGTTTTCTTTGTTGAAAAAACCGACTCGGCGTTTTTTAAAAAGCCGGCATGTTTCTTTTGGCGTTTAATGGCTGTCATAAAATAGTACTGAACTGGGGATGGGATCCCTGGGGAATATCTGGCAGTCAGAATGGATGCTATGGTGCGGGTGGTTGTAACGCCACCTCGGCAGGAAACTGTGAATAGTAGTAGATAATTTTTACCCTTGCGATAAGCAAGGGTATTGCAATCGGGTACTGGACTTTTTTCCCCGTAAACAATTTTGTTCACAGAATGGACGAAATGAAATTATAATCATTTCAATAGCACCATGATTAGCTCAGTGTGTAGTAGTTGCATATAAGGTATGGGCTTTTGGTTCCTATTAGGAATTTTTTGAGAATATTTTTTTTTGCCGAAATTTTTAGCTAGAACTTGAATGTTTTTTTTTTAAATAAACTTTTTTTAGTATTATGTGCGAATGATATGAAAATTTAGAAAAGGTAAAATCAGCCTTCTAAGCTCTTAAAAAGTAAAGAAATTAAACAAACAAATTTCAAACTATTTTCAAATTTGTTTTTTTTTTCTCAGTTGAAGTAACACTATTGGTTCAAATGTTGGTTGTTAGATTGGTTGTATTTATCGCAATCTTTTTGGTGCAGAAAAATTAGCTTATTAGTTTTTGCACATTTCCAAGTTTTTTTTTGAGTTTTTCGGCATTTGTGTTTTAATTTTTCTTAATGGATGATATCCTTTTTTTTTCAAGGTATCTTGAAAAATGAAGATCAAGCAAGCCTGAAGTCCTATCAAATCAGAATTGAACCAACTCCAAATTTTCGATAATTTTGTTCAAAATTGGCAGACGCATTTGATATTTTACTTTGTCAACTTCAGTTGCTGCCTGCTAATTTTCCTGATAAACTTTTTGTTGTCCTTTACTTGAAAGTAGTTTCAATGTGTCGAAATTGTAACGAAATAACTTTTTCGTTGTCAAATTAAAAAAAAACGTTCTGCTCTATCTTATTTCACTTCCAGATAATATTGATACGTTTCCGGACTCATGTATTTTTTTAAAATGGCCGAATGAAACGTCTTTTTTGTCTTTCGTTAAATTTTTTTTTGTCTGACCGGAGTTTCTTGTTTTTTAAGAAATAAACTCCGCGTTTGTTTTCAGCTTCGGAACTTCGAAATCATTTGTTTGTTCTTTGCAGGGTCTCTTTAGTGTCTCTACTTTTTTGTTTGGTTCGAATTTTTTTTAGCATTTTTTCTTTAAGCAAGAGGAATAATTGTTAGATTTTGAATTGGTTTTTAATTGTTTTTGAAGTTTATCATTTCAAAAATTTGCTGTTTATAGAAACGTTTCATTTTTTTCTTCAGGTGATGTGTGTTGTTTGTTCCATCTTACTTAATCTGATTGTTGGAAAATGATATATTGATTGTTCGGTAATTGTATATTGTCTTATCTGAAAAAAAATCAGAATTCGTTTTTTTCCATTAGTTTCATCGCTTGTATTGTGCTTGGCTCACAGATTAAAACATCAATTGGAATCAAATTGATTTTGTTATATGTTTAATTTTCTAAAATTTTTCCCATCTGATTTTTCTAAAACTTTTTTCTAGACATGCATGTGTTTTCATCGCAAGTGTCAACATGTCAGCCCAGTAGCGTTTTGTGTATTTTTTTTTCAGATTTGTACTTTGAACTTGAAGTGTCGAGTATAAAGAGAGACAGATCTTTTGTACAATAATGAATATGAATTATGGATATGGATACAATCCAGCAGCAGCTGCGGCCGCCTTCTACCCCCAGGCAGTGATGCCACAACAGCAACACCATCAACTTCAGCAGACGCAATTGCAACAGCAGAGATTCGTTCCACAACAGGGCCAGCAGCCGCAATATGGACAGCAAAACAGTTATAATAGTGAGTAGTCTCAAAGCCATATAACCGTAAATTTACACTTCGAAGCGTGGTGTAATACTACGATGCAACTTTTTTTCCAACCCAAGTCGAAATTATTGGTGCTACTTCGGTCGAATTTTTTTTTTCCACAGAAACGTTGGAAAAACCGATGAAAAGACCGGTATGACCCATGCAATTTTCTTGGGTGGTTGAAAGGCCCTGTGTGCTGTATGTTCTGCTAGTCCCTTCTTACCTTACCCAGACGCCTTTCGAAAATTACAGTGGTGGAATTTTTGGCCCCTTTTTGAATATTTTTTCTCTGAAAATTTACCGTATAAAATCAATTACCGTATAAAGTGCCTTAAAAACACGTTATGGGGATCTCACTTGAATAAACCGCTATGCTCTTGTTTTTGTAGACAAGCGTTATGGCCTCAGTAATTGTCCAAGTTTTAAAATTTTAACCGTTTTTTTGAAACTTATTCTCAAAAACTAGTCTACCAATTTATGGACATCAAGGATGCAATCAGAAGAACTGCTGTTAGTTATCCTCCCTGCATAAAAGAATACACCCTATTTTTTAGAAAAAAAAGTTATAAAGATATAATTTGTTTAATTTTGCTGTTGTGGCCGTTTTTTGGAAGTTCTGACTTCTCTCTAAAACCAAAGATGAGGAAGGGTTCAATTGAGGTAAAGGGCGCTGAAATTTTTATTTGCATACCGGTTCTGCCTTAATTTATGAAGAAAAGCTAGCAAATTTGGACAATTTAAAGATCCATGTTTTCAATTTTTTTTTTCGTTGTTTTAATTTTTTGGTTTTCTCGAACTACGGTGCCAAATCTGAGATTAAGGGCTCCATCGAAGAACAAGTTGTAAGCCTGCTTAAACGGATTCTCCTCACCAGTGTGAGGAATCAGCTATTGGCTCAAGGAATATCCAATAATTGACAATTTGGTCAAATTTTTGAATTTCGTTTAAAAAATTTATGGTCAAATAAAATGTCCAATTTTGACCGTGTTTAGAAATTTCTCTGTAGTTTTCTTCTAACAAACTCTTATTTAAAGTTACGGGCTCAGGCTAGTTACGCGCTAGTTTTTCTGTAAAAGCAAAGTTGGACTTATCAAAAGATGCGAGTAGATGAGACTCTTGAATCTCAAGGATAGAGGTTTGATTCCGTCTAACAGCAAATTTTATTTTTCCATCTTTATTTCTACCTGTTCTTTTTCCTTATTGCATTTTATTGTTTTATAGAGCTACTTTTTGCTGATTTCTCACTGGTGTTTGCGAATGGCGGCTTCGTCATTAATGTACATTTTTTGTATTGTAGAGATTCAGTTTTTACTATATTCAATTTATGTGATTCTGTCACAGGAAAGGGTGGCTGTAATTTTTGTCAACAATGGTTGAAGATTAAGAATGTCTCCGAAAAAACCTTTGGCAGCTGTATTTAACAAGAAACGAATGAAATGCTTTAAAAGCACTAAAAGCACATTTTGAACCTTGATTTCTATCAAGCTCTAGCTGTGTCTAATCAATAAGATGGAGAATAACTTTATGAAATTCAGAGATAGTAATGGCTATCTACCCTTAGATATAGGTAGCTGTATCAGAAATGCAGCGTTAAGCCTGTGCGTTTTTAATAGTCAATGAACGTAGTGAAGAATCTTTTATTGATTCTAGAAATTTGGTGATTTTTTTTAGGAATAAGCTCTTAGGAATAAGCTCTTATTATAAGTCTTAAAATGCTCTTATAATTACAGATGAAAACACCTAGGTGTGTATGCACTTTTTGAGTTCAGTTGAAATTCATCTGAAATTTCGGTAAGTTTTGCTCTCCCAATACGAACGTGGAAATGGCGCGGAAAAAAAACGAACCTTTTTAGTTTCGAAAGTGGATTTAAATATTTGGAGAGAAGTCAAAACTTTACCTATTGATCCAGTTTTCTCAAGTTGAGTCAACAGTATCAAAAAAGTGTCATTCATAAATTATTCTTGAAATTCAAACAGCTTTAAGGCCATGTAGTTCTAACTTAGAATTTCGAAAATTGATGTTTTCACAAAACAGGTCAGTTTTTTTTTTCAGTTTTCTTTGACTCTTTTCCCACTGACTTTTGGCTGTTTTTTTTTAATATTTAGAAGTGAAGCATTTAATGAAGATTGTGCAGCTGTTATAAACTGAAATGTTTTGTGTAGATTTCAAGCCAGCTGGTGTTGCTGTGTCCTCGACTGCTGGCAGCTACAGTGCAGTGGGTAATAATTACAACACACCCCAAAGCAACTTCCAATCTGGCGGAGGGGGAGCGGGAGGGGGGTACAATCAACAGAAGCAGCATAATCAGCAGTCATCCTTCCCTAAGGCGTCCTATGGCAACTTCGTTCCTGCGTAAGCACTGCAAATCTTTTAATCCAGACTGAACAGATCATGAGTTAAGTTTTAAAGATCTATAAATCTCAGAATTTCGGCGCCGTCATTAAAGGCGCAACCGTTTCTAGTCAAGCTTGCTTTGTTTTTTTTTTGTAATGTAGTTTGGATAAAAAAAAGCAACCTATGTTGACGAAACGCAAGACTTTCTTGCGAAATAACACAAGACTCATCATCCGAAAATTAACGAGAATGTTTTTTGTTTGTTCAGAGGCTCAAAGCCTGCAGGTGGCAATTCTGGAAACTACTATAATAAGGTGAGCTTTTAGTTATTCCAAGCTTAGAACTTTAATTAAAAGACGCTCTAATGAAAATGTTAGCAGCCGATAAATAGGAATGAAGTAATAAATGAACATATTTGTTGATATTTTAAACTTTTTTTTGTGTTCATGTAATTGCAGCAATCATCTGGTGGCTACGGCAACAACAGTAGTGCGAACAATAACTCCTCCCACAATGAGAAGTTTGAGAAGGCAGTCATCAATGCGGCCATCAGTGTGGCCCAGCAGAAGGAAGGAGGAGGAGGGGTAGGAGGAGGAGGAGGCGGCTACGGCAGAGGAGGTGAACATTTCATTGAGCGATTAGCAAGCGTTATCAAACTGGAATATAGACTTTTTTCTTGTTAACAACTAGTTTAACAAAATCTGTTGAATCACTTGCTGAGGAGGAGGAAAGGCTTCTTTTCTATGCAGCTGACTTCTTCACTTCTGTTCTATTAACATTCCAGGTTGCTCTTCCCATGGACTAGAGGTGAATCAGTTGCGTTTGTACCTTAAGGTCGGGGGTTCGAGTCGTGGCCGGAATTTTTTTTTTTCAGTATCAAGGAAATGGAAAAAAATACGAGAAAAATGAATTGTTGATTTTCCGTTTGTTCGGTTAAGTTTTGTCGTCTAAATTGCCACAACGGATTTTGCTTGTGCTGTAGGCATTGTAGTTGCAAGTGCAAGTGTTGTTCATTCTAATTTCAGGGGAGGGGGGAGGGAATTAAAAGATTTTAAAAGTAGTTTCAGCTCAAAGATTGTTGGATTAGCTACCACATCACTGATTTTTCTTGTGCTGTAAACAACTTTCATTGTAGTTGCAAGTGCAAGTGTTGTCCATAGTTGTTTAAGTTGGGACTTTTTTATTAAATCATATTTTTTCGGTTCAACTTGTGTCTGCTCAAATATTGTCGGCTTTGTTTCTTTTCGTAAATTTTGTTCCGTCGTTGGTGTTTTAAAGTTCAAGTATCTAGCATGTTTGCCTGGAATGAATTTCTATCGAGGCGTATAAAAGTCTTTTTTTTAATTGTCATTTATTTTGGCTTTTTCGTTTGTGTTGTATCGCAAGTGGTGCGCAGCCCATGCGATACTTATCATGATTAGACTTATGCACTGCTTAATATAGAAGACTTCGCGAAACAAATCGTGAAAGGATTTTGATTCCTTTTCACTCTTGCTGAACACTTTATTCTCATAAAACTGGTACTTCAATATAAAATTGGTGAAAAGTAAAAAAAGCTTGTTTGCTCATTCGAGTCTGGACAGATTCGGAAAATGACTGGTTCTGTTTTGATGTTCTGAAATGGAAACAGTTTATTTGGTTTTCAGGTGGTGGTAGGGGAGGCTACGGCGGCGGGGGACCGGGAGGAGGTGGGGGTGGTCATTATGGTGGAGGTGGAGGAAGGGGTGGGGGTGGTAGGAACTGGCCCAAGAAGCCTAGTGGGGGTGATAACCAGATGTACTACTGTGAGGTGTGCAAAATCAGCTGCGGGGGAGCACAGACATACAATGTAAGTGACATCACCCGATTGTTTGTTTTGACTGAGACGTTGAGCTATAGAATTGAAGTTTTAGCCAGTTAACCAATTGCAAATACATACGATCTCATGTAACACCTTTTAAAACTAGTGGTGAAAACATGAAACTCAAGATTATAACTGGTGCGTAGGAATGGTAGTAGAGCAAAACTGGAGATGATTCTTTTTTTTCCAATATTAAACTCTTAAAAATGCCGTGAGAGACACAAATGTTGAGTGTGGGTTGTGTATTTAGACGCATATGGATGGCAAACAACACAAGAAGAAAGAAGCTCAGAGCAAAGCGGGAGGAAGTAAGTCTTCATTTTCATCTTCAATAATGTCACTCATTATAACAAATCACACAAGGTTAAGGCATTTTATCCACAAGAAAAAGGAACAACTCTCAGCGTTGCTTATCTCTTCGCCTAATGCGCTTAGCCCTGCTTAAAAATAGCTAAATGCAGTGTCCAAGCGATTGATGAGAAAAATGAAACAAACAATTACGTTTTTGATTAAATGAATTGACTTTTTCATTTACGTTTTAGCCTTTTGATTAAGGAAACTGTTGCTTGGATCCGGGTACTAGACATTTTTTCCCGCGAAGAATTTTTTTCACAAAAAAGCCAAAGTTTTTCATGTACCACTTCTCCTGCATGTACGCCTGTATGGTGGTCATGTTTGCGCTGTAGGTGGTACGTGGGATCTGGTTAACTATTCCCCCCTCCCATGGTACCTTGCAAAGAATCTCCCTCCTATAAAGAAAGAATTGAACAGTTGAGCATATACGAATTTTTTTACCTGGTTTATTATTTCCTCCCCTATTGCAATAGGGGGAAATGGTTAGCAACATCCGGTATGTGCAGGATCTTGCAGTGAATTTGTTTTTGCCGAGTTTGTCATCTTATTAGGTGTCGGCCATTTTTTCGGCTCTTTTATCTACTGTTTTCGATGGTTTCCGTTCAATATAGAGTTTTCGAAAGCTTAAATGCAATCTCTCCTTGAAAAAAAAATGTATACCATGATATTTTATTTTGTTTGAAGTTTTGTTTCTTTCTAAATCACTTTCACAATGGAAGAATTGCTCGAATTCTAACTCGATACTTATTGATTGGCATAATGTGCTTATCATATCTATTTGGTGAAGATTGTTGAAATCATAATTGTTCCGCAATTTTAGGTTATTTTTGCTATTTAGATTTTTTTGCTTTATGCACGCATTATGTTCCTATTTTTCGAAAGTTTTTTTTTCAAATTAATTTTATCAACGTAAATTGAAATTAGGTTTTTGGTTTTACAGTTGTTCGGCTGCTTGGCTTCTGTTTTTTTGTCGGTTATATTTAGTCTTTGCAACTTAGCGTCTTAATTCTCGTTTTTTTTCGAGAATTATTTCTGGTGTAATTTGATTCAGAGTATTGGCCATCGGTTTTTTTTGAAATATTGCTAAATTTTTGCGAAAAATTATTAATTTTCAGTTTTTTCTTACTTTACATGCATTTTGCGATTCTAGGTTTTGTGACTTTTGTGATATTAAATTGGAACAAACACTTGTCGTTAACTTGTTATAGCTAACTTATTTAATAGAATCGGTGAATCTTTTGCTACCTGGTTTAATGAAAAATATCATTTTCTTCAAGGACTGTTTTAGCCTAGAGGTTACGTCCATGCTTAGGAAGACCAAGGCCAGGTTAAAAATCTTTAAAATTTTCAATATGGGACTATCGTGGATTTGCTGATTTTTTTCGACTTATAATTATCAGCTATTCGAAAGTTTTTAGAATACGGTGTCTAGAATTTGTTATGTTTCAGGTTACTGGTTTCCAATATGCTGTATAGTTTCAGCTTTTATTTGCGTTCATGGTTTCTTCGGCTTTTTTTTGGCTCGTGATACCGGTTTGTTTACCTTGTATTACGTCGTTTTTGAAAAGCAATAATAGATTTCTATGAGTTTGTGTGCTTCGGAGAACGCATAAAATTGGAATTTAAATTTTTGTTGACTATTTTTTTCCTGGCTCAACTGGCGTCTGCCCAAGTTTTGTCTGCATAGTTGCCGCTTTGTAATTTTTTGGTTAATGCTTAAGTTACACTGGCTATTGCATTTCGCCACAGGGTTGTATCAAATTGAATTTCACTTGAGACAAACGTATAAAAATTTTAGGGGATGTTTTTCGTAATTTCCGTTTCGCCTCAGCTTTGAATTTTTTCGAATTTATTTTGACAATTTGACTTTCCGAGCACTCTTCCGATCAAAATTTTTTTGAATGAAACTTATTATAAAACTCTAATTTTCGATACGAAGTCTCAAATTTAGTCAATCACTGATATTAGTTTCCTTATTTTTATTTTTACTATCACGCTAAGAAAATCCATTTTAAATTAGGTCTTGTGATGTCTTCATTGAAGCCTGGACAGACTGCATTCCACTGTGAGTTGTGTGACATCACGTGCACCTCACAGGACGCATTCAACTCCCACACTGCAGGCGCCAAACACCAGAAGGTAACAGGCACTCAATTTAACACACTGACGCACTAACAGTAACTGAACAGGATTGTGTACAAGTATGATCGATGGGTTCCTAGAAAAAGCGAATGTTGAAGATGGGTTCATTTGAAAAATAGTGCTTTTTAAAAAATAAGATTGAAAATGCAATAAAACAAATGCATAAGCTGTTTTCGAATATATTTTTTAGTTCCTTAACATTTTGTTAAAGACCCCTATGCATATTGTTAAAGACCCCTTATTGCTCTCTGGGTTTAGCTAGCCTGTCCCAGATTGGAAAAAATGACTATGTGGTTCATCGTCTGGGTCGATTAGGTTGAAGAGTGGACAAATTTTTTGCGCAACTGCGTTAAATTCTTCGCTAGATGAATATTGTAGGCCTTTTTGCACAAGACTTTTAACTATAGGTAGGATCGAACAACATGCCAAAACTATCAGTAGCATTACTAACAAAAAGTTATGCCTGGCTCACCTGTTAAACTCAGCACACAAAATATTAGTTTGAAGAATATATCCTTGTAATCTACATTCACTGTGGGCCTATTGTTGCAATCAATCTGATAATTTAGTATTTTTTGAATTGATTTATTGTGTCGTGGTGAAGGTGGCCAAACTACATGAGAAGTTGGGCAAGCCAGTGCCCCAAGTGACGTCTGCGAGACAAGCCCAGGTGAAAATAGTGTCGACCTCTGTCGTCACTGGAAAGGCCAGCTCAGTGGTGCCCTTCAAGTCGGCCGGATACCTCGGGGGAGCCAGCGCCTCCTCGGACCCCGCAATTGCCAGTGGTTCCGCCTCTATATCCGGAACCACTGGATTCAAACCGGGTCCGGGTGTAGGTAGTTCCTCCACGGTAGCCGTGCCCGTGACTTCGGCCCTGGTATCTGCTGGACCTGGAGGCAATCCTCTGGACGGGGACGACGACCAGTAAGTGCATTCGGTCTGGTCCACACATAATCCAAAAAGAACCAATAGCAAACTCAAATAGTACAAAGACATTGAGGTAGTGTTAGTAAGAACCAATTGTCCGCAAGGTCATTTTCACTCGTTCACAGTACCTTAGAAGAATTCCAGTGAAAATTACTTATGGGATGTTGCATGCTTATGATATTCCTCATAAAATAGGCTACAAATGATGGACAAACTATGTGACTGGACCTTATGCATTTTGCTCAAATTCAACTTAACAAATTTTATTAAGAGCATCAAAAGGACGCGGCAAGAAACAGTGAAAAAAGACAAGTCATGTTATGGTTAGTTATGGAAAATTCAAACTGGAGCTTCCAGAATATTCTGCAGCTGATGACAACAACAAGTCCAATTTATATGCTCTTAATGAAAACAAAAGACAGTAATTTTTAACCGAGTTTTTTTTCGATGAGGTTTCTGGCGCCACTTTTTAAATCGTGAATTGCAAGTGAGTGGAAACGGATTAGGGCTTGTAAAAGAAGGAGTATTCCAATAATTTGAATTATGCTGGAAACCAAATAAAAGATCCAGAAGAGAATTTGGCCTAAGTCATATGAGAAGCAACTAAAGTTTGGCTTACCAACTTATTTTAGAAATTGGAGTTGTTTATGCATAGATCAATTAGTGGTGCCAGAACCTGAAACACAGTTGTCAAGTTTTCGGTGGACATAGTAATGTTAACGATCGCTTTGAGCGGCTGTTTCTAACTCAAACTAATTTCATTTAGAGTAAAATGTAATATCGTGAGAGCTCTTTACACCTGGGAGAGCAAAAATGTCTCATAATCAAACAGTTAACTTTGTAATCGAGCAAACTTTTAGAAACCTGATCATTTTTTGATTATCTCATGTTTGATAATCTAAAATTTAACTTTAAATATTAGTTATACAGGGAAGGAACCTTGTAGAATCATGGAAAAACTAATTTTTGAGCGGCATTTTTAAGCGCTTTGAAGATACCGAGGTTCTGAGCTCAAATATAAAGAGATATTTCAACTGCGGTCATTTTTTGTAAATTTTGAGATTTTGATGGCTAACAGTTTGTCTATTTGCTGCATTACATTATGCGAACTTTCACACATTTTTATATGGTGCTCCATTAGGAAGCGTTTTTTAAGAGTCGATGAACGTAGTTCAGACTCATATAGGTCGCGATGATTTTTTTCGTTTTTTTTTAAGGAAAAGTCTGTAAATTTGTTCAGGCTCAAGTTTACTTTTCGCAGTTTGGTTTTTGACTTCTTTTTAAGCTCAGATATTTTTCTTTCTTAAAAGTTAGGCAGACTCCACTATCGAACAGCGAAAGTGTAACGCCTCGAAAAACGTGATCAACTTCTAGTTACGAAATTAGAATTTAATTTTCAGATTTCCCAGTGAAATACAAAATTTACCTATTGATCCAGGTTTCTCAAATTGGGTAAATTTTCTCAAACAAGTGCGAATCATCAATTGCCCTAGAATTTCAAAGAAAATTAGGGGCATCTTTTTTTCTGGGATATTCGAAAGTTGAGATTTTTTTGAGAAATAAGTCAGTTTTTGTATATTTAATTGCGTTCATTGTCTTTTCCAACTGTCTATTGGCTATGTTTATTTGAGTGCTGGGAATTGATTCAAATTCATACTCGTTCGAGTGATCATTACAAATTGAATTGAGGCAAGCCAATTGTTCCCAATATTTGTTACCAATTGTTCCCAGACAGTTGTTCTTCTTGAAGTTGATTTTTTTTGCATTTGACCTTTTTAGCACAATATGCTATTTTTTTCGCGCGTGTTTGCGAAGGGCATCTTTGTCTTTGTGGCGCAATTTATTATCATGATGGCATTCTATTTGTTTTGGCTATAAATGCAGGAATAAAGTAGTGCTCAATTTCTGCTGGCTCTTTATGTTTTGTTGTTTGTGCGGCTGGATTTTTGTCTGGATTTAAAATGAAATTATAAATGTGGTCGGAACATTGCTGCTGGCAATCAATTCCAATTAATTTGCTTAAAATTAGGCAAATTGCGCTCTCCAATCAAGAAAAATCAAATGGCGCGAAAAAACGTGAATGGCTTAGTTTCTCAAGTGAATTTGAATTTGGAATCAAAACTTATCTATCGTTCAAGTTTTTTTCTCCAATTGGATGAGTTTTATGAAAGGGTACTTTTTATAAAAATAACTTTGACTTCAGCATGAGGCGTAGATGATTTTTAACATACCTCAACATGATGTCTTCAGAGCTGGAAAGTTCAAAAATATGTGAAAGTATCGTTTTTAGTTTCTCGAGTTTATTGAGACTCTTTACTTTCGTTCGGCCATATTTTTTTTCGAACTTTTCAGGAACCGTTTTAAACAGTGTTTACGAACAAAAATTGGTTTATACCGGTTTGCTTATTGATTTTTTAAAAGCTGGTAGCTAAAAGGAAGGCAAATTACGTTCTCGAGTAACGAATGTTCAAATGGCGTGGAGAAACGAGAAAGCTTTCTTATCTGAAGTTAATTTTGATGCAGTGTTCTCTAAACTTATGATTTCAATCGAAAGTTCCAATCATGAAAAATTTTTGAAATTCAAACGCTTTAACGTGATTTGTTTCTTTTCTTCGAATGTCGAAAGGTAGAAAAAATGTTTAAAAATTTTTCTGATGTTTTTCACACTTCCTACTATCTGCTGGCGCTTGCTAAACTTATAATGAAAATTGAGTTAAACTGTATGAGAAGTTTAAGAAAATGACATGTCATTGCTTTCGATAGGAAAAATATAAAAGATAAAACCTAATATGTTTTGTTGTAGCATAACTGAAAACGCAAATATATGTCATTAATGGTGTTCGACAGTTAATTAGCGGACTGGCATCTGTGAGAAATGGTAAAGTTATCATGAGTCAAAATTGAACTTTCCAATATAAAAATAAACTAAAAGGACAAAAATCAACGAAATACAAAAAATCAGGTAACAATCCAGCAAGTTTTATTAGTGTACGGCAGACAATCATGTAGTTGCATGTTTATGTATTGTCGATATGTAAAAAGTTCAATATAAATTATTTGACATTGTACAGCAGCTAAATGGTGATCCCATTAGTTGGGCCAGGATTCGATATGGATTATTTCACAAAACTCCCACCGAATAGTAAACTTGATTGAATTGCATGGCGACGAGTTGTCGCTTTTAACGACAGCAACGCGAAATACAGTGGGTTTTTTTGTTATTCATTGTGATTTTTTTTTGTGAAATTATTTTGTGATCCAAAATTGATCTTGTTGTTATTTTGAAAATTGCATCATAATTCTCAAATCCGATCGAGTGAAACTAATTACCACTAATGATTATGAAGATTATCATCAAAAACAGGAGCTCAATTAGCAATTTGGTAATTTTGTACCGTACATCAGAAAAGACAAATTACTGTATTGAAATTGAGTGTGTGTGTGTATATGGCTCTAACATGTTTATGTATTGTGTGTGTTGTGTGTGTGGTGTAGAGGGAACGAAGTGATTGGGGCGGAGTACGTGGAAGTGGTGCAGTTGGAGGATGGCAAGATTGTGCAGTACAACTGCAAACTGTGTGAGTGCAAGTTCAACGACGCCAACGCCAAAGACCTCCACCTCAAGGGCAGAAGACACAGACTCTCCTACAAGAAGAAGGTACAGAGAGACAAGCAGATGAAAATTACGTTGTCTTGTTTAATTTAGCTGTTATCAAACTGAATGCGGATGAAACTAGTCTATAATTTTGTTGAAAGGAGGGAAGCAAAAACATTTAGTCAAGTTGCTTGATTCCCGCAGACTAAATGCATCATCTTAAAAATATTTTCCTTTTAAAAAATTGAGTAGCGGCTGTCAAGTTATGATATATGTGGTTGTGTAGGTGAATCCGCAGCTGGTGGTGGACAACAAGGCCCAGCAGAACAGACAGCGGAAGATAGAAGAAAGGAACAAGATGAGATCAGGGGGCATGGGAATAGGGGGCAGGGGTCCACTGGGGCCGGGCGGGATGGGCATGGGAGGGGGACACTCGGACGGGGTGTGGGCCATGAAGGTACTACACTTACTTCAACTCTATTTAAGACACTTCAAAAATGGTGACTTTCTAGTCTTAATTGTCTCTTTGGTTCAGAAGTCAAATTTATTCATAAACAACTTCACACAAATCAAAACAATAGTTGACGATATTGCCGCTTTTTTTGAGAGTTCTAATGAGACAGTTCACGTCATGAATAAACTCAATTGTTGTTTATATGAAGACTGTTTAGTATAAAGAAGTAAACAATAAACAGGCTGAAGTGTGCTACAGACAGGTCAGAAAGATGGAACAGAGAATCTTGCTCAGAAAGAACTATTATTTGATCAGAACATAATTTGCATCCTGGATGGTTTATTCTGATTTTTGAGCTCTGTGTCTGTATATATCTAGTGCAATGTAAAAGTAGTGTGAAGATGATGTTGCTTATCTGGTGGGTGTGTCTGTTGTTTAGGAGGAGATGAAGAAGATGGAAGATGAGCTGTATGCCAGATTCGGAGGAGGCGGAGGAGGGCAGGGCGGCAAAAAGGTAATCTGATTACAACACTCGACTTGTAATAGTTGATTCTGTTGTCACATCGACTCCTATCGTTTTATGAAAACAAGCTCTTTGGGAATCTATGGTATCGCTCAATCTTGACTTGGCCTCCAAGACCAAGTTTCAATAGTTTTATGTCGATTAAACTCAGGCAGATATTTTTTTTGCTTCGCCTAATAAATTAATGATAGAAAGATGGACGAGTTATTTTAATTCAAGCTATACGATACTACTCAGCTGATTAGTTTACATATACTTCCCCTACATATGTTCTAACCTCCATCCTAAAAGAGCAAATTAGAAAACTTTTATTTAAAAAAGTTATCCATAATTGTAACACGTTGCTAGTCCTTTGAATGTTTGGTCCAATTGTGTGTGTGCTATTCGTGTAGGCGGAGAGTTTTGACGACAGACATGTGCTGGCTAAGCACCAGACCATCTACCCGGACGAAGACACTCTCAATGCAGTACAGGACATAGTGGTCAAGACTGAGAAGGCTCTCAAGGTGAGAAGGGAAGGGTGGATGTAATTTACAAATGAGCAAAAACAACTTTGCTAGACTATCTCGAAGAAATCTAATGGGGCAACCGAATCAATTTTTTGGGGTCAATGTGTTTGAAAAGAATAGATTTTCGAATGTAATTGAATAACGCATTAATAGTTGAACCATTAGTGTGCATTTTGTTCATGATGCAACTTTGTGTGTGATGTTCTGTTAGCATACCAATTGCGTAGCATACTCAACATAATATCGCTTAGTTTTCTTAAAAATACACTATCTGTGCAGATAGTGTCTGACAAGATCTTCGAGGAAGACAAAGCGAAGGCGGAGGAGGAGGCGAATACTTTTTCCTCTTCTGGAATCAAACAGGAGGCTACTGCTTCTGCGGTTGACACTGTGCTGGGAGTGAAGATGGAGACAACAGCTGCAGATGAAGGTCAGCACAACTTTTATACTTGCAGATGCTTCCTTAGACTTTGTTTTATTTGTTGAAATGCGTTATTTTTATAGAATTTTTGGTATTAATAGAGCTGCTTCGAGAAAGTTGTGTCAATACTTGATTCCAAAAAGCCTGCTATTGTTCTTCAAGCCAACCCTGCAGGTTTTATGATATTTTTGCATTGTATATCTGTAACAGCTCTGGAAATACAATAAAAAAACAAATTTCAATCCTGTGAGTGAATTTATTCTTCTGTTGTTAGACGTGGAGAAGAATCAGGAAAAAGAGAGTTCAAAGGAGAAAGGCAAAGGGGGGAGTGGGGATGACGATGTGTCCAAGTACAGGGAGCTGAAGGGGGTCATGCGAATCGGAACTCTCGCTAAAGGTAATTTGTTTGCTTTATTGATAGAAAAGTTCAGTTCAAATGATCGAGGGTTTTAAGGGCAGCTTACTCGACATGCGTGAGTCTTGGGTTTAAAAAATTTGGCGCTCAAGTATCCGAGCGATAAAGGTGATATCCATAAGTTTGGTAATTGAAGGCGAAGGCAGATGCTTCATTTTTGTCTTTTTAGGTCTGATGTTGAAAGGGGACAGTAAAGTGTCTCTGGCTGTTCTGTGTCAGCACTGGCCCACCACCATCCTCCTCTCCCGAATGTTCAAATTCCTCCCCCATATTCTCAGAGAAGTGGATAACAGCAGCAGCACCAGCGACACTTCAAACACAGGTCACATTATTATCCCCTCTAGTGTCAAAAACGGTTTGTTTCAAAAAGGGAATAAAGTTTTCTCTTGTCAATAACATAACATATTATACATAAATCTAAGAAAAACACCATGCGCCATAGTTCCATACCACCTCCTTTACTATGTTGGTCGGAACAACAATTCAATGTCAAAGTGAACATCGAAATGATAGCGCTATTTGCATTTATTTCATATGATTATTTATATGATTAAGAGGGCTCGTCAATAACGAGACTGTCGATTCATCGGCGCAACCACTTCACTGTTAGAGTAAGAAGTAGATTGTTCCATCCGAGCAAAGTTTGTGCAAGACAAGTTAGAAACAAGAAAAAAGTCGGAGTGGAGAAGCAAAAGATCCTTACGTTCTTGCTCTTCACTTGCACTTCAGTGGCCGATTCTTAACTGTGTTTTGTTTGGTGTAGGTGGTTCTGACACCGACATTGGACACCAGGCCCAGAAGGAGGACAAGTTTGACATCTCCCTCAACTTGGCCACTGGCATCATAGTCATCCAGTCCAAGAACCACCAGCCCACAATCACACTCACCATATACCTCACATCACCTGTAAGTCTCGATTTGCCCTAACTTTAACTTTCATCTTAAAAGTTGTCACTTTTAAATTTTTTTCTGCGTTTTTTTTCAACTTTGAACTTGTTACTCTACTCTCCAGGGTCTGTCTAAAAGAATCGCTGATACACTTTCTTAAATCTGTGATTTCGTAACGAAAAGTAGTGTGTTTGAGAATTTCTGGATCTTGCCTACTCTTGAAATACACTTCAAGTATAGTTGAGTTTACTAATTTTGCATTGCTTCATTTGAATTTCTAATCTACAATTATTTTTCCAATCAAAGTCTGAATCATGTTTGGAGAAATAGAAAAGTGTAATTAAGAAGAATAAATTAGATGCTTATGATCAGAGCTGTCATCAGCTATTTTTTTTTATAAAGGGCATCATATGACTCATTTTGTGTACAGGTGTGCAGAATTGAGAACTCTACTGGAGATGATGGGATAGACTCGGCAATGATAACCCCCGAAGCAGAAGCTAAGCAACCACCCGCAGCCAACTCACAGGTAATGTCACAGCTGGTCTTTTTAAAGGTCATAGTTACGTTTTTCGCATTTTAAAATCTGAAATCGGGAATAATGTTCTCAAATTTTGGTCTATAATGTGCATGACCACACAATAGTAAATTGCATTTTTTTTTGGTTCTATGTGGTTTGGTTGATTAACTGAATTAGTGATTCGGCCTAGTAGCTTATCGGGGTACCGCGTTCAGGCAGGAATCATGAATATCATTAAATAATATAGTAACGTTACTTGGATCATTTCGTCAATGGTTTAATGTTGTGATAACTTCTAGTTTTTGATGAGAATTGTTTCTAGTCTTTTTCAGGAAATGCTTTAATAACTACCCAAGTGCTTTCATACATATCAATTCATTTCTGAATGCACTTAGGTATAAATGCACTTTTTGAGTTCAAGTTCAATTCTCAGGAGGCGCTGCTGGAGAGGAGTAAGATATCGAGGGAGTTGTGTCTGTCTGTGCTGGCCGAACTGAGACACCAGAAGTGGTTCGAGGCCAGAGCCAGTGGACTGGCCTCCTGCGTCATCATCGTCCGAGTGGTGTACGACCTCATAAACAGGTGAGAACTTTCTTATTTCGACCAGGCACTTCAACTTTTCAGAGCTATTTTAAAAACATGCATAAATTATCATCTTAATGTTATTAGCTCACCTATTCTTTTCTACAGATGCACTATTAAGTCTATAAGAGAGTGCTTATACATACAATATATACAATAAATAACCAAAGTGAAGTTGTTCTCTAGTCTGTTTTGTTTCTTTTTAGAGAATGAGGTTAATGTGTGTGATGTGATTGTAGAGTGTCTTCGTGGAACCCCCTGTCGAAGTGGGCGGCTGAACTGTTGGTGGAGAAGGCACTCAGCTGTTCTGCCCAGTCATTCATGAGTCCCGGGGATGCACTCAGACGAGTCATAGAGACCATGGCCTCAGGTATATATATATATATACACACACACACTAACTCAGACACACAAGAACATTCACACAATCACACGCAACAATTAAAACTACACTCAATTTAAACATTTTGTCATATCCGTTTCTATACTGAAAATCTAAAAAAAGTCCAAGATGATTTGAAGTACCTGAAAGAAAGATGACGCTCAGAAAGGTGGGGTCATAAAAAAGCCCTAATGGTTGTGATTCTGGTTCTTTATGTCTCGATGTGAAGAAATATCTGAATGACATTTTTGGATTTTCAGAATTAAATGACATGAAATTTACAAATGACGCCATGAGAATAATTTGTAAAAATACTATCAATTTAATCTCAAGCAATTTAAACATTAGTTTAGCTATTATATCGCTTAATCAAACTGATGCCATCACCCTTTACTGCGAAAAAGAACACCGGGGAAAAGTTCCTAAATTTAATCTAGTTGATTTTTTTGTTTTTGAAGTTTTTTTTGAGTTTCTTTAAATCAATCATGTTGGTCGGAACTTTCTGTGCTAGTTGTGCAACATTGGCTATATTTGTTTGATTTAATATTACAGCTTATTTTGAGCGTGTCAATTAATATTGCTTGAGCGAAGTTGAATCAATATTTTTTCGGCTCCGCATGTCAGCCCTTTCACCATTAAAGTGGTTCTTTTCACTCTGAAACATTTGTTCGATTCGCCTATGAATAGGTTTTCTGTAGAATAGTATGATCTTTTCTTATATCTTTTCCTGTATAGTATGTTGCATGATTATGAGTTAAATGGTTGTTTTGTGTATAAATTATATAAAGATGAAGAAAATGAACCTCGATGATGATAAAAATGAACAGTATCAATGTTTTCTGTTTTGTGTGTAGGTGTGCTGTTGCCAGACGGGTGTGGTTTGTTGGATCCATGTGAGAGGGACAAGACAGACGCGGCTGCCTCGCTCAACAGACAGCAGAGGGAGGACATAACAGCCAGTGCACAACACGCACTTCGCCTAATCACATTCAAAAACATACACAAAGTGCTAGGTCAGTCACTTTGTGCTAGGGCAATGTAAAAAAAATTTGTTACATTATTACATTAGTATGTCTAAAGTTCATCTTCGTCAAAAATTCTTCAAGCATCGAACATTCTTAGCTAGTAGCGGATTTAGAGGGGAGGACACTCCCAACCTCTGTTCTCAGGGATTCGACCCAAGGTGACCCCCGTTTGGTACTCTTTTAAGACATCCGTTATCGGCTCACCGAACCTACAGTTTTCTTAAGGCGCCAATATGTAATAATTTTGAGGGGGAGCGTGCACCGTTAAACGCAAACATTTGTCAAACTTTCCAAAAAGTGCTAAAAACGCCTTTTTCGGCCGTCTTTTTTTGAAAAAAATTCGCCTACATCACAGAAAGTTTTGCTCAGAAAAGGGTCTTAATAGTGAATATAGGAGCTCGGAAAATCAATTGTTTTGGCCTAAAATTTTTTTTGAACTTCGCCATCCCCTGTAGAGAAAATCCAAGATACGCCCCCTGTCCTTAGGTGCTATGTAATAATATGAAAACGAGGGGAAGTGTTGGGGCTGAAGTTTTACAAATCTGCATGCAGTTGGATGCAAAGAAACTTTGGTGTGGCTCCAAAATAGGCGAATATGGAATGAGTTGAAAATGTGCTAAAATTGTAATCTCTTTCAGGCATCCAGCCTCTCCCGGGAAATGAGAGGAAGAGACCAGCTCCTGTGGCATCGGCTGGATCCAAGACTCCTGTAGGAGCAAAGGTCACCAAGCTGTAAGGAGGAGTTCGTAACTCCAACAAAGCCAGAGTCTCTTTTAGACGAAGACATTGTGATAGCTGATAATATGTGTCCAACACGACATCAATTTTTGACATGATTAGTGACGACAGAAGAGACCACGAATTTTTTTTCCACGTGGTTTTTTGAAGATATCCAAACTAGATGTGAGAATCCACCCTGTGCTAATGTTTAGATGTCGTTTATTTCCAAAACTATAATTGCAAATGGAAATTTTATTTATGCTCTCATGTTGTTAATTCTACTACGTTAAATGATGTTATTGTTTGTTTGAGGTCTTTTTCCTGCAATAATCTTTGTTAGTTCTCTTAAATATGTTTTGATATTCATTTTTTTGATTTCTTTCTTAGATGTTTCCTTTGAAGCTACATGAGGAAGGTATCGGTTCCAAAAAAAGGAGGCGATCTGAGTTGACAGACGTATGCCGTAAAAAGTTCTGACATTTTTTTGTAAACACTAAATGAAAAACTACTGCTACCAAAACATAATCGATTCTCAAGTTTTCTCACGTTCTCGGGACGAATTTTATCGGGTTATAGATTGTTGCACAGCCAATTGTAACGCGATTGACGAACTGATCAGTTAGTGGCCAGTTCCAAGCCAAAAATGTGCCGAAATTTTTATCTTCCTTGTATCAAATTTCTTCTTCCTGGCTTGCTCTAAGTCTAGCTTCGCTTCTTTATTTTTGTTTAGACAAGTAAACGCTTTGTGATGTCATAAGCGTTCTCTTTTCCCATATTCAGTCGCCTATTTTTGTGTTCAATTTTGCTCCTCAATTTAATTACACTTACGAAGCAATGTGTATTAGTATGAACTTTCTTTTTTTCCAACCTAAGTCGCAGATAAAAGTGCTAATTTTGGTGGCCTGTTTTGAATAGTTAGGCTGCGGTAGCAGTATAATATCAGATGTGCTTCGACATTTGATAAGTAAAAAGTTAACACAGCTGATGCATTTTAAATTCATCAAATGAACCAGAAAAAGTTATTTGTTTCAAAAGAGAAGTGCAATGATAAAAAGCTCTATTTCAGAAATTTTCCAACTCAATGTAATTCGCATTTTTTTAAATTGAATAATTTATAATTTGGCTTTGTTTTTGCAGTTTATTACATGCAAAATGGTGTCTTTTTGTATTTGCTGCATTGTATGGCAATTTATTAGCATATGTAGCTGCATTATTGGTTTTTAATTTTTTGGGGCTGAGTGGTTAGTCATGAGACTCATTTTTGCCAGTTCACAGATTCAAATCCGAATTGTAGCTGAGTTTTTTCTAATTCGAGGCTAATTTCTACTTTTTCTTATGTCACTTGATAGAGCTCTTTTTGGTCGTGTTCTCGCAAGTGTTTGCGAAGCGTAGCTTGCCTCTGTGTTAAACTTTTATTTGGTAGTGTGTTTTTAAGAGTAATGAATGTAGTGAAGACTTATCTTTTTTTTTCAGCACGAAGTCTTAAATTATTGATGCACTTAAGTATAATGCACTTTTTGAGTTCAATTGAAATTCATCTGCTGAAAGTGACCTAAATAGCACTCTCCAAATACAAACGTGGAACTGGCACGAGAAAACGTGAGCCATTTCTAGTTTCGAAAGTGGAATTTAATTTGTAGATATCCAGCGGAGTAAAAACTTTACCTATTGATCCAGTTTTCTCTAGTTGGGTAAATGTTTTCATCAATTGCCCTAGAATTTCAAAGAAAATTAGGGGCATTTTTTTTTCTGGTATATTCGAAAGTTTTTTTCGAGATATTCGAGATTTTTTCGAGAAATAAGTCAGTTTTTGTCTGTTTAATTGCGTTCATTGTCTTTTCCAGCTGTCTATTGGCTACGTTTATTTGAGTGCTGGGAATTGATCAATATTCATACTCGTTCGAGTGATCATTACAAATTGAATTGGGGCAAGCCAATTGTTCCCAATATTTGTTACCAATTGTTCTCAGACAGTTGTTCTTCTTGAAGTTGATTTTTTTTTGCATTTGACCTTTTTAGCACAATATGCTATTTTTTTGCGCGTGTTTGCGAAGGGCATCTTTGTCTTTGTGGCGCAATTTATTATCATGATGGCGTTTTATTTGTTTTGGCTATAAATGCAGGAATAATTTAGTGCTCAATTTCTGCTGGCTCTTTATGTTTTGTTGTTTGTGCGGCTGGATTTTTGTCTGGATTTAAAATGAAATTATAAATGTGGTCGGAACATTGTGCTGCTGGCAATCAATTCCAATTAATTTGCTAAAAATTAGGCAAATTGCGCTCTCCAATCAAGAAGAATCAAATGGCGCGAAAAAACGAATGACTTAGTTTCTTAAGTGAATTTGAATTTGGAATCAAAACTTATCTATCGTTCAAGTTTTTTTTTCTCCAATTGGATGAGTTTAATGAGAGGGTACTATTTACTAAGGGGAAGTTTGACGTTAACATGAGGCGTAGATGATTTTTAACATGCATCAACCTGATGTCTTCAGAGCTGGAAAGTTCAAAAATATGTGAAGTATCGTTTTTAGTTTCTCGAGTTTATTGAGACTCTTTACTTTCTTTCGGCCATATTTTTTCCGAACTTTTCAGAAACCGTTTTAAATATTGTTTACGAACAAAAAATATGTTTATACCGGTTTGCTTATTGATTTTTTAAAAGCCGGTAGCTAAAAGGAAGCCAAATTACGTTCTTGAGAAACGAATGTTCAAATGGCGCGGAGAAACGAGAAAGCTTTCTTAGCTGAAGTACCCAGCGGAATGATAAAAGTTAATTTTGATGCAGTGTTCTCTAAACTTATGATTTCCATCGAAAGTTCCAATCATGAACAATTTTTGAAATTCAAACGCTTTAACGTGATTTGTTTCTTTTCTTCGAATGTCGAAAGGTAGAAAAAATGTAAAAAGTTTTTCTGATGTTTTTCACACTTCCTACTTTTTTGAAATTCGAAAGTTGAAATTTTTTCAAGAAAGTGTTTTTTTTTCTATGTTTACTTGTGTTTATTACTCTTTTCCAATCTTCGATTGGCTATGTTTAGATTTTCCAGCGGAATGAGAAACTACAATTTGGTTCAGTTTTCTCAAATTTGGTTGATTTTTTCACAAACTTGTGAATCGTAATTTCGAAGAGCTTTAAAGCCTGGTAGAAAGCTGAAGATGTTGAAAATAATCAAATTAGTTATTTTTTGGATTATTTTTTTGGTTTCTTTGCGTTCATTAACTTTTTCCTATTGTCTCTTGGCTTTGTTTTTGAGTTTTGAATTCAAAATCATTTGCTAAAACTTATGCAAATTATGGTGGTCAATTATGAAAGCGAGAATGAGGCAAAAAAAAATGTGAATTTTTTCTAGCTTCGAAAACAGTTTTTAATTTTTAGATTTTCCACGGAATAAAATGTTTATCTTTTGATCCATTTTCCCCAAATTTGATTTAGTTTTTTCCCCACAAAAGTTTAAGTTATAAATTGCTCGGGAAATAGCTTCGAAGCTATTTTTTTCTCGAAATTTTAATTTTTTGAATTTCCTCTTTTCGAGCTCTGTTGGCTATGTTCACCTTTGCGATGCCCTTATCTTTGCATACAACTGTCTATTTCTAGAACAAAGCTTTCCTCTTAAAATCAAACTCCATCTAACATAAAGTTGGCGATTTTCTTCGATTTAACTGCTTACGTCTAACAACTCGACGTTTTGGCAAATTTTTTCTTCAGTGATTTCGACTACATTGTGCAAAACTTACTGCGTCTAAGGTATGCATTCGAATTTTTTTTGATTGTTCCTTTTTTCGTTCGTTTCAATGAAAAAAAGCAATTTTCGGTTTACTTGAAAAGATACTGAGTTGGTGGTTCATAGTCATTCTTCTGTTTAATTAGTGCATAACACATTCAGTCTTGCTGAAATTGTTTCTAGATTTCGAAAACCATATTGGATAGCAAAACAAGCGCAATTCTGCCTCACATTTTTATAGATTTTTTAAGATAACAGTCCTTTTTTTGCAATTTTGTGCGATTTTTTCACACGCCAAACGTCAAAAAGGTACCACCTGTTGAGTAGCACTGAGTTTTTCAAAAAATTTTATTTGTTTTTGAAGTTTTTCAATTTTTTTTCACAAACAATTAGACAAAACGAATGATTCCGCTCAATTAGCGCTGATATAACAAAAATCTTGCCTATTTCTGTCGGTAATAAATTTACAAGACTTCAATCAGAATTTTTTAGGGTAATATTTTTCAAAAATTATTTTACCTTCAAGATAATTTAGAGATTTTTTCGATGTCATTGTAGGTTTGAAAGCTAGGAATATGCTGCAGTTTTTTTTTATTTTATCAGTTTTCTATCTGTCTGATGTGTCGCCTTGGTGCCAAGTTTAGCTTCGTATCGATGTTCTTGATTTTATTTTCAGGTAATGAATGAGAAGATGGTGTTAGTGACTGCAGGAGTCTCTTTCGTAGTGAAGAACAACAGCAACGACATATCAACATCAGACAACACAAACACCACTGCAGTCATGGCCACCTCTAATGGCCATACACTCAATGGACATAGTAATGGCCTACTGAATAAAGGCATCACTGTTGTCAATGCCACTCGTGGAGCTGCGAAGAAGCAAAACAAAAATTCTAATTCCACTTCTGTGGGCTCCATAGTAGGTATGTGGCGAAAAACCTCATGTTTGTCTCATCCTAAGTGCCATTGAATGAAAGGAGTTTTCCGTAAGTTACGGTACGTTTGTTTTGTTTCCAGGATAAATCTCCTTTGTTCCAATTTTATCAAAATATGCTGTTTTATCAGAAAAGATCTTGAGTTTTAAGATGTAATTTTTATTTTTTGTTTCGATCCCACCACTAAAATGTGTAAGAAAGGATTGTTTGTTTTTCAGACTAATTTTTCAGACTGCAATTTTCAAACTGAATTTCTAATTTAACTCTTACAAGATTTTTTCAATTACTTTGGCTGTTTAACAGTTTTTCAATATTTTAACCTATTTCAACTGATTTTCATGGCTCATTTGCTAATTCAGTTCCCTCTCACTAATTCGAAAATATAATTTGTTATAAAACTAGTCATGGCCGCAGCATTCTGTTGTACTTGCACAACAACCGGACATGTTTGTTTCTAATATGGTGTTAAGTTGGAAAGTTATTTTTTCCTGATTTCTTGAGTACCGTAAGACTTTCAAGTGTGTGGTGGCTATGTTTCAAATATAGGAAAGTTTTTCGTATAAGTTTTCTGATATTAGCACTTTGTAGGTGCATCGTTTATTACATGACTTTACCTCTAACTCTTTGGATTTAAAAAAAAACTTGATTAGATAAAATTGTCATGTTTGTTTCTAATTTTTGTCAGGTGTGCTCATTTATTTATTCGAGGTTAAGCGCAGTAGTTTTGCGTACACTGTGTAATTTTTTTGGTAGGATACTTAGAAATCAATTAAATTGTTTCAATTAGGCATCGGCAGTCTGTGTGGACTTCCGGAGGAGCTGGACCTGATTGGGGATTTAGGCGAGCTGGACGTGGAGCAGTTGATGGCAGGAGTGGGCATGGGGGAGTACGATGTTATAGAGGGGGGCTATGATGGTTTGAGTGGGGGTGCTATTGGCAAACTAATGGAGGACCTGTCTAGATCAGTGGGCAATGGCAGGTCGTCCTGCTTGGAGGATGAGAACTTCGCCATAGAGGTTAGATCATGAATTTAGTGGTCAATCAACAATCTTAAGGACTCTTTGGTCGCCTTTATAGTTTCCTTTACCAAAATTGGTTGAATTTTACTTTTACCAACCAAACCCTCCCCTCAAGTTGGGTAATTGCCATGTATTGATATAAGTTTAATCTAGTAAAATATAAAGGTTGGGGGGGGGGGGGGGGGTAAAAGAGTCTAACTTAAAATTCCTTGGTTAGTAATAATCCCGATTTTGCAGTTTAAAATAGTTGATTAATGTGCGGATTGATTAATAATTTTTGCTGACAGATTCTGGCTTCCCATTACATTAAATGACACGTGCAAAGTATCTTTTGTATTGCAGGTGGTTTTTGGCGCGAAGAATGGGAAGCGGCTCAAAGCTACAGCGGGAGGAGTGGGAGGTGGGGGTGATGGAGAGAGTGGGGGACAACTGAGCAGACTGTTGTCTGAGGGGGAGTTGAATGAGCAGAAGAAGAGTAAAGAGAAGAAGAAGAATGGAGAGCTGATGGAGGGTGTCCTGGGGGCGAAGAGGAGAGAGTTCGAGGAACTGAAGAGGTAAGCGAACATTTACATGTCTAAGTAGAATGCTTCCAAGTGGCATTAAAATGTTAAGTGAATGTGTATTTGCTTGATGTAACTTTTTTCCGATGTCACTGCAAGTAATTGTTGTAAGTCATAACAACAACAAAAATGTTCAATGTCATATATCTTGTGTTTGAAATTGAGCCGAGGTTAAGTTCGATTGTCCCCGATTTTAGGAAACAACATTATCCTGCCCTTTGATAGAATGTGATGGAATTTTTGAGTCTTTATGAAAAATTACTCTGAATAAAGCTTTCCCATTGAGTTAATGTTCTGAATTTTCATTAGTACTAAAGAGCTTGTTTCAAAAATTCCAAGGAAAGTGCTTTTAGCGAAATGTTGCTGAAACGTCATTTTTTGGCTTTTGTTGAGTTTGCCTGCTGAGCAACAACTGTTGGCACAATTTAGGGAATTAGGTAAGACTCTGCTCATTTAGTTCCCCAATCTACAAAGTTGTGACAGGTGTGTAATTTAAGTGACTGTTTAGGTGGATCATGGATGAATTTAAGTCTCCCCCTCCCCCTTTGCCATTCACATTCCCCCCAGATGCAGAAGACGAAGAGTTGCAAGCAGGTGGACTGGAAAACGAATTAAATGGGGACAAAAATGGACAACTAATATACGATGAGGAGGGTGAGAATGACTCAGCTTGTGGAAACAAAAATTTTATTCTTTCCAATAATTTTTTTTAAAATTTAACTTCCGAACTTATTCAACTCTATAAATAACATTTAACTGAATAATTATTTATGTTTGGTTCCATTCGTTCGTTCGCTGGAATAAACACATCAAAGATCATTTAGTAAAAAAACATTAGTATTTTCGCGTTTGCTGATGAGATATACCTGGTTAACACAGACGGAAGTTAGCTAAGGAAAAGACAAATTTTGTTAACAAAGCTTAGGCCGTTAAATGTCAAGAAATAATATTCTGAATTACAAAAAGAAAAGCAACGATATAAGCTGACCTGCAACTATCTTACCCTAATATAGTTATTGATTATTGCCAGTTTAAATCTTGAGAAAACATCATACACATTTGTTTAGGTGTGTCTGATGAGGAAGCAGCAGCAGGAGGAGGGGGTCTGTTGGATGATATGATATGTGATGATGACGATGAAGATGATGACATGGGGAGTACTAGAAGGGGCAATATGGAGAGGGAGATGAAGAGGTCAATTGAGAGGTCAGAGGAGGTGTTCCAAATGACACAGCCACTCCTCCACAAGTAACCTCTTAAATTAAAGTTGTTTGCACCTGTCTAAATTTTCTATTTACTTCTTAAATTTTTGCACCACTCAATGTAGCTGTGGTACCGTATGTATTGTGTGTGAGCCATTGGACTTGTAATGTTGTAGATGAAGACCGAATGTTGAATTGAGTGATTAACATGATTGCTAAAACTGAAAGCGACAGGGAAATGTTAGCGTACGTTTTATTTCGTTAAAATCACAGTTGGTGGGATAGTAAAGCAGAATTAGACAAAAAAGGTTAGCTTGGTTTTTTTTTTTTCAAAAAAAAAACATTGTAAAAAGTTTAAAATAGTGTACGAATGGTCACTTGTTTGGTTTTAATTGTCCCTGGTTTCAATTTCTATACATCATTTTAGTTAACTTGTTTGGTATGGTATGTTGGTAGATTGGTATTTTAGAGCTTTTGCCACCCTGAAAGCTTCGGCATCTCTGAAGTCTACAAGTGAGAACAACACAGACACATTTGCCACAGTGAAACAGCTGAATGACTCACAATTCAACTCCTTCTCAGACTTCGTCCTCACTAAACTCATCGTGAGTAGCGCTTTAACCACTCATTTTAAAAATGAAGATTAGTATGAGTTATCGCCATCTAAAAAATAAAATATATTTAGTAAATTTATAAGAAGAGGGGTTTTGGCTCGCCAGAAGTCCAACATTAGGAAAACGTGTTGACGTTGAACTATGTTTTTATGCTGAGTTTGATAAGTTCTCCTATTTTTCAGTCATAATTGAGTGGTGAGGGGGAGTTATGGACGCTTACAAAGATGTCAAAAAGGCAAAATAATCCTTGCTTGGGAGCTGAAGAGATGTATTGAAAGATACCGATTAAGTCACCTGTGCGAAAACGATTTGCGTGATTTTTAAATTAAATAATGATAGAAAACAAACTTGTTTTCAACAATCGGTGAATTCCACGAATAGTTTTTAAAATAAATATCATCAAGAAATACTTATTAATTTATTATATCTTTGACGTGTTAGGTGAGTGTGATGGATAAAAGACGGACAAGTCACCACTACACTCCCCCAGTCAGTGGGAGACCCCTCACACCTCCCCCACCACCATCATCCACCACACCACACAATGCAGCAGCTGTGAACAGTGGGAGGGGCACTACAGGTGGTGGGGGGAGCAGACAGGATCCAAGCAGCTCTTCCAATTCAAATCAGGTCCATAATGAATGAATTTTCTGTGGATCAATTTAACATTATCCCTTCTGAACGGACCAATTAAAGATCTGAATTCAATACTTCGAATTTTTACTTGAGGTGGATTAGGAAAAAATGTAAAAGAGGTTCAGCTTTTAGTTCGTTCATTCGTAATCGTGCCTTGCAATGTTGTAACTCGTTTGTTTGTTTCCTCAGGTGGTGTCTACTTCATCTTCTTCATCATCAGCATCAACATCATCATCTGTGTCGCCTTCTGTTTCTCCTGGAACTGGGAGTGGAAGTAGAGAGAGTGAGAGTGTGCCAGACTACTTGGAGGATGAGGAGTTCATGACTGAGATGTGTTATGACACCATGATGGACTCATTCCAACAGACACTCTGTGCACACCTAGGTAAATTAAATCACACACATGTGCACTCAAACACCAAGTGATTCATTGCTGATGTATAAAAGAACGCGACAGCTGAGCAATTCTTTAGATTTCTAAGACAATTTTTTCATGATGGACAGGATCAATATACGAGCTGTTTCTAAGCGAAGTTAAGTATATCAAACAATGGAAAAATCAATAAGGGAAATAATCCAGCAAATATTGTACATTATTCAGTTAGTTTGATGTTCATAAAGAAACAAAATGATGGAATATACATGATACTTTTTTGAGGCGCTCATAAGCCGAATCATCTGTCCAAATGATTTCTTGTAAAAAGTTGAAGAAGAAATTTAGTCTGCATATAAGCATGGGTTTGGCTGAGGTGTTTCGTTGTTTCCGATATTATTTCACGGTATGAATCTATGTCAGATGGAGTTCCGAGAATTTCACCAAATTATTCTTTGTTTTTCGAATGACTATCATGCCTTGAATTTGTCGATAAGCGCATTATAAATGGAAACGTATTATTGGTCCTGGTTAGGCTGAGGCCCTGCTATACATTTTTTTTTCTGACGTAACTTCTAAACGCTTAGAACAATCTAGCGGCGACTGAAACTATATTGTTGCCTCAACTTGAGCTTGAACACGGCTGCTTATTTTGTTCGATTATATAGTTCAGGTCCAAAATCGTCAAGATAGACTCCTAAACAGGGGCGGATATTGTTTTAAAAAAGATAAACGTAGTAAAATATGAAGCATCTAAAAGCTAATTTTTGCATAATTGTCAACTCACCTAATTCTTGGGTACTTATGAGACGTTTCTGGCTCCGACGGTACCGAGAGACCGCGTAAACTGTAAACAGTTTTGCAAATTTGTTTTACTGTGAATAGCTAGATTGCATCTTTCTAGAAATTCTGGGTAAACGATTCATTTCCTCTGATCTTTTTTTCATTCCAGTACACCGTCCTCGTTCCCTGCGTTATCCAGCTTTCCTTACTTTCATCGCCCATGTAATAGCAAGACAATGCATAATCTTCTCAACTCATGTTGATACTCCCCCTCCAATCGTTCAGACCTACCAGATAAAGAACTGTAGAAGCTTTTTCTTTGTGGCGACGTTTTCATCTGGAAACAAGACTTCTGTCTCTTTTATGTTTCATGTTTGGTAAAAATTTGGAAAATAAAGTATTTCTAAGGTTCGACATCTCTATTATAAGAGAATAAATAAAAGTTCCAAATTCAAGTTAGCTGATGGGGCGAAGTTTTGCTGGTAAACTTGGTCTCTTTGAAAAACTGCTTCAACTTTGTAAAGTAACTTAGTGAATAGGCTGTTTATCGGCTATTGTCACTGAGGTGAGGTTGACGGTCGTACTTTCTTGAAAATCAGCTGATTCCCGTTGTCCTATGGTATTTCAATGAAGTTTCAAAGAGCTAAGTTTGGCAGAAATGCCAATTCACCTAATCCTAAGGTACTCATGAGCAGTTTCTGGTATCGATGGTACTTGTCGACCGCGTAAAATTAAGTAGTTTGGCAAATTCGTTTTGTTTTTGCGAATCGCTTCAAACGAGAATAATCCGGTGAAGACTGAAACTAGCTTGTGGCAAGTTGACTTTGAACACGACTTCTTGTTTTTTTGTTTTATGGTATAAAAAGATAAAAGGAGTGGAATATGAAGCACCAGAAAGCTAAGTTTGACAGAAATGCCAATTCGCCTAGTCCTTTGGATGGCCGTGAGTAGTTTTTTTGTTAGATGGTACCTGTAGCGTGCTTAAACTGTAAGCAGTTTCGCAAATTTGTTTTGCTGTGAACAGCTAGAATGCACCTTTCTGGAAATTCTGGGTAAACGATTCTTTTCCTCTGATCCTTTACTCATTCCAGTGCTCTTTCCCCTCAAATCTCTGCGTTATCCAGCTTTCCTTACTTTCATCGCCAATGTAATAGCAAGACACTGCATAATCTTCTCATTTCATGCTGATACTCCCCCTCCAATCGTTCAGACCTACCAGCCCATCTTGCCATTCATGACTAATTGGTTGATGTGACAGATAAAGAACTGTAGAAGCCTTTTCTTTCTGGCGACGTTTTCATCTAGAAACAAGACTTGTGTCTCTTTTGTTTCATTATTGGTAAAATTTTGGAAAATAAGGTATATGTAAGATTCTCGACCTTTCTATTAGAAGAGAATAAATAATAGTTCCAAATTCAACTTAGCTGATGGGGCGACGTTTTGCTGGCGAACTTGGTCTCTTTGAAAAACTGCTTCAACTTTGTAAAGTAACTTAGTGAATAGGCTGTTTATCGGCTATTGTCACTGAGGTGAGGTTGACGGTCGTACTTTCTTGAAAATCAGCTGATTCCCGTTGTCCTATGGTATTTCAATGAAGTTTCAAAGAGCTAAGTTTGGCAGAAATGCCAATTCACCTAATCCTAAGGTACTCATGAGCAGTTTCTGGTTTCGATGGTACTTGTGGACCGCATAAAAATAAGCAGTTTGGCAAATTCGTTTTTTTTTGCGAATCGCTTCAAACCAGAATAATCCGGCGAAGACTGAAACTAGCTTGTGTTATAAAAAGATAAAAGTAGTGGAATATGAAGCACCAAAAAGCTAAGTTTGACAGAAATGCCAATTCGCATAATCCTTGGGTGGTTTTGAGTAGTTTTTGGTTCCGATGGTACCTGTAGTCCGCCTAAACTTTAAACAATTTTGCAAATTTGTTTTACTGTGACTAGATAGAATTCACTTTTTTGGAAATTCTGGGTAAACGATTCTTTTCCTCTGATCCTTTACTTATCCAATGCACTGTGCTCTTTTCCCCCAAATCTCTGCGTTATCCAGCTTTCCTTACTTTCATCGCCAATGTAAAAGCAATACACTGCATAATCTTCTCATTCCATGTTGATACTCCCTCTCCAATCGTTCAGACCTACCAGCCCATCTTGCCATTCATGGCTGATTGGTTGATGTGACAGATAAAGAACTGTAGAAGCCGTTTTTTTCTGGCGACGTTTTCATCTAGAAACGATACTTGTGTCTCTTTTATGTTTCATGTTTGGTAAAATTCGGAAAATAAGGTACTTCTAAGATTCGACCTCTCTATTATAAGAGAATAAATTATAGTTTAAAAGTGAAGTTTGCTGATGGGGAGACGATTGGCTGACGAATTTGATCTCTTTGTAAAACTGCTTCAACTTTTCAAAGTAATTTAATGAATAGGCTGTTTCGGCTACTCTCACTAAGGCAAGGTTAAACGGCAGTACTTTTTTTTTAAAAAAAAGATGGGTACATTTTTTGTTGTTTCCATAAGTTTATAGAAGAATGGATGCATTGTCTACCTTCATTTTTCCTAATACGCCATAAATACTATCAAATGATGCTGTTTAGTTTTCTCCTTCTCGATGATAAGATTTGTTTAAAGTATTTATAGTGCTTCCTAATTTCTGTTCAAAAGGTTTATATTAAATTATTAGTAATGAGTGTGTTTGTTTGTTTCTCTTGCAGGTGAGCTGGCGCGGAACTTCGACCCCAAGCAGCTCTTCTGCCACAGTCTACGATGGTTCGACACCCAGGAAGTGCTGGAACACTCTCGCCTGTTGAATCCCTACGCCGATCTGGGCATGCCCTGTTTCGATGCCAAGGGGAGGAGTCTCAACATTGTGATGCTGACTGAGTTGTCCAATATACTACAAGTGCACTGTCGCACTCTCCCTGAGAAAGTAAGTGAATCGTTTTTGATAATTTGAGTTTCGATCAAAACTTGTAGAATAGTTTGACCATTTATCCACGAGGGAAAAGACCAACATAGGAGCTCTACAGCTCATCACGGCGAACCGCGGTTGTGTCCCTGTTTAAGATTTACATGTAAATTTTGCTAATTTTCTTCTGGGCCCTCACCCTCAAGCAACGAGCACGGATCATGGCGGGCCTCGAACTTCGACCTTTCGATTGAGAAGTGGAGACGAAACCATTTCACCACCGCTCCTCTAATTCAAGTCTTAGTTCAATTTTACTAATAAATTGTTTTCTAACTTGCAGGATATTCATGTTTGGTGCATTAATAGAAATTACAATGTTTGATTCATTAGCTTGAGAGATTGTCTTGAGACTTTATGGTCTGTTATCTGACGTCTCTGGAATTATGAAAAATTATATCTCTGTTTGTCTGTATTTTTTTTTCATAATTGTGGTCATCTACGAAAGCATATCTTCTAAAAAAAATGTTAATTGAAATTATAAAAAAGGAGTTTCTTTTCAATTTTTTGTTTTTTGCGTGCGTAGTACAAAGAAACCCAAAAATTTTGAAATTTGACTTTTCCGTTTTGGCTTTTGATTTTTTAAAAGGAAGGAAAACTCCATTATTGAACAGCAAAAGTGTAAAGGTCACAAAAAACCGTGATTGACTTCTAGTTTTGGAAGTGGATTTTAGAGCTTAGCTACATTTTTCTTTTGGAGCTTTTTATGATTTGTATCTGGTTAAAAGAAAATTTACCAGACAATCTAAGTCTTTGCTAATCAGTTTCGAGCTAAATCGTTTCAAGTGAAGATGTGGAAATAAAATTTTTGGGCGGTTCAGTTAAAAGACCCATTTTAATGAGAGCGTTATGTGTATTCAGGTGTATGCATCAGTTGCTGCTAAACTGCGTGACAAGAGTAGTGGCTGTACTGCGAGTGTGCATGACGGGTGGATGGGGTTGGTTGAGACATGTGGACATTATGGCATCATGCTGCATGACTTCCTCCTCACCCTCAACCGGCCCAAAGACCCATCAACAATAATAACAACAACAACAAAGTACACACATTGTATTTGTGCATTGGGTTGTACAATATTGCAACTGAGAAAAATGGTTCAAAAGATTGAATGAACTATCACGGAAACATTTGCTTGCAAAATATGTTTTCTAACAGCGAATTTTGACTCCAGGTCGTTTGAAATTTCAAGCTTGCATTCAAACTTTGTTGTCGTACTTAACTTTCATACGACCTGACCGTAGTCTCATAAGCTTGCTTGCAGTTGACTAGAATGAGCTTTTGACCTACTCAGTTCTGATTTGAACTTTCTTTTTTTTTGCGCACTTGTTTCATATTATCCACTGCCGGGCAGCATTTTATATCCCTAATGCTTTCTTCAGTTGTACTCTCTGAGTTTCAAGCTACATTAATGATGATGCTTTGAGCGTTAAAGATGTGTGGTTGAATGTGGTATTGATAAGAAATAAACTTCGTCAGGGGTGGGGGCAAGGAGAAGGGAAAGAGAGGCAAAGAAAGTCACAGCAACAACAATAACAACAACTGGAAAGTGCTCAGGAAGTGTGTTTGGCTGGTAGTGTCATTTCTGAAGTCTCATCCGCTTGTCAAACACACACTATGTTAGTTCCTATTATCAAGTTATTTAAACAATAAAGAAAAAATGATGCAATATTGTTACAAAAACTTGGAAATATCACGAATTTCGTCTCATTATGACAAAACACCAGAACATCAAAATCTAAAATGCCGCTTAGTGACAAAATTTGACATAAACTATCTTTTGATAAATTGTGGTAAATATATAGAATTGTTCGACTGTTCCAGCTAATTTTCATTTTGCTTTGTTTTTACGCTTGCGTTTAGCAAGCGTTATCAAATCGCAATGTAAATTCTTTTATGATGCTGACATGTCCAATTTCATGAAAATTCAAGTTGAACAACTGGGTGGGAGGCAGTTACTGCAGGGTAGTTTCAGGGGGACTTGAAACTTATTAATTTTTTTTTTTTGCAAAATGAGATTTTTTTCGTCCAACTGGTGTCTGATCAAAGATTGTCAGCATTATTTCCGCTTCGTAAGTTTTGTGAAGTTGCTAATTTAAATTTAAAAATTTCTTGCTCGGCTTGTTTGTTTACTTAGAGTTCGTATTTGGCAATAATAGCTGTTATGAAAATGTATGGGATAGGTTTTTTTTTTTGGTTTAAGACGCTTTGGAAAAACTTATCACTTCTTGCAAAATATTAAGTTTTTCTCTAAAACCTTTCTACCGGTTTTCAATCAAGGGGTATCCATAGAAAGAATGCTTTCACCCTTGTGTGCCTGTATGCCCCTGTGGTCTGTTTTGCCTTACCCTTTTGTCGAAAACCTTCGAAAAAGTCATTGGAGGAATATTTGACCGATATTTTTAATTATTTTCCCTTTTCTTATAAACTAGCCTACCAAATCTGAGATTTGGTTTCAATGAACCGAAAGGGTTTGAAATGCTCCCCTACACGAAAAGTTATCGTCCTCGGAAAACTGATTTTCTTTATTTTTTGAGCTTTTTTTTCTAAATTTAACGAACTATACCGTAAAAAATCCCCCCGAAAAGAAGTTTCGGGTTTAATTCAAAGAATGGGATGTGAAAAACTCCTTGCTTTAACTGAGTACGCCCAAGTTTTTCAACATCAAAAGTTATGTCACTCGGAAAAGTCAAAAATTTGATTTTTTTACCCTTTTTGTCTTTTCCCGAGTACTACCCTGCCAAACCTGGGTTTTTGGGTTCAATCGAAGTTTTAGATTGGGTAATTCGGTTCTGCATAAGCGCCTACGTCCCAATTGATTTAAACAAAAAGCTATTCTTTTCGAAAATGTCAACTTTGTGATTTGTTGACCGTTTTTTTTGTACTTTTCCGATAATTATCCTGCCAAATCTGATATCATAGTTATAATCGACACAACAAGTTATTGAAAGCTTACCTTTGTAATTGGCTGAGCGCAGTTTCTTTTGGAAAAAATTAATGACCTTCAAACAAGTAAAAATTTTGAAGCTTCCGGTTCAACCGAGAAATCCGGTTTTGTGAATTTTCTTTTCGTTGCCGACCACGACCTGCTTTCAGCAGAAAAAAGTTACAGATTTCGGAAAGTCAAGTTTTTGACCTTTGTCCGGTTTTCAGGATTTTTTTGAATTCTCTTAGAAACTACCATATCAATTCTGAGATGAAAAATTCAATCGAAAGAAGTGGTTGCATTCTACATGAACGGCTTTTCCTTAATTTTTTGTTAGAGAAATGCTATGTCTCAAAAATATTCCAAAGTTACGCATTTTGTCGCATTAGTATAACGAATTCAAAAAATATCAAACACATATCTCCAGCTTTAGCGGGGCCTTAGGTGTCTTTCATAGATCGACAAACAAAAATTTTGGTTCACCTAGTTTTTTTTTTGAATTATTTTTCTTTTTTTCGATTTATGTTTTTGTGATTTATTGTTGTGTTGTATCGCAAGTGGTGGAAAGCTCTGCTTCGCCTCTGTTTCAATGAATAGTTTATTCCAATGTTTTAGCGGAACAATATCTCTCTCTGTCCAAACCGGAAGTGTCGTCAGCCTTTGTGGGTATCGCAGAGTCCATTCTAGACTACGAGCACGACAGCATCCCGAGGGGGTTCGGAACCAACCTACAGCCATTCAGATTCTTCCACTGGTAACATTTTTTGCTAGGCTCTTGTTCGGTATTCAGGTTTTGGCCTCGGATAGTGTCTGCCAACAAACTGCATTCGGGTTTTCTTAATAAATAATGTCTCACTGAATCGCACTGAAATCAAACGCATTATTCATAGGACAACATAGTTGCTTCTAAAGTTTACTTAGGCCGATTAAGATTTTAAACAATTTTTACAGGTACATGAATCCACACCTGTTGCCTTCATATCTGTCTCAACATCTCTACTTGCATGAATACATCAAGAGCCAGTTGCACTGTCCCAGAGTGGCCAGGGCTTGGGAGGCCATAGAAGTGAGACAGACCACACAAGTGAGACAGCTGCAGCAGAAGGCCTTACAAAAACAGGGAGCCGGGAAGCGTGCGAAAGAGACACAGTCACGTGAACAACATCAGTGTGGGAGTGACGCGGAAGTGAATGAGAAGTTAAAGGAGGCCATGCACATATTTGTACAGGTGAGGAGGGGAGTCTTGTTTGAAACGATACTTCGGCGCTTCTTAGATTTCACCCAATCAGAAACAAAAGTCTTAGTTCTCTTTCCATTTCGAGTTTGGACTGAATTAGTGAAAATATTCCAGGAAAATACTTCTTCCAATTACCAACTGAATCAGTTCAAGATTAGTGGAGTTCAACTCACATTCAATGATAAGAGGTTAATCCACGACCACAGATCATATATCCTACACATATCGGCATGAAAATAACAGCTCTGGTTTTCGAGATAACGGCTATTTTTTATTCCGTGAAGTCAAAGTAATGCTTACAATGCTTGGCCCAAAAAATAACCAAAAATGTAGCTGTAATTATTAATCAGGGGAGTAACAGCTATTCTTAGAACAGCTTGCTGCTGGTCGTTTCTCGCGTGGATAAACGATCTTCACGTCAAATTAAGACTATTTATCCAGGAGGGAAAAGACCAAAATAGGAGCGGTTTGGCTCTCTGCGGAGAAGTGCTGTTATTTACGTTGTTGATTGAAAAATGCACAGAATTTGTGCATGGTACAATTAACTCATGTGTTTAGGTGGAGAGACGCAAACTTGTGATGAACTTGGAGAAAGTGGAAGCGTATGTGGCCCAACTGAGGATATGTGTAGTGCTGTATGAGGTGGCCTACTGGCTGAAGAAACTGTTCGCGGCCAAAAAGACATTCGCCCCAGATGCATACTATCTCTGCTGGAGACACTTCGACGACCCAGAGTTCTTCGTGCCTATTTCTTGTGCGAATCACGCGATGCGCAAACAGTACTGCAAACGGGAAGGCATTTACTACCTCGTCACAAGGTTAGAATACCCTACCTTCCAAATACTTTTTGTCCGAGATTTAAACGCAAGCTAGCCTGGAAGAAAGCAATGCAATCAGAATATATTAAACGTAGTTTTTTGGTTTCCGAAAACTATTTGCTAACAAATGAATCCTTTTCATTTTTTCAATGGATAGAGGCTTTTCAAAATGTTTGCTGTTGTTTTTATTGTGCGTGGTGGTCAACTTTTATTGTGAAATGTTTAAATAGATGTGAAGTAACTTCGAAGGTCTGTTGTATTTGGTTGTTTCTGTGTTCAGATTCTGTCTGAACATCCTGCATTATGAGATGCGAGAGAGTGGCTACAAGGTGTGGGACAAGGCCAGTGTGCCCTACAAGACATTCATGTTCCTGTTCCGCCGTCTGTTCACACCCTACGCAGAGCCAGACTCCATCGTGTTCGAGCGAGAGGAGAACTGCTACGACAGGTCAGAACGGAAACATGCTGGTGCTTATGTATTTCTCAATATGCAATGCGTTCGTTAGCACTCACACTCTTCGTTGGTTCTGTTGGATGGTTTCAAGTGTTGATGTTAGGTTTGATTAAGCATCAGTAAGAAAGAGGAATAAAGAGGTGAAACAGACAAAACTGCGTTGCTACCTATTTTAGATGATCATTCTATTGTATGAATTTTCATTGTCTTTTCAATATCAAATTTCGAAATGGGGAGTGATGGTGAACTGGCTAAATTGAAAAAAGTCGGCTGATCCAGACCCACAATGATCCGTGCTGGTGCTTTAGGATGAGGCAACATTACTCAGCCAAGAAAACAGCTTAAAAATTAATGTTACATCGTAACTAGATGCACATCAGACGTGATTTGAAATGCCGATAAATGCTGATTATAACAACACATAAATGCTATATGCCCTCCTGTATGTTTCTTCTCTTTTTATCCAGGTACTCTGCCAGGATTCTGCAGAGGATGCGGGCCATAATGGAGAGGGAAAAGAAGACAGCGTCTGCGGCTGCAGCTGCTGCGAATGGGGGGCCCAATAGTTCCACTACTGCAGACACCCACCACGTCAATAGTGAGTGGAAGCTAAGCTCACCAGTATGCAGACTAATAACAGAAACTGCTTGTGAAATATGTACATGGCAACATTTTTACATGATCATGACTTCAAATTTCAGAGTTGTTTTTTTTCGGATGTTGAATTTCTTTCAGGGCTTTTTCTGTATTTTACGGCATTTCACCTTTTTAGAGCTAATTTGTCGTTTTTTTTCTCGTTTGTGTTTGCGAAGTGCAGCTTTCACGTGTGTATGTGTGTGTGTGTGTTTGTGTTTAGGGGGCTACTATGACCTGCATATGGAGAATTTGAAGTTGTTCACGAATGAGACCACTCAGACTTATGTGAGATTGGAGCAGCAAGTCACAGCCTCCCTCAATGACGTCATCCTGTCTGCGGAGAACCAGAAACAGGTGAGTATTCATGTTAAGAATTATCTTTCAACAGAATAATTTAATTGACTTCTTGAATAACCAAAAAAGCAGCTGAAGGCTGTTAAGACTGAATAAACATCAATTGGTTTAATGCAAAAAGCGGTCGGACAGGATCAAGATGCAGACCAAATATGTTTGGAATTAATTAATTATCACACATGACGAATTTCATGGCAGTCGGACAAGAGGGACAGAGTTAAAGCATTTAAATTTTCAACTTTAAAACATGTTCGACGTTGAAACGGAAAAAATGGCCGAACGCGTACGGACAACCGCAGAAAATGATTAAGTATGTTTGACATTGACAGGTGGACAATTTCATTGGGAGGGTGTTGGAGGCACTGGTGTTGGTGTCCACAGACAAGAATGTGGACCACATAGACTGGCCATTCATTGGCAGGTTAGTACTGGCTACAAGATAGGACAACTTCATCTTAAGAATAATTTAGAACAATCATTGAGTTCCAAGGGTTATGGAGAATTCATCGTGTTCTTCAAATGAGTGCATGGCACAGCTACGTTTAGTGGTGATATTTGGGCGCATTTGAACGCAAACATTTCTTTATGGACTTCTGTTAACATATATAAAATTTTTGCCATATTTGCATTGATTGTTTGGCTCTGAATTGTTTTTTTTTCCAAAATCACACCATAGTGTCTTTAAGCACTTGATGGGGCGATTGAGTAAATCTAATTGATTTTGTGTTGAGATGGGCTAATATAGTTTTGTGGCTGCTACTGTTGTTGTTGTTGTGTAGGTGTGTGCCTCTGTACATGTTGGACCTGTACAAACTGCTGGCGAAGAACAACTTACTCGGCTACCCCTCAGTGTTCGCCTACTCCACCAAGACATTCATTGACAAGTTCATCCACGAGAACATCACCAGAGACAACAAGACCATCGACCAGTTCTTCACCCAACAGATACACGGTCAGTCTGTCTGTCTGTCTGTCTGTCTGTGATCCAAGACAAACTAATGGTCAGCTAAACACACGTGGTTGAGATTATTGGGAAGATTTAGGCTGCATTTAGTTCGAAGCATCAGCTTACTCGACTGTGATGTTGTTTAATATTCAGCCTATTATTAATCACCTAGTGAATTATACTTCTTTTTTAAAGTTGAACTGACCGAACTTTGGCAAAGATAGTGTTCTTTTGTAATGGGTTCGGAACGGTTCATCTGATAAGAGTAGAAAGGGGCGGTTATAAGGGAGAGGTGGGAGAAAGCACCCAAAGGTTCCCCCTTTGGTACTGTTTTACGACATCCATTGTTGACCTATGGATCCCAAAAAAATTCTACAGGCACCTTTGGCACCAATCAATGGTCAAAACATTCCAAAAGGTGCCTCAATGGCTTTTTTGGGTTTTTTTTCAAAAAATTTCTCGCGGTGCAGAAAGTTTTAGCGAAATAGGGTTCTGATAGTCGTTTGGAAGAGCTCCGAAAATGAATTAGGTCGCCTTAAAAAAAGTCGCCACCATCCTCCCTTCACAATTAGGTCCCCACCCTCCACTGGAAAATCTTAGATCTCCCTGAGACTAAACATTTAAAAAGAGAAGATATTCAATAAAACTTAAGTCTATCCGCACAATTATCATGGTTAAGATTTCTAATTATACTTTGAGATTAATCAATTACATGATTTGTCGATGTAATTTTTCCAAGACGGGGATTTCATTTTGTGTAGATGACTCTCGCATCTGTCCGTTTGATAAAGTGGAAGGAAACCCATTCGTCAAACTGGCTCTCCGGTACTTCTCGGCAGAGGAGACAAACAACAACAACACCCAGAATAACAACAAAGTATCCACACAGCACCCCAACAAAACAGGCGAGTACCTAAGATTAAACGCTCACATGACAATGAAGCGGAAATCGGAAGAACTGCTAGGTAACAATCCACGAAGTTAATGTTCCCTTTTTACCTCATTTTTTATTGTCGGGAAAGTTTTTACACAAGTTGAGCTTGTATTACATATCAAGATCTTTTATTCTACCCGGTAGCAGCCAAATTTTCCAAACCTCATTAGAGCGCGAAAAAAAACCCGTGTGACTTAGTCTCGATTGTGTCTTTTGATCCTTAGATTTTGCCGTGAAATAAAATTGTTTGTTCACTCAGTTACTATTCCGTCCATTGAAAATGGGGAGGAATTTTGCATTCGGGTGTTTTAGTTTATTTTTCAACTTTTTTTGTTTTCCAAGCAAAATCAGGGTATCACAAATAATTATGGGACAGGGGCGAATGATATTCCATATTAAAGTCCTTTAGTAGTGATTTGAACGACTTTCAAAAATTTAAAAAAAAAATCCTGGTGTTGAGAAAAACCGCTTTGAAATTTTTGATTTTTCGTAATTTTTGAGCGAGTAAAGCGATCGATTAATGTTTTATAAATGATCATTAGCAATTTAGCCTAAAAATCTTGTAAGCTTCATTTGGCTTTTCTCTGGCAAAAAAAAACATCTTTCAAAAATTTTTAGTGCAAAAAGCTGACAAAAATTTTTGAAAAAAAAAACATGAAAATAATTGCGGTCTTTTTTTTGATGTTTTTAAATTATTTTTTTTTGAAGACAGCCTGAGCCGTTTTTGCCTAATTCACTAAATTTCAATGCGTTCGTATAGCTGTATCATCACTCAACATACAAAAAAGATGAATTCTTTGTAACTAGTTGGAAATAAATTGATGATTGTTGTTTGTTTCTATATGATTTTGAATAATTAAATCATGCTATCCTTTTCTCCATCGGGCTAGTTTTAAAAAAAGTATTGTCAATTGTGAACGTTTTTTGAAATTGAACGAGCTTTGATATTGAACGAGAAATTTGAAGTGGTGTGTTTTTTCTTCGAAAATTGAAAACTGTTTTCAAAATCTCAATCTTTTTTTTTGTCAGTTTCCTTGAGTTCCAACTTCGACTATCTAATTTTTTAATAAGTGAGATAAATGTTTTTTTTTAAACAGCTACTAAACCGCAACCGTCATCATCATCATCAGGAGCTGCATCTTCGTCAGGTAGAAACAACTCCACCCCCTCAGCCGAGAGTGGCCAGAAGGGAGAAGGAGGGGGGAAGCAGGCGACTTTCAGGACTAAAGGAGTCCCCAACCCCACCCAGAACAAGAAAAAAGATGAGCCCAGAGACAAAGAAGAGAAAGACAAGACAAACAGCACTGCTGCCCCCACACGCAGTCGATGAAAAGCATAAGTGGGACTGAATCATGAAATTATCATTCTAGTTCATAAGTAACTTCATGTGTCGATTTGTGGCAACCTGATGGCTGTTTTGTACTAACTGTGACACTGTTATTGAAAAAGAAAAAACTGACACCATTTGTGCTGTGAAAATGGTATAACTATTCGTTTGAAACTTTGACGACATGCTAATAATCTGTCTTTTTTCATGTCTGAAGTCAATTATGTGCTGTAACTGACGACCATACAAGCAAAACTGTAAAAAAAATCCATTTATGAAATTATTGACGAGAGAAACGACTTGATTGGGTGAAATGTGAAGCATTGTGTGTAGGGGAAATGTGTCTTATGTTTTACAGATTGTAATTAATAAATATAACTTTTGAGTTGATTGCTATATTTTTTTTGTTTCCGTGTACAGTTTTATTTGCTACCATATAATGATCGGAATCGAATCAGCTTAGCTAATATAGGCTTATTCAGAGCCATCTCTTTTTTCTATATATTGAGTTGTGAGTATCTGCTATCCCTTGATACGAAAACTCGCATTAAAAAACTCGCCAAATACTCACCGACGCAGTCGCGCTAACGTGTTGCGAGCTTGCCAACAGAAGGTAAATTTGCGAGTTGTCATTCTGTTAACAGGGTTTTTGGCAGTAGTTTTTAACTGGCTAACACCAGTAGCACGTTTACGGGGGGGGGAGGGGTGTTTTGCTACCTCATGAGTGCTTTTCTTGACACAACTCGATGATCGATTTTAAATTCTAAGTCCCCAAAAATAGCGCACAGTTTTTGGCTAAGTTCAAAATTCTTTTTTGCTAATTAATTCAAGTGTTTCTATGGAATTTGGGTTGGAAAATTGATTGAGTCGCCTTCAGAAAAAAACTTTTTTTATCCTTTCTGCTAGAATTAAGGTTTTCGAGATGCACCTTAGGGGAATCTGCACGAGCCATAAATTTGCTACATTATCATTTGTTATTTCAGATTTTTGACATGCGAGACGTTTATCCAGCTACGAATATCTTGTGAGATAGATTGAATGCAGTGCCTCTGGATGAAAAAAGTTTTTTAAGACTGAAATCTGGCTAGTTTCTTGCTGGTTTTTAAGTTTCTAGTAATCTCTTAGCTAGCTAATTACGCAGTTATCATTACCTCACTTTAGATTATAAATCGACTGCGAGCGCATAACCAAAATAAGTTCTGCCTTGCTTCTTGTGCGTATTCATTAATGAGTTATAGCTGATCTGTATATTGTAGGAGTTTGTTCGCAATTCTTCGAGGCCAACTTTTTTTTTTACTTTTGATGGTCAAATTTATCGTCTATTTTATTCAATTTGCAACAACATTACGAAAATCTTAAATTAAATCTACAAGTTGAGCCGTGAATTTCTTTACTAAACGGAGTACGCTTCATACCAACTGGTGTTCCTGAAGTGAAGAGCAACAACAACAACAGAAGCAGCAGCAGAAGTTGGTGTGACTAAATGATGGCGCCTTCAGTGCCCGGAGGGGTGCCGGACCCCCTATCCATTACCTCCACTCTCGGAGGACCCGATGGTCACAAGGTAGCACTTGATATCTTCTTTGTATTGCCTTTATGGTCTCTGTTTTCAAAATAGGGTCTTAATAGTTTTTCGGGAGTGCTCGGAAAATCAATTTTGTTGACCTAATTAAGATTTTGGGAAATCATCTTTCCCCGAGAAATCTAGATCCGCTTCTGATTGTTAATGATCTATTTCTACCTTGTTTGATCACATCGGAATCATCCTAGCTAAAATTTTTGCTTTAAATTTAAATACAATTAAATATAAACATAACTTGATCTGTTGAAAATGGACCGGTAATGACATGATTATACGTTTTTTTTTCTATTTTCATGATTCTTTAAATCCTAGTACTGGCCTTAACCAATTACTGATTGTTGTTCCGACCATTGAAAGTGGGGAAGAACTTTGTATTCGGCTGTGTTTTAATTTTTCTTTTGTTTTCCAGGCAAAGTAAGGTCCACAAATATACTATACAAGTATACAGTGATATACTATTTTAACGCGCTTGCAGTCGTGACATAAACCCTATTGAAATGTTTAATTTTTGGTCTAAATTTGAGCGAATAAATCGAGCAAGGAGGCCTATATTACGGAACTGAGGCGTTAAAACTTAATTACAAAATTTAGTTTACAAACATCAGTTTTTGACGCTTTAACGCTTTATTGACAACAAAGATTCCTCAAAATTCTGCAAAATTTTGTTAAAAAAGTTACATTGTTTTATAATTTTTCATTTTTGTGGTCGGTACTTTCTGTGATTTTTGCTTGGTTCTTTTTCCTTTTCCCATCACCTGCGATTTTTTAAAAGTATGTTTTTTCACATTGTCCGATTGTTGTGAAAATTGACATGCGGACTTAATTGGGCCATGACAAACTGTTTTTGGTCTCCTTATTTAACCTTGTTAACCCACTCGTTTTACCATGAAAAGAATGCCACTGCGAAATGGGGGTATAAAGAGCCCTTTGCAAGTTTTTGCAAAGCAACTGTCTATCATTGTTGTTGCGATCATTGAAAATGGTGAGGAACCTTGTATTCCGGTGTGTTTTAGTTTTTTTTCTTTGTTTTCCACGCAAAATCAGGTACCACAAATAATCATCGGACTGGGTTGAGTGATGAACCATATTAAAGCCTCAACAGTCGTGATTTAAACCACATAAATAAATTCTAAAAAAAATTCCCCTGTGTCGAGAAAAACCAGTTTGAAATTTTTGGTTTTTCGTCTTATTTCCAGCGATTAAAGTCTTATTTTAATTGCTCAAAAACTTACAATAGCTTAATTAAAACCTAAAAACTTAGTCTTACTTGAGAACCGTTCGTTTACTTTGAGTATTTCAGCGCTTTTTTGGAATCCAAATATTCAAAAAATTGCAAAACTTGAAAAAAAAATTTCATTTTTTTTTCGTTTTTCATTTATTTTCGTTTTTCATTTATTTAATAATTTATCAAACCGCGCGGGAAAAAACGACATTAATTTGAAAACACTTTGTTGTTTTTGTTAAGACTATGGTCGAAACATTCTTTGGTACTTGCACCGGCTATACTTGTTTGTGTTGTGCATTTGTCGGAAAGAAATCTTGATAGAGAAGCGGAATAAATGTGGGTTAATTTTTGGATTGGTAGCTTATTACAATTTTTTGATAGAAAGTTTTTCTCAAGCTCTATTGACGAGGAGCCATTTAATGATTGTTTCCAGCATTTTCCAAATGCCAGAAGCACGGAATGCCCGAAAATTCTGTCCGCTAATCAGGATTCCTTATTTTTAAATCTGATCGAAATAAGCTGGAATATCAGTCAGTTATGGTCATAGTTTATTGGACGTCGTTGATTTGTTAAAATTGCCGCACATTCGTTCATTCGGGTCTTTTCTCTTATACGGCCCAAAGTTACCAAATTGTTCTATGAGCTTCTGTTTTTAAAGAGAATCCAGATCTTAATGCGGAATTGATTTAGATTGATCAGATTCGAGCATTATTGTCAAATTTTCAAAATTTTCGAAGATATCGGTTTTAGACCGTAAAACAAAATAGACCCGTTCTTTCTGTCCTGAGAGTAGACCTCTTTGTTTTGTTGTTGACCCCTTTTCGGTGTTATTCCAGTACGTGTCCCTCCGGAAGAGACTGGACCAATTGGGCTATAAGCAGAGTCTGGGTGTGGACTCCCTTCCTCTGGTGGAGAAACTGTTCGCTGATCTAGTACACACAACAGAGAGTCTCAAGAAGGCCAAACAGCAGACAACAGCAACACATGTGAGTAATTTGGGGCTTCTCTTCTTAATGCGTAAATAGACAATAAACATTTTGATAAATAAAATATGAACATTTAAATTCGAACGTTTTAGTTGTTTTTTTTTAAATTTTTTTTAGTAATCGACTGAAAGGTTAAGTGTCGGATGAACGAAGTGAAGACTAATTTTTAGGCTGTGTTGATGTTTTCATTTCGCAATTTTGATGCATCGCGGTTTGGATTTAAAATTCTTTTTCACTTCAATTCGAATTCATTCGCTATAGGGAAGGCAAATTACGCTTTCAAAAACGAAAATGCTTACAGCGCAAAAGTTATGATTGGTTTTTATTTCCGAAAGGGATTTTCATTTTTATATTTACTAGCGGAACAAAAATTTCTTATTGGTTGTTTTTCTTCAAATTTGGTTTTTTTTATATAAAAAAGCGTCAATCATAGAAGATTCATGAATTTTTACGAGCTTTGAGGAGGTATATTTTTCTTTTTTAATTTTTCGGTCTCCTTGAGTTCATTAACACTATTCCAAATATCTGTTGGCCATGTGACAACAATTTTTCAACTGCCAAATAGAAAGTTTCGAAAATGTTCGAATGTTTGAAATTTAGAAATTTAGACAAGTAATGCTATTTCTACCGAGTCAATTCTATCCTTGCTTCTTATTTATTTCTATTCTTTCCGCAGTAAGAGTTTACGGGGAGGCGCGGTAATGATTTTTGACAGAGTACTTTTTGGTGTTAATGACTTATGATACAGCAATGACTCAGTTAAACGTTAGAAATATAAATTGGTCCTGAGTTTCAAAAAAGGGCTTCGCTCAATGAATTAACCAAATCTAGAAATGCAGAAGTATTATTGTTATATCTTATTAATAACAATTAGTTAGTAGTTATAAAGTGAGTGTTGTCAGGTGTTGTGTGAGGGTGGTGGGGATGTGCAGAGTGCGATTGAACCGTATGAAGTGGAGAACAGACGACTGCTGAAGGAACAGAACGAACTGCACAGGAAACTCATTGAGAGCAAAGATACTCTGGACAATACACTGAGACAGCACAAGGACCAGGTAATTGGAGAGGGGGGGGGGGGCAAACTACATTAATGTTCACTCAACAAGTTGTATTTTAGTGACAGCTAGATTGCGAGCTGTAATTTTATTATAATTTTTTCCTACCGAAGTAGCACATTTTAGTGCGAAATTATATGCGTTAATCAATCAGCCCAAAATTAGACAGATGTCCACGCATAGAATAAAAAAATCAGAGTATACGGCAGGATGAATAAGAGTTTAAAGAGAACGAATCTTGTTTGGAAGGTCCGCGTTCGAATCCCGCCGTCGCAGAAATGTCTGTTGTGTTTTGAAATTGAATTACGTTCACGGCAAATTGTCGTATTTTTTGCGTTTCTTTTTCTGACATTTTCAGCTCCTTGTCAGAGACCTGCGGCTTGGCCTCGCTGTAAATTAAAATCTCAGGTTTCTTGACCGTTGCTTAAAGAGCATATGACAAAAATCGTCATGAGTAAAATCTGTAAAAATGGATGTAAACATTCAGTGTCTTTGGAAAAGCGATCGCATAAAAATGTGTAAAACTATGGTTGAGTACTCTTAGAAAGTTATATGAATCCCTTGCTATCGTGTTTTATGTTAGCAGAACCGTGTTTTGAGGGTTAAACTTGAATTCAACTTGTCTATGCATTGATTATTGACACATCAAGTAATAATTTTTATAACTCTTCGATAATTGAAGAGTTTTTCTGTATTTGTCAGATGATGGAATTTTTAGAGACGCACTGATCCAAGGTTAATGACTTTAAAGCTACGAATTATGGAAGGATCGTTTAAAAACCGTAAGTGTTGCTGATGGTCGAAATTCGACATCACGAAATTATAGTCTTGAGATAGAATAAACTCATACTTATCACTCGCAATGATAGTTCATGTTCGCTTGAAATGTCATTCACGAATACTTCTCAATTTTTGCATGTTGGGTTTTGGATTTCCAAGTGTATAGCATTCGATCTCAATTAGTTTGCAGCTTATCCTATCAAAATTGCTGTCCTTGTTTTGATAATATAGGTTGAGGATTTTGTATTGACCGTTTGTGTGTGTTTCAGCTGCGCAAGTTAGAACACGAGAATGCGGACATCAAATTTCTTAACAGCCAATATCTCGCGAAGGTAACAACTCACAAAATAACGGATCTCTTTAACTATATCCCCTTTTTGCACAAAAGGGGAGATTCGTAACTAGGTGAAAAAAGCTGATATGCTGAACCGTTGATTTCTTTATATGGGGGATATTCGTTACTAGGTACTCGAGGGGGGGGGGGGGGAATAAAACTAATGTGACTCTTGGTCCCAATGTTTTCTACATTATGTAATGTAATTGTTTATAGATTGCATATGACGTTGCTGTTGTCATTTTCCTGGGTACTTGGGGATTCTTTTTTGCGAAACAGTTTTTAGGAAAATACTGGGGTAGATCATAAAGTGAGCACTAGGATGATGCTGTTTTCTGAAAAAAAAAAAGAGAATCTTTGAAGACCTTTAAGAAACTACCGAAAAGATAAGCTTTTCAAAAAAAACTAAAAGAATTGTTCAATTACCACCCCGTTTTTTGTTTTGCTGCGTTAATTTTTCTGCTTGTTGAGAATTCTATTGCTCTTCCTTTTGCCTAGTAGTTACGATGGTGTCCGGCAAATAAAGCGACAGCTGTTAAGACGACAAACGTTTTTGGTGGGACCTAGAGACGCCGCTACTCACAAATTCTCCACTGATCTTCACTGAAGTTCAATTTACTTGTTTTAGCTCTGATTCCGTCTTAATGATATGTCGTCTTAATATTTTGTCGTGTTATTTGCCCAGCAGCAGTTGTGACGTAGATTATGCTTCTTGTGTCATGTTTTAGGTGAAGCAGTTGGAGAAGGAGGTGAAAGGGAGGGATGAGAAATTGAAGGAGTTACATGAGAAGACCTCTTCTGGGTCATCTGGCACAGCCACTGCTATTGTACACTCACAGTCTAGTGCGACAGGTACTACTCTCTTGTACATATATGTTAAAATCATTTAGAAATAAATAATCGAAGTTATAAATGGCATATTCGGTCAAATAAGCTTGGGTTGAGCAAATAGTAATAATGTCTTGAGAGGCAAGGTCAAACATTCTATACCTAGTATCTTGGTCTAGCGTCTTTACCATGCTCAGATCAGACGAGTTGAAATGCTTCAATTCGAAAAAGAATTGAGGAAAGTAAATAACGATGCAGAGAGATTCTCTGTAGTGTTTTAACTGATTTTGTCTTTTTTTTTAAAATTTATGTCACAAGTGAATTCGCCAAGCTTATGAAGGCGTTGTGTGTTTGTGTGATATAATAATTTTGCAGGTGGGAAGCGGAAGACAGTGGGGGGAGTGAGGAGACAGAGGATGGACATCGACAGTTTCATCACACCACCTCCACCACCCCCGCCCAATGCGAGAGGGAATGAGTCATCACATCATAATTATAACAACAACAACACAACTACCTCGTCTGCTGCAGGTAATCACAACTACCCTTGCGACTCAAAGTTCTTCACAATTGATTCAGAAAAGTTGCATATCATTTCAAAGCTGTATGCCTTGTTACAGTAGTTGAAAATTACAGGAAAAGACTAAACAGTGAACAAAGTTTGTCGGATGTCTGATTGATAAAAAGTAGTTTGCATCTTTTCGAAGAAATTAAGAAATACATATGCTTGTTCGGATATGCTGAGTGAAATGAATCCTTCTTTTTAAAAAAAAAGATTTTTTTTTTTTTAAAAACGAAGAGGACAATGTTTGTGTAGGCCAAAACAGCAGTCGTCTGAATGGACATGCTGCTGCCTGTAAGCAACAGGAGAGTAAGAGCAGTGACATGTATGTGGCTGATCTGCTGGTGGTGGCAGATGACAGAATAGGCAGTCTGCAGAAAGAGGTGGACACACTCACTACGGAGAGAGACAATACACACAAGAAGTTAGAGAGTCTCAAACGACAGGCTAGTTCTAATAAATTTTTCGCTGATTGCATATTTCTAATAAGTATATTTCTGGATTGATGATAAACTAAAATTCTCCCACTAAAGATCAACTGATCTTCCTATCTGTGCTTTTGTACGTTCATCAATCCACAGACATATTTAGAGTATGTCTCCGATCTGAAATTTCCAACTCCAATCTGTTAAAATATCTGTTTTTAGTTTTCCATTTTTTTCTGGTTGAGATTTCTTTCTTTAGTTTTTCATTGTTTTCAGATTTTTTCAAGAGTTTCGACTCATAATATAGTAGTTTTGTGACCTCATTTTGCGTTGTGCGAGTGAGTAATTGTGCGTGTGTGTGTTTTGAGGGAAGGGAAAACTTGTTTCCGATATTAAATTTTTTTAAATGGAAACATTTTTTATCGGCCCAACGGGTGTTGTCGTCATTGTGACCGCTTCGTTGCGATATTTATTTAACTTTCATTTGTCAAAATGATCTTTGTTAATGACAAATTGTCACAATAATATGAGAATTAAGGTAGATTTTTTTCGACCATTTTCGATAGCGGTTTCATTTCATTTCATGTCCACTAACTCGCCATGTGATTTTTTTATTGTATCGCAAATGGGTGATTTTAGGTGACTGCGTTTGACTTAAGGGCTTTCTTGTATTGTATCGCATCGCAAGTCATGCGAAGCCCCGCTTTGCCTCTTTAATGAAGTTTTTAATCAGGATCATTGCAATTAATTGCAGAAAGGTTTAACATAAGTGGAGCCGTGTGTTGTATAAGTCCAACTTAAAGTCTTAATGAAATGAATAATATACGTTTTGAGAGTTGATGAACGTAGTTCAGGTTCTTATATAGGTCGGGTAGATTTTTTTTCAGGAAAAGTCTAAAATTGCTCTAATAACTACAGAAAGCGTATTCATACATTATAATGCTTTTATGAATGCCCTTAGGTATATGTGCACTTTTTGAATTCAATGCAAGTTCTTTAGATAAAAGGTAGGCAAAATTCACTTTCCAATTAAGAAAGTGGAAATGACAAGCAAAAACGTGATCATTTTTAGTTTCCAAAATTGCAATTTAATTTTTAAATTTCCCAGCGGAATAAAAACGTTACCTGAAACTCCAGCGAGTTATTTTAAATCAAAAATGTGCCAATCATAAATTTTTCTTGAAATTCAAAGTGCTTTGGCCGTATAATTTTTCTTTGAATTTAGAAAATTCAAAAAACAAGATTTTTTGTTTGTTCGCGTTTATTGACTCTTTTCCAGCTGTCTGTTGACTATGTTCTCTTTGATCAGTGAGTTTTTTCATGGAATTTTAAATGCTTTTCAACTCAAATGTATAATTTCGCGGTTTGACTTCTGATTTTTTATTCAAAATGCATTTAGCGAGTAGGAGGAAAATTATGCTAATGGCTCGAAAGTGGAGCTTTAGTTTGAAAAGTGAAAATTTTGTATTTGGAAATCCCAATGACATAGAAAAGTTGCCTGTTGATCCGTTTTTTATTGATTTCATAAAAAATTATGGACTAGAAAATATTCTTAACAATCAAAGTGCTTTTGTATGACAATCTCAGTTCTATGAAACTTGAATTGTGCGTTTTAGTAGTTGTTTGCAATTTTTGTACGTTCTTTATAACTTCCTACTTTTGGTCGGCTATTTCATTAAACAGTTTTTCTGTGGTGACATAGACGTCATTAAGAAGAAACAGAAGAAATTTATTTAAATTTAAAAGCTCGAGATGGCTTATACTCAAAAATGTCTGCAGATTTCTTAAGTTTTGAGATATTTAATTTTTTTTGTAGTGGCGTAACCAGAAACTTATCGAAATGCAGGTCATTGGAGGCTTCCTACTCTGCTGAAATCCTGGAGTCATCTAGATTTTGTATTTAAAAAAAAATCGGCTGCAGGTTGACCTCAGTTTTTTTGCTGCAGGGAGCAGTTTTAAGTTTGTATGAACAAATTAAGCTTTCATTACTCCATATTTTTTGGCTGTGTCCAAACACCGCATAGAAGATAGCTTCAGATCCGCCTCAAAGTTTTAATTTAAAATTCAACACAGACATTGAGTACAGGATCAAAAACTGATTCCATTAATAATGGAACACACTAAATATTATGCTGAATTAATATCTATTCAAGATATCATGTGCATGTAAAATTAATCCATAGTGCCAAAACGGTATATGGCACAAAAAAATCTTTATAAAATCAACTGGATTAAATAGAATGTTAAATATTTAAGCGGATGAGATTTGCGTCAAGTTAGATTGTGATTTTTTTTGGTGAATATTGATCAATTTACTTTCTGCTCCTGCCTTTAATCTATTCTGCTAAACTCAATAAATCACTTCAAATTATTGTTTTTATTCGTTTTGGTCCATGTATGAGTGTGTTATATAGTCATTCAATGTTTTAATTCTTTTGACATGAATTTTGACTTCTGCATTGCATTGCACATTGATTAAACGAGTTTTTGCATTTTACCTGGCTTTGTTTGGTTTGGTCTAAACTAATAAGCAAGAAAGTAAATTTTAATTTTTAGCACGTTCTTCGTTTATTACATCGAGTTATTGTATTTTTCATCATTTTTGGCATATAATGTAATGTTTTAAGCCACCATGTTCTTGTACGTTTCTATCGTCTTTTTCTTTTTATAAGATTCACTTTGTATGCTTTTTCTTACTTTTTCTACTGGATTTTTGTACGCAGTAGCTAATAAGTGGTAGTGGTTAGTTTGGTAACCATTTTTTACTTTTCGCATCACATCAGGTGGAACCAATCTATTACCGTCTACTTATACCTTGCCATCTGGTTATCATCACTTGTTATAAGTTATAACATCTCCTGGTTGTCACCTGTCTGCTGGTTATAACTTGTCACTGATCATCATGAGTACTAGGAGGAGCATGTTTAGGTCTTCGTCATCACTCGGTACCAAATATCCTTCGACGTCATCTCTCAACAAGAGCAGTGCTAAATACAGGCCAAAGAAAAAGGTGAACTTTTAAGTAGGATCCTTGTCAATTTATTGGCATCAGTATTTTTTTAAAGTAGACGAAAATACTGAGACGGGCAGTAAGTCTTTTGATGAGATTTGGAGATAAGACAATTTTTTTACGCTCACTGATTGGGCTTAAAAAATGTATCTTATAAATTTTGATAATTAAAATAACTTTCGACGCCGTCTAAATTGCCTCTCATAACTTGGACACTACATTTATCAGCTAGTTTTTTTTTTATGAGATCTGTTTTCAAACAAGATAAATAGCAAGAAAAAAGAATTAATTTTTTCGTACTGATTCAAAAAACTAGGACAATAATCATAAATGATCAAATCAGATTCAAGAGTTTTATAGTAAGTTTTCATAATTTCTGGAGGCGGAGCAATAAGTAGAATGATCCAATAGCAGAAAAACGGAAAAATTTTGATTTTTAGGGGCTAATCTCGAAAAACAACTTCTAGAATCGTAAATACCACAATTGAAATGAAAAAATTATACATAAAAATAAAAAAAATTAATGTTGAATGATAAATCCAATTAAGGTGTAAAAAAATCTTTTCAGTGGTAATATTGACGAGTCTAATACTTGTTTTAGCGATAGGCTCGTCTAATTCAATATTTCTTTGTTTTTCTGCTCTTGGACCGTTCTGCTCATTGACCGGCAACCCTTCTAAACGAGTACTGGTAGGTGATCCTGGTTGGGCTCTCTTCCATTTCCCCATCCCTCTTGTAAATTGCAATAGAAAAATGTTTTAAAAGTTTTCATGTGGGAACTTGCTAACCAGAAATGTTCCTGAAATGATACTTGAATAATTTCTTCAAATTTGAACCAAGGAAGTTGATACCAGGGAACAAAACGCACCTCATTAACAGGCCAAACTGTGTGTTTTGTGAATTGTAAGCGGATTCCGCAACAAGGATGCGGCCGTTGTACTTCTCCTATTCTTTCATTCTCTTTGATCGTTCCGACAAAATTTTAACATGTTTAAAGACTTGTCTCTGGAATCCAGGAACATACAGACACAAAATTCAGTGCAAAGTTTGGCCTAGTAATGCTTCTTGGAAAGTCTAAGAACAAAAGCAACGCTACAGACAGGATTCGAACCTGCGAAGGACATGCGTCCCATTGGATCTTAAGTCCAACGCCTTAACCACTCGGCCACCGTAGCTTTTCTCTACTCTGTAGGTGTGAACATAAAAACCAGCAAAAAATTCCGGTGCATAAATTGAACTAATACTGATGAATTAATTAGGTAATAAAAAAGTAATTCCACCTGAGAAAATGACGTCATTACACTTCATTTTTCATAGAACAGTGAAAGTTGTAGACTATTTCTACCAGAGAAATTGACGTCATTATTCATAAACTTCTAGAATCTTCTAATTTTAAGAATCTAAAGAATAAATCCTCGAATTTTATCAGAAGTCATTACACATTAAAATCTAGATTTTTCTGAATCTTCTAAATTCTAGAATTATCCTATAAAAGTTTAACCAATCAGAATTCCAGAACTGACTTTAAGGTGATGAAACCTTGTTAAGTTTTGATTTGTTTTCAAAATTTGATTTGTTCAGTTTTGGATTTGTTCAGAAATTCCGCAGGTTGACTTCTTTTTTAGTAAGTTTTACATATTTGATGCCAAATGGTTGCATTATATACTTTTCGGTCAACGAATCTGATTGAAGTTAATTCACTTTAAAACAGCTCATTTTGATTCGATGTCGGGTTAAATTTATCGCTGACTTCCACACGTAAAAACCAAACGGTGTGTTCAAAAACTATTTAACTTAAAATGCCAAGAGTAAAAAAACGAATCGTGAAGTGCACAAGCTAACCAATAAAATAAATTTTACAATCGTCAATACTACCAATGAAATGAATAATTTTAAACTTAAGTTGTTGGCAATATCGGTGACCTTGACAACTTAATTGGTCAACAACGGTTGATTTAGGTTGAGTCAATTTTTGATAATGTTTTTTACTGACGCTGAGCAATAAACAGAATCATCTTAGAGCAGAATGAATCCAAGAGCAGAAGAACGATTTATACAGGCTAATTAATACAACAATTATTAAAATGTCAATAATACCAAGGAAATGTTTAAATTTTACATAAATTGAATCATTCCAGGGAGTTTCTTTTTTGATTTTTTTAAAGATACATCGATTAAATTTCTTGGATTATGCATAATATATTCATTTCTTTGGCAATATTGACAATTCTTATACTTAACTTACCGATTAGCTTATAAAAGTTGATGTTTTTCTCCTCTTGGAATCATTCTGCTCTTATACCATTCTGCTTATTGACTGGCCACCATAATTTCTGAAGAGGATAGACGAGGAGCGATTTACATTCTACTAACTTCTAACTGAGCAGCACTAATTCAAACACGCGAACCGTTGAAAATATAAATTATAGAATAAAGTTATTCCTTTAATTTTTAAGCTGAGAGCTAACATTTTTGTATTTGAGCTTTACGATCGAATAATGGGTTTTGAAAGCATTAAATTAATAGGACGATTCCCAAGGAATGAAAACTATCAAAATTCCAAAAATCAGTTTGTTCACAAAGTATTGGGAAAATTCCCGAGTTTTAACAAAATTTTGGCAGGAACTAGCAAGTTTTGTAATATAATATTGTGAAAATGAATTGTGTAAGGTTTCTAGTAGCATTCGGCTAAAGGTCTGTTCATTTGAAAAAAAAAAACTAACTCTTGTGTTATTCTTCCAAGTGGAGAAAAGTGTCCTAATTCTTCAAATTTTGTGGTTTCTCAAAAAAGCACGTTCAAGTAGCTCAGATTTTGTAGGTAAAATCAGAAAATCAGACCCTCAAATTAGGTGCTGATCTTAACATACTCATAGGTTGATAAACATAGACAATGTAAAGTCTCAAAGTCAATCAAATACACTTGGCACTAACTGAAAGTTAATTAATGTACAGTTTTCTCTATAATTTTAGACGAAACGTTTCATAATTTTTGTCATTTTTTTGTTTTCCAAATAAACTTTTCTTGTCCAAAATTTCGCGTTATTGTTATATTATGAACAAGAATCAGTTAGCTTTATTTTTGAAAGTAGGCAAAAAAATTAGATTTTTAGTGGACTCGGCCATTTTTTTCAATGAAAACTATGAATTGAGATATTAGTTTAGGTTTTTTTTATTTGTGTATCATATACAGAACTTAACCAGATCATAGAAAAAGAATGTATCAAGAAATAGTTTTTATATCAAAGATTTTTTCGATTTTTCTGTAAGAAATTGTTCTGATATTTTTCCGTTGAACTAGTGCCATGGTATTCGAGTAAACCAATTTTTGTGATTGGTCCTCTTTAATTGGCTATATCATATTTCCTCTTCTTTCCAATCCAATTCACATATAAAAATCCTTGTTTTGCTTGTGGCACGTTAACCGCATAGTATTGGCAGTTCAATAGCATGTGTTCTTTCCTATATGAGGTGCTAGTCTTTTGCTTCTGTAATTGTCCAGCAGGTGTTTTTTCGTTTCTGTCATGTTTTTTCTTGCCTTTTGCGCTATTAAGTGTAAACAAACGATGCTTTTTGCGGGGGGGGGGGGGGATTTTGGCGTGCTTACGCTCCTTTGATGTTTTGCGGTTTTTCAGTTCATTTCTTTTAAAATTCAGAGTTCAGTTCCTTCGTTTCATGTGACGAAAACTTGAATGACCCCCAGTTTCAAAGATTGACTTTCGATTTCCTAATAACCAGCGGAATAAAACTAAAACATATTGATCCAGTTTTCTCTAAGTTAGTAATTTTTAAGAAAAAAGTGGAAATCTTAAACAATTTATCAAATTCAAAGAGCTTTGTCGTTATATTTTTTTCTTCGAAGTTAGAAAATTAAAAAGATCCAAACAGTTTTTATCGATTTTTTTGTTCTGCAACACTTTTCCAATCATCTGTTGGCTATGTTTAAGAGTCGATGAACGTAGTTCAGACTTTTATATAGATCGCGATATGTTTTTTGGTAAATTTGTTCAGGCTTCAATTTACTTTTTCGCTGTTTGACTTTTGATTTCCTTTCAAGTTGACTTCACATCCTTCGTCAAAAAAATTCAAACTCAATTATCGAATAGCGAAAGTGAAAAAGTCATGGAAAAACCTTTTATCAGATTTCCCAGCGAAACAGAAATTTTACCTATTGATCCAGTTTTCTCAAATTGGGTAATTTTTATCAAAATAGTGTCAATCATAATTTGTTCTAGAAATTCAAAGAGCTCTAAGGCCATCTTATTGTTTCGTGGAATTTCGAATTTGAGATTTTTTCAAAAAATAAGTTTGTATTTTTTCTGTTTACTTGCGTTCCTTGACTCTTTTTCAACTGTCTGCTGGCTATGTTTTACCTTTTTCAAGCTATTTCTTGACTTTTGTCGTCTGTGTTTGCGAATTACATCTTCGCTTCTTTTTGAAACGTAGTCAGTCGTAAATTGATTTCCGAAAAGTTGCTCAAAAAAGGTCAGAAATTTTCCTTCCTCCAATTTATTGTTTAGCCTGTGATGTGGGGGTGTATTGTTCGGGAATCGTTTTTTTTTCACTGTTTTAGGGTAACATTATGTAGTTGTGGCTTAAAATCAGTTTCGTCTCGCTACATTAGAGTGTCGAATTGTTGCGAACAAAGTTTGAAGAAAAAAAATTAAAATCAAATTCACTTTGATAACTGTGCTTTTTGCTCTGAACTATGCCAAATGGAGTGAATAGTACGTTCACTAATATTGAATGTCCGAATGGAGCAAAAAACTTAATTGTCTTAAGGTTTACAAAGTGGATTGTCATTTACAGAGTTTCTAGTAAAAATTGTTTACAGAGTTTCATGGAAAAAGTGTCAATCATAAATAATTGATAGAGCTTTAAGTTGATTTATATATACTTTTTTTGAAACTGGGAAGTTGAAAGGTACTTCAACATAAAACGATACTTTTTCGGGCTCCTTGAGTGCATTGCCTCTTTTTCAACTGTCTCTTGGCTATATTTTGTTGCCAGTGGATGAAAAGAGCTGGTGCTGCAATGAGGCTTAAATTATATTTAAATGAGTGGCTAATTGTGTTGTAGGTTGAGACTAGGGACGAGGAGATAGACAGACTGTCTCGTCTGCTGGAGACAGGCAGACCACATGACTCACTCGTCTCAGATGCGAAGGGACACTCTAGTGACAAACTCATTTCACACCTCAATTTACAGGCTAGTTCTCTTTCTTTCTATTTCTTATCCCTTATTAAAAACATCAACTCTTAGATGTCAAAAGTCGTGTCGCCATTTTCGGGATCATAAAGTTAGAGATCCTCGGATACCTCTGTGACTTGTTTGGCCATGCGGTGCTATGATATGATTCCTTATTCCTTAAGCAATGCTAGTGTGATACAGTTCAATTTTGAATTATCCGGACAAAACGCCTTAAACTAGAAATTAAAGCAGGTTTTTCTCTAATTGGGTTGACCTTAGGTTAAAAAATGATGAGACGAAAATTGCTAAGAATTTCAGCAGAATTAATATGGTGCAATTTTTTTTGCGAAATTCGGGCCCAAAATTTTATCCTAAAAATTGATTTTTTGATGTTTTTAGTCAATATTACATTACGCCAAAACTTCCTGGTCGATCACTGACATAATTATATCAAAGTGAGCCTCTTACGTTGCCCAACAAACTTCAAGAAAGGTATACTCTCCAAAACATTGTATAATTTATTTTGTTTTTGTTTAATAGACGAAAAAGGGGTAGTTTTTACTATATAAAACACCATTTTGTGTTTAAAAACTATTTTTAAACAATTTGGGCCATTTTTTCGGAGAGTTTTTTGGGCTGCATAAGAGGCTCACTTTAATATAATTATGTCAGTATTTGACTTGGTAGTTTTGGCGTAATTTTCGATTGACTAAAACCGCCAAAAGTGATCATTTTTAGGGTAAACTTCTGGGCCCGAATTTTGCGGAACAAATTGCACCACATTAATTCTGCTGAAAATCTAAGCAGTTTTTGTCTTGATCATTTTTCTACCTAAGGTCAAACCAATTTGAGAAAAACTTTTTTAATTTCTAGTTTAATGCGTTTTGTCCGGATAGTTCAAATCAGCACTAGTATGAATTCTCTTTTTTTGCAACCTAAATCGCAGTTTTTATTGCAACAAAATGTGTTCATTTGATCCATAACCAGCTATTAATAACAGCCAATGCTAAGGATATTAAAACAGACTATTATATTACAAATAGTACTTTAGCTTCAAGCTATCGTGGATTTGTAGCGTAGAGGTAGGGAAGGAGACCCGAAATTAATTAAGAGGGTTCGAACCTGGGCAGGGTCGGATGTTTTTAATGAATTTTTACGTATAATAATTAAAATGCATCCGCTCTGTAAATTGAAGCTTGTTATTTAGTTAATGTATATTTTTTTCAAATTGACTGGTTCTGCTAATGCGTTATAATTGGCTTGCGTCACTTAGCATTTATGTAGACTCATAATTAGCGTGCGTCACTTCAGAAATTTTGTTGACTCAAAGTTTTTTCTCATTCAGTTTTTCCCAGTAGCGTTGTCGGAAATATTTTTGCTTGTTTATGCGAAGTGCAACTTCGCCTCTGTGTCTTGACTTTAATTTAACGTCCTTGATGATTTCAATAGACGAAAATTAATGGGTGGTTAGTTACAGGTACAGAAACTGAGAAGCCTAGTCTGGAAGAAAATGAGAATGAAGGAAAAGTTGAATTAAAGAATGAAAAGTTAGCATGCTGTGATGTTGATGTTGTTGTCGCTGTTGTTGATTGGCATGCCGATAGATGATGGTAGATAGGGAAGGGTCATCTTGGGATCACCGGAGTAAAAAAAGAGTCCAGTTAGAGTTCCTTAGTCGCTGTGGCAGTTTGAGTGTATCAGTCGAGTTTGACCTGTTTCCTGGATAATTATATCACAGCACTGTTTCATAGTTTTTTTCAATTATGTTTTTTTTGTATAATTACCAGTACCATTTTTGTATCGCCTTAAGTGTTTTTTTTTCAAGATTTTTTAGCATGTTTTTGTACCGTAATAAATACGAAGGGTGACAGTTTTTCTCTCATCTCCGAAAAAAATTTACTTGTTGGATATCGAGAAAGAAAGCAATTTAAAATATAGTATATCTTAAAATGTTCTTGTTTCTCGATATCTTTAAAACTACAATTCAGTGAACTGTCCGGTCATCGCATCCCAATTGGCTGTCGTGAATCCAAAAGTTGCCTCATACATTTGCCGTGTCGTCCATTTCTGTTGTGCCAGGTCCTAGAAATTGTTACGAAGTCGTGTTTCGAAGTGCACTAGTGTTACAAGATAACAACCGCCTCAACTCGCCGAATTTTGGATAAAAATAATTACCGATAGAAGGTTAAATTCATGGCTGAACTTGTGATTCAGCTAAAAAAACATCTGAGCAGGAAACTGGCTGAATAGTTTTTGATCGAATGTTTGAGACCTAAAGTTTGTCATAGTAAGAAAAGCACTAAATAGGCGGATTCCCTTCTCGATTGTCCGCAAATTATGCCTGCCTAGCATACGCAATTATTAAAAAACTGAAAAATAGGCAAAAAATCAGTAAGTTATGCACTCTTTCAAGGACTTTGATCATCGGTTGTCATTAGACTACCCGTCAACGTCCCCCCACTAAACTAACCGTGTTGTAAGTTTTCCCACCCCCCTCAGTGCCCAGTGGACTGCGAGACGCCAGTGGTGCTGCCTTCTATGGGGTCTTTGAAGCAAGGGAATCTTTTCTTGATCTGGTACTTGTACTTGGGGTGCATGAACCCATAGATGTATGCGTTGTACACACAGTTAGACTTCGCAAACAGAGCAGGCAGAGTTGACAGTCTAAATGAAAAATAAGACAGTTCAGTTTTGAACTCAAGTTAAAGCATGGGCAGGCGATGTTTTGGAAGAAACTAGAAGAGTTCAAAAAATTTTTTTGTGTAATATAGCTTGACATTCATTTTTCTCGAAAATAGTTCATTTCAGTTTTACCAGAAAAAAAATTAAACTGGTCTAGTTTTCTGTTCTGGGAATAGTTATTTTTCCTTTGTTACAATTAATCAAATTTGTCTCAATAATTTGAAATTTCTTAATTGAGAGAATCTTCTTCGAATACAAAAATTTTTGAAAAGTCTGTTTTCTGTCTCCGATCTGATTAGCTCCAGATTTAAGTTTGAAACTCCTTTGCTTTCTTTTTAACCGGTTGGCGTTCAAATGAAAAACGCAATTTTTATTTTGCAGTAAGTTTAATTCAGCAGCTAAGGAATTTCCAATATTGCTCTATGTCGTCTGTTTTGAAACAAGTAGTTCAAGTCATGAATGAGGTTCAGACGTCGAGAGTCTATCGTGTTCATATTTTGTCTGTCTGTCTAACTGACCTTGGCGGAATGTTCTCTGGTCCGCTGAACTGTCCGACCAGAGCTATGAGTGCGTAAGGAGTCCATGCTATTCCGAAGAACACGATGCACGTCAGACCCACCTTCGCAATCGCCAACTCTTTGCTTTGCTAAACAACACATGCACACATTTTTCACTAGCTGTATAGCCATTTATGGCCCGGTCGTTAAACTCGTACATCAAATTACACATGCTACCTTATTTTTTCAATTAGATGGTCGATGAACTTAGTGATGCATCTTATATAAGGTCCTGATGGTTTTAGTTTTTTTTAAGAAAAAAGTCTGAAAGTTTGTTGACTTTCAAATATGATTTTTTGAGGTTTGAGTTTTGGTGTATATTTAAGTTCAGTTCCTAATGTAGGTTTTTCGTTAAAAGGAAGGCAAACTCCGCTATTGAACAGCAAACGTGTAAAGGTGACCTCACGAAAAACGTGATCAACTTCTAACTTCGAAAATGGAATTCAATTTTCAGATTTCCCAGCGAACAAAAATTTTACCTATAGATCCCGTTTTCTCAAATTGAGTTCATTTTATCCAAAAAATTCCCAAACAAAGTTTTCTTGAAATTCGTAAAGCGTGTTATATTTTTTATTATTTTTTAGCTTTTCGTTGATACTTTTCCAACTGTCTGTTTTCGACTTAGCGGTTTTTGTCTCATTTTCCATCAGCTATCTTCTAGTGCTGTGTTTGTGTAGTATCGTAAGTGAAGCTAGTTTCCCCCTTTTGTCGTTTAATACGAGTACCTGTTTCTTCTCTTTCTTGTCGGAGGCGGAGGAGTTCCTGACGGTTTCGAAGATTGAGTAGTAGAAGTAGATGTTGAGTAGCATGGGGGCCATGAACACCATGATGTACATGAAGATCACAAAGCTGCGAGTAGTCAGGTCCTGAGTGACGTAGTCGAACGTGCAACTGGTCATGTAGCCTAGGAAAACAGTCAAGCGAAGTTCCGTTTTACACGTCGAGTGTAGTGTAATACTACGAAGCAACTTTTTTCCCAAACAATTTGCAAATAAATATGCTCATTTGGTGGCACTTATGTAATTTCAATCATTGGCAATTTGATAGCGTCTAAGCTAATTTTTTGGCGACTAGTGATAGTTTATTTCGAAGCTGCCATTATGTGAGACTCCTAATCTACAGGTTGGAGGTTCAGTATCGGTTGAAATAGTTTGATTGGGTTGCATTTTTGTTGAATATAATTGTCTTTTTAATATCAACGGTAGCTGCGTTGTTGATTGCTAGAGTTACTAAAATTTAAAGCACGTGGGGCAGAGCCGTTTTAAAAAAATTTTCTACTTCAAGATAAAATGCACTAATAGCTACAAATGTGCATTCGTACATATTAATGTATTTGTTATTGCATTTTGGTAAATATGCATTTTTCAAAAACAATTCAATTTCATCTGATATAAGTTAGTAAAGTTGCGCTCTCCTAGAAATGACGCAAAAACCTGAACGATTTCTAGTTTTGATATTGAATCTTAATGTTTAGATTTCCCAGCGGAATCAAGACTTTTTCTGTTGATTTTTCTGTTGATTCAGAAGAGTTATCATAGATTTGTCTTGAAATTCGAAGTGCATTAAGCTAATATTTTGTTTACTTTGAAGTTCGAAAGTTCAAAAATAAGACTTTTTTCTGTTTCCTTGCGCTCATTAAAACTTTTATAACTGTCTGTTGGCTATGTTTTCAATTTGCTTTTCAGAGCTTGCCATTTTTTTTTTTTGGTTGTCTATTTGGTTCTTGCCTGTCTCATCGTCTCTGTGCATCATCGTCTCTGTCTTTATATATAAGTTAAAAGAAATAAGTGATGTTGTTATTAACTGTCAATAAAGGTAATAGAACTAATATAGCTCGCGTTGGTTTTTTCCGTTTTTATTTCAGTTTTTTTTCAGTCTGAAAAGTTATTCAAGCTCAAGTGACGGCTCTTTTCCAGTTCCCCCTTTGATTTATTCTGAAATTCAATTGTTGAAAGTCTTTTTGAAATTACTTTTGATGTTATAAACTGCATCAAAGCGTGTCAGCGTGAACAGATGTTTACAACTTTTTTTTACATGTAAAATGCCGTGTGAACATTTTTTGAGCAGCTTAATTTTGCAATTTTACGAGGCGGGTGGAAACTGGAAAAGAGCCAAGTTCACTTTTCTCTGATTGACTTTGATAAGTTCACGTCAAATTATTTTGCTAAAGTTGATAAACTTTTTCAAAACAGTACAATGTTTTTTTAGTTGCGTTGTTTAAGCTAGGTTTCATCTGATAAAAAAACAAAAAATCTCAACGAGCAACTAAAATTTCAATATTGCTTACACTTGCGAACTTAAGTGTGCGTTAGTGTTATACTACGACTAATTTTTTTTCTTAACTAATTCGCGAGTATTGGTGCCACTCTTGGGACAACTTTACGGCTTTTTAAATGCATTGCTCTGACATTCGAATAATAATAATAAGTTAACGGATGAATACTTTTTTAATACATAACGTTAATGAAAACTCGATTTCAGAAGTCTTTCAATTCAATATATCTCGCAAGTTTTTGAAATACATAATTTAAACATAATGTGGCTCTATGCTTTTCAATTTATTACATGCAAAATTAGTGTAGATACCTTCACTTTGTTATATTCCAAACTAATTGCAAAATTGTGTCTATTGGTATTTGGTGCCACCTTTGCTGCATAACATAGCAATTTTTTAGCATATATAGCTGCTTGATTTGTGACCAGTGTTTGCCGGTTGTTAATTTGCCGGTTTTACCAATTCGAGGTTTCTTTACCTGAGTCATTATGGTTTTTCAAAGGCCATTTACCACCTGTACGCTTCGTAGGCACCAATTTTCAAATGCACGTATTACAAAAGAACAGATCGATATTTATGTTTACACTAGCGATTACCTAACTCGCTAATAAAAGTGTTCATTAAATGTGTTCACTTATTTGGAAATTGAATTGGAAATTGTGGCAGTGGAAATTGCCTAGCATCTGTTCTCTTCTTTATTTGTGGCTAGTTTTTGGGTCCTATTAAGACTCCGTAGCTGAGTGGTTAGTGTGTGAGGTTATTAATCTGTAGGTCGCAGGTTCGAATCTCAGACTTTTAATTATTTAAATTTTTAATCATTCGAGGCTTATTTCTATTCTTCTTATTGCTTTTTATAGAGCTGCTTTTGTCGTGTTCCGGCTAGTGTTTGCGAAGCGAAGCTCCGCCTCTGTGTTGAAGTAATTGCGATTTTCGTGGAAATGTTCCGAAATGTTACCATTATTAAGACACTAGTCGGGAAAAATGATCTTTTTGATTGTTTCAAAGTTGGAGCTATCTTACTGCTCAAATGTGATTGGTTAAAACTAATTCCACCGAAAGAAAATTTGTTGAGCATCATAAAAAAACAAATTTTAGTATTTTGGGCCGTATAACGGAAAACGTCACTTTCGCTAAATCTGTAATTTTTCTCCGCACGCTAATCCTTAAGATGCCATCATACCAAAAAGGGTAGATGAGTTTGGAATGGTGAAAGGCAAACTCATATTTCGTTACAGGGTCAATTAGAGCATTAATTGTTCTGCTTTCTCTTTTATTACCATCCATGACGAATCCACCGATGCCGAATGAGGGCAGAATGGCGAAGAGCGAAGTGTAGAGCCAGACCATGGCCGCAATGCGCACAGAGCGGGAGATACTCGCTATCCGGTTGGCATCCGCCGCGAAACAGATCATTATGTACCTATAGAAACACACCACACATTGGTCGAATTACATTTAAGAACATTGATCTATAAGGTAAAGAAACAGCATACGAGCTGTTTACGGAGAACCGCTTTTGTTGTGCTCGTGGTTAAGACCTATTTGCAGTTTTTTTGGTTAATTTTTTGGACTCTGAGTTGTTACTCCACCCGTTTAAAATGAGCGATCACACCTTTTATGTTATATTGTTTTAACCGAGAGAGAGACACGAAATTGGTTAGTTTAAGATAGTTAATAGCAGTTTAGTGTAGCTGTTTTTGTAGAACTTTTCGTTGTCCACAGAGGATCACTATAACTGTAAAGCTTCGAGACCAACAAATCTTTCCATTCAAAATTTGAGGAAAACAGTAAGTTTGCCAAATTGTGAAATGCAATTTTTTGTTTGAGCAAGGCAAGTTAGAAAAAACAAGGAGTAAAAGTTTGAGTAAGTGTACGTACCTGTCATATGCTATGGCCGTCATGGCGATTATGGAGCCACAGCCACCGAAGGAGGTGAAGGCACCATACACGTCACAAGCTGAAATAGGACAGTCAATAAGTTAGATTAAGCTACGTTAGATTAGAAAATAAACTAGAAGACTTGTAAAGTTCTGCTGATCGTTTTCAGATGTTTTCAATTATACTCTCTAAAGCTTGGCCATACTATGAAAGATGAGTTGTGTTGCTTCGAGTGGACTCAATAAAGGTTTCATCTTTTTTGCTTTTATCCTCTAAAAAGTGTGTGAGTGATTGCGTGGAGTAAAAGATAAAGAGAAAGAGTTATAATTAGATAGATGTAGTGACAGTGATGACGCAGTACTAGCCGAAATCTCCGAATATCCACTCCTTCTCGAAGCTGGAGATCATGAACATGGGCTGGCAGGTGAGGACCATGATGAGGTCTATGAGGGACAGATTCACCAGCAGCACATTGTTAGGAGTGCGCAGACTCTTAGTCCTAAATGGAGTAAACACAGTAGAGTAGTTAGAGTAGTTAAGATTATTAACTCAAATGTCTCAAGTAGAGTAGTTAAGATAGAAGTGGCGATGAATAGTTCTGATCTCTCAAGAGCAGTAGCTAATTGAGAGGGGGAGAGTTTCTTGGAGTGCTGATGACGCCTACTCGCCCCAGGAATCCCACAATCTTAAGAATCCCACAGATCCCCTTAAGAACTAGCTTACGACATCAATTTTTCGCCAAGCCCACAACTATGAACCTCTGCCTACCATTGGAAATTTATTCTAAACTGACGGTTAGCACTAATAGAATGTCTAGCCCTGTTTTAGATGAGAAAATTACAAAATTAATTGAGATATATTTTTAATCGGAGATAAGGTAAACAGTAGATTGTTAAAAATCTATAGGATTATTGATTTTCTTTTATAGTCGAATTCGTAGTTTTTCCAAGCTATCCCTAAACACTCAAAACTTTTCAGGAACGGTTTAATCCATATCTTAATCTAAAGCTCAGGCAATGCAGAAGATGTAGATGATGAAAATGGCGGATAATCAACAAACCGCCATATGTTGAAGCCGAAATTGCATCCGAATTACGTTAAGTGCATTAAAATAAGTAACAATTGCATAACAAAGTGACAATCTGCTTTTATATTGCATAACTATATTAATTGATAACAACAATAATAGAATACATGAGATATATACTGACGATAGGAATATGTATATGACCGTGAAGTTGCCGATGAGTCCGAAGAGGGTGAGGGAGAGGAGGATGATACTATCAAATACATGACATATATACTGAGGATAGAAATTTGTATATGACAGTGACGTTGCCTATGAGTCCAAAGAGGGTGAGGTAGAGGAGGATGATACTATCAAATACATGACATATATACTGAGGATAGAAATAAGTATATGACAGTGACGTTGCCTATGAGTCCGAAGAGGGTGAGGAAGAGGAGGATGATACTATCAAATACATGACATATATACTGAGGATAGGAATATGTATTTGACAGTGAGGTTGCCTATGAGTCCGAAGAGGGTGAGAAAGAGGAGGATGATACTATAAAATACATGACATATATACTGAGGATAGAAATAAGTATATGACAGTGACGTTGCCGATTAGTCCGAAAAGGGTGAGAAAGAGGAGGATGATACTATAAAAAACATGACATATATACTGATGATAGGAATATGTATATGACAGTGAGGTTGCCTATGAGTCCGAAGAGGGTGAGGAAGAGGAGGATGATACTATAAAATACATGACATATATACTGAGGATAGAAAAAGTATATGACAGTGAAGTTGCCGATTAGTCCGAAAAGGGTGAGAAAGAGGAGGATGATACTATAAAAAACATGACATATATACTGATGATAGGAATATGTATTTGACAGTGAGGTTGCCTATGAGTCCGAAGAGGGTGAGGAAGAGGAGGATGATACTATCAAATACATGACATATATACTGAGGATAGAAATATGTATATGACAGTGAAGTTGCCGATTAGTCCGAAAAGGGTGAGAAAGAGGAGGATGATACTATAAAAAACATGACATATATACTGATGATAGGAATATGTATTTGACAGTGAGGTTGCCTATGAGTCCGAAGAGGGTGAGAAAGAGGAGGATGATACTATAAAATACATGACATATATACTGAGGATAGAAATAAGTATATGACAGTGACGTTGCCTATGAGTCCGAAGAGGGTGAGGAAGAGGAGGATGATACTATCAAATACATGACATATATACTGAGGATAGAAATATGTATATGACAGTGAAGTTGCCGATTAGTCCGAAAAGGGTGAGAAAGAGGAGGATGATACTATAAAAAACATGACATATATACTGATGATAGGAATATGTATATGACAGTGAGGTTGCCTATGAGTCCGAAGAGGGTGAGGAAGAGGAGGATGATACTATAAAATACATGACATATATACTGAGGATAGAAAAAGTATATGACAGTGACGTTGCCTATGAGTCCGAAGAGGGTGAGGAAGAGGAGGATGATACTATCAAATACATGACATATATACTGAGGGTAGAAATATGTATATGACAGTGAAGTTGCCGATTAGTCCGAAAAGGGTGAGAAAGAGGAGGATGATACTATAAAAAACATGACATATATACTGATGATAGGAAAATGTATTTGACAGTGAGGTTGCCTATGAGTCCGAAGAGGGTGAGAAAGAGGAGGATGATACTATAAAATACATGACATGTTTACTGACGATAGGAATATGTATATGACACTGAGGTTGCCGATGAGTCGAAAGAGGAGGATGATACTATAAAATACTGGACTTATATACTGACGATAGAAATATGTATTGAACAGTGAGGTTGCCGATGAGTACGAAGAGGGTGAGAAAGAGGAGCATGATACTAAAAAATACATGACTTATATACTGACGATAGGAATATGTATATGACAGTGAGGTTGCCGATGAGTCCGAAGAGGGTGAGAAAGAGGAGGATGATACTATAAAATACATGACATATATACTGAGGATAGAAATATGTATATGACAGTGACGTTACCTATGAATCTGAAGAGGGCGAGGAAGAAGAGGATGATACTATAAAATACATGTCATGTATACTGAGGATAGAAGTATGTATATGACAGTGAGGTTGCCTATGAGTCCGAAGAGGGTGAGGAAGAGGAGGATGATATTATCAAATACACGACAAATATACTGAGGATAGAAATATGTATATGACAGTGAAGTTGCCGATTAGTCCGAAAAGGGTGAGAAAGAGGAGGATGATTCTATAAAATACATGACATATATACTGAGGATAGAAATAAGTATATGACAGTGACGTTGCCTATGAGTCCGAAGAGGGTGAGGAAGAGGAGGATGATACTATCAAATACATGACATATATACTGAGGATAGAAATATGTATATGACAGTGAAGTTGCCGATTAGTCCGAAAATTGTGAGAAAGAGGAGGATGATACTATAAAAAACATGACATATAAACTGATGATAGGAATATGTATATGACAGCGAGGTTGCCTATGAGTCCGAAGAGGGTGAGGAAGAGGAGGATGATACTATAAAATACATGACATATATACTGAGGATAGAAATAAGTATATGACAGTGACGTTGCCTATGAGTCCGAAGAGGGTGAGGAAGAGGAGGATGATACTATCAAATACATGACATATATACTGAGGATAGAAATATGTATATGACAGTGAAGTTGCCGATTAGTCCGAAAAGGGTGAGAAAGAGGAGGATGATACTATAAAAAACATGACATATATACTGAAAATAGGAATATGTATTTGACAGTGAGGTTGCCTATGAGTCCGAAGAGGGTGAGAAAGAGGAGGATGATACTAAAAAATACATGACATGTTTACTGACGATAGGAATATGTATATGACAGTGAGTTTGCCGATGAGTCGAAAGAGGAGGATGATACTATAAAATACTGGACTTATATACTGACGATAGAAATATGTATTGAACAGTGAGGTTGCCGATGAGTACGAAGAGGGTGAGAAAGAGGAGCATGATACTAAAAAATACATGACTTATATACTGACGATAGGAATATGTATATGACAGTGAGGTTGCCGATGAGTCCGAAGAGGGTGAGAAAGAGGAGGATGATACTATAAAATACATGACATATATACTGAGGATAGAATTATGTATATGACAGTGACGTTGCCTATGAATCTGAAGAGGGCGAGGAAGAAGAGGATGATACTATAAAATACATGTCATGTATACTGAGGATAGAAGTATGTATATGACAGTGAGGTTGCCTATGAGTCCGAAGAGGGTGAGGAAGAGGAGGATGATACTATCAAATACACGACATATATACTGAGGATAGAAATATGTATATGACAGTGAAGTTGCCGATTAGTCCGAAAAGGGTGAGAAAGAGGAGGATGATTCTATAAAATACATGACATATATACTGATGATAGGAATATGTATATGACAGTGAGGTTGCCTATGAGTCCGAAGAGGGTGAGAAAGAGGAGGATGATACTATAAAATACATGACTTATATACTGACGATAGGAATATGTATATGGCAGTGAGGATGTCGATGAGCCGGAAGAGGGCGAGGAAGAGGAAGATGATACTATAAAATACATGACTTATATACTGACGATAGGAATGTGTGTATGACAGTGAGGTTGCCGATGAGTACGAAGAGGTTGAGAAAGAGGAGGATGATACTATAAAATACATGACTTTTATACTGACGATATGAATATGTATATGACAGTGAGGTTGCCGATGAGTACGAAGAGGGTGAGAAAGAGGAGGATGATACTATAAAATACATGACTTATATACTGACGATAGGAATATGTATATGACAGTGAGGTTGCCGATGAGTCCGAAGAGGGTGAGGAAGAGGAGGATGATACTATCAAATACACGACATATATACTGAGGATAGAAATATGTATATGACAGTGAAGTTGCCGATTAGTCCGAAAAGGGTGAGAAAGAGGAGGATGATTCTATAAAATACATGACATATATACTGATGATAGGAATATGTATATGACAGTGAGGTTGCCTATGAGTCCGAAGAGGGTGAGAAAGAGGAGGATGATACTATAAAATACATGACATATATACTGAGGATAGAAATATGTATATGACAGTGAAGTTGCCGATTAGTCCGAAAAGGGTGAGAAAGAGGAGGATGATTCTATAAAATACATGACATATATACTGATGATAGGAATATGTATATGACAGTGAGGTTGCCTATGAGTCCGAAGAGGGTGAGAAAGAGGAGGATGATACTATAAAATACATGACTTATATACTGACGATAGGAATATGTATATGGCAGTGAGGATGTCGATGAGCCGGAAGAGGTTGAGAAAGAGGAGGATGATACTATAAAATACATGACTTTTATACTGACGATATGAATATGTATATGACAGTGAGGTTGCCGATGAGTACGAAGAGGGTGAGAAAGAGGAGGATGATACTATAAAATACATGACTTATATACTGACGATAGGAATATGTATATGACAGTGAGGTTGCCGATGAGTACCAAGAGGGTGAGAAAGAGGAGGATGATACTATAAAATATATGACTTATATACTGACGATAGTAATATGTATATGACAGTGAGGTTGCCGATGGGTCCGAAGGGGGTGAGAAAGAGGTGGACGATACTCTAAAATACATGACTTAGTACTGACGATAGGAATATGTATATGACAGTGAGGTTGCCGATGTACGAAGAGGTTGAGAAAGAGGAGGATGATACAATAAAATACATGACATAAATACTGATGATAGGAATATGTTTATGACAGTGAGGATGCCTATGAGTCCGAAGAGGGTGAGAAAGAGGAGGATGATACTATAAGATACATGACATGTTTACTGACGATAGGAATATGTATATGACAGTAAGGTTGCCGATGAGTCGGAAGAGGAGGATGATACTATAAAGTACTTGACTTATATACTGACGATAGAAATATGTATTGAACAGTGAGGTTGCCGATGAGTACGAAGAGGGTGAGAAAGAGGAGCATGATACTAAAAAATACATGACTTATATACTGACGATAGGAATATGTATATGACAGTGAGGTTGCCGATGAGTCCGAAGAGGGTGAGAAAGAGGAGGCTGATACTATAAAATACATGACATATACACTGAGGATAGAAATATGTATATGACAGTGACGTTGCCTATGAATCTGAAGAGGGCGAGGAAGAAGAGGATGATACTATAAAATACATGTCATATAGACTGAGGATAGAAGTATGTATATGAGAGTGATGTTGCCTATGAGTCCGAAGAGGGTGAGGAAGAGGAGGATGATACTATCAAATACATGACATATATACTGAGGATAGAAATATGTATATGACAGTGACGTTGCCGATTAGTCCGAAAAGGGTGAGAAAGAGGAGGATGATTCTATAAAATACATGACATATATACTGATGATAGGAATATGTATATGACAGTGAGGTTGCCTATGAGTCCGAAGAGGGTGAGAAAGAGGAGGATGATACTATAAAATACATGACTTATATACTGACGATAGGAATATGTATATGGCAGTGAGGTTGTCGATGAGCCGGAAGAGGGCGAGGAAGAGGAGGATGATACTATAAAATACATGACTTATATACTGACGATAGGAATGTGTGTATGACAGTGAGGTTGCCGATGAGTACGAAGAGGTTGAGAAAGAGGAGGATGATACTATAAAATACATGACTTTTATACTGACGATATGAATATGTATATGACAGTGAGGTTGCCGATGAGTACGAAGAGGGTGAGAAAGAGGAGGATGATACTATAAAATACATGACTTATATACTGACGATAGGAATATGTATATGACAGTGAGGTTGCCGATGAGTACCAAGAGGGTGAGAAAGAGGAGGATGATACTATAAAATATATGACTTATATACTGACGATAGTAATATGTATATGACAGTGAGGTTGCCGATGGGTCCGAAGAGGGTGAGAAAGAGGTGGACGATACTCTAAAATACATGACTTAATACTGACGAGAGGAATATGTATATGACAGTGAGGTTGCCGATGAGTCCGAAGAGGGTGAGAAAGAGGAGGATGATACTATAAAATACATGACATATATACTGACGATAGAAATATGTATATGACAGTGAGGTTGCCGATGAGTCCGAAGATGGTTAGGAAGAGGAGGATGATACTATAAAGTACATGAGATTTATACTGACGATAGAAATATGTATATGACAGTGAGGTTGCCGATGAGTCCGAAGAGGGTGAGGAAGAGGAGGATGATGGCCACCATAGTGTGTTCTCCATCTGGCACTGGTTCATAGAATGACTCCATCCACTTCTCATCCCAACCCCCCATCCCCACCGTTGTCATTGTCCCATTCGAAGCCATGTATTTGATGGTTCTGCGATAGCTGGTAACAAAAGACAAGTCGTAATTTTAGGAAAAGCGACAACTCGCAATGGTTGGAAATGAATTACCTTGAGAGTTTCGATGCAAGGTCGCTGGTGGGCTTTTATTGCGAGTTGTCTTTTGTGGCGAATATTATAATAACTGTTTTTGATTCTGACTCAATGATGTATAGTGATCAAGATTTACAGTCACATGTGTTTTTGGGTGTGGACTGAAACGCATCAGGAAGTTAATGCACACAGAAATGAATTCAAATTAAGTCAACCAATATAGTAAAAATTAAATCTACGCTTTTTGTAAAAAAAACGCGTAACTCATATGCAGCGGAGGATGGGGAGGGGGTTGGACGTCCCCATCAAGGATTCGACCCCCTCACCTACCAAAGGGTTCCCTTTAGTACTATTTTATATGACATCATTTTTAGGCCGACCAACCCTGAAATTTTTCGAAAGGCGCTTATATATACTAATTTTGAAGGGTAGCGCGCGCAGAAAAAACTCTTTATTTTAGTCAAAATTTTCCAATAAAAACCCGAAAGCGGCATTTTTACCTGTTCTTTTTTTTCTAAAAATTTGCCTGCGGCGCACAATTTTCTGTCAAAATACTGTTTCAGTATTGTTCTGAGATCGCTCGGAAAATTAATTTGGTCGACAAAGTTTTCGACAATTTCTTGAAAATCCGCCCCCGGCCCCCTAGAGAAAGTCCTAGATCCGCCCCAGCTCATATGCGAAAAAAATATCTATTTGAATTCGAACATTTTTCAGCCGACGGACGAGATTTTTATTACTTACTTTTGATGCGCAAATGAGATGAATTAGAATGCTGGATGGTGATGATGTCGCTGTTTTTGACTGTATCTCCTCGACTACAGAATTGGTCAAAGCAGACAGTTTTCTGATCTCTCACATCAACATCTACGCAAAAATCTTTTTTTTTTCTAGAAATTATTCTGGATGCCAATTTGCAGAAATACTTTCAAAATTATTGATTCGATCTTTTTAATGTTATAGTATAATAAATTAGATCTTCAATATTAGAATTCAGAACAGATCACATTTTTAGGTTTATTTTATTTGCGGCAAAAAATCGGCAAAAAGTAATGCTTTGACCAACTGCTGTTCTTCTTGCAAGATGCAACCCCAAAAATAGAGTTACGAAGTTGGCCATACTGCTTTTATATTCTGAGAGTGTCATTTGAATGTATAATTCCATAAGAATGCAGAGGAACACTTGAAAATATGCAAAACCATCCGACTTATAATCAAAATCTTCTTCCTACCTTCATCGTAATTTGAAGAAATGGTTGCCGCAAACTTTCAAGAAGAGTTAAATTGGCAGTCGGTTGCCAATTTAGTTAATGAAAATAACTAATCTTAAGTTAGAAGAAAAGATGAAAAGTGTCGGCCGAACTTGAGATCAAAGGACCCATTAGGAACATTAATGGCTGGTTGTGAAAATTTAAGATTAGATTCTATTAACATTTATAATGTGATGGGGTGCAGGAGGAAGGATTTTGTTCTTAAGGGGAAATTTGTATTGGGTTGATTTCCTCAAATCAATTAAAAAACGCAATTCGAGTAATTAAATCCGGAGTATGAATTGCAACTGGAATACCTTGAAGCAATTTAGACGAGTATTCTAGTGTCTTCCTTTTGTAACAATGTGTCTATAGAATTGCAGTAATTTGGCAGACCTTCTGCTGATCCGGTCGGAAAAAGAAGTAGAAGCAGAAAAATAAATTAATTCAAGTCGAAGTACATTGATGAAAAAACTAATTACAAAATTAGGTAGCGGCTTGAAAAGGGTAGGTAATGAGATCAGTTGATCTGCTCTAGCTCTACCCTGTGTACCACGAGATTCAAACAGAATTGGCTGATTTGAAAATAGTAATTGAATCATATTAAAATAAAATCATAGTAACACTTTTTTGAAAGAAAAAGTCCGACTGGGATTTGAAACCTCTTCTCCTGAATTCCAGTGAATCTTTTAAACACTAGACCGAAGAACCATAAAAGAAAAAGTTTGAATGTTTTATAAATGAAAAGAGTTTCCTAAAAGTCATGAAGGCTTATATATGTTCTCATGTTTTTTTTCTCTCGTTTTTTATCAGGAAAAAATTTTAAATTTTGCTTACGCTCAAATTCGAATTTTCGCGGTTTGATTTTTGATTAAGTAAAAGTCGATGAACGTAATTTAGACTCTTATATGGGTCGCGATGATGTTTTTTTCAGAAAAGTCTTAAAATTTGTTCAGGCTCAAAATTACTTTTTTCGCGCGTTGACTACTGATTTTTTTGAAATTGAGTTCATTTCCTATGTTAAAAGGAAGTCAAACTCCACTATCGAACAGCAAAAAGGTAAAGGTCACGAAAAAACTGTGTTCTTCGAAGAACGACAATTCAGTATTATCATTCTGTTTACTTACGTTCATTTTCTATTTTCCAACTGTCTGTTGGATATGTTTTTCTATGATTTTGAGTAGATTAAATGTTTTAAAACAAAATCGCAGAATCATTTTTTGATTTTATTTCAATCGAGCTTTTTCTGGGAACTTTTTACAATCAAAGAGTAGTTAATAGATTTTGATTTTTAGGAGTTTTTTTGTGAAAGTTCATTATTTTCAAATTAAGATCCGGTTTTATATAATTTTCTACTTATACGCTAATTTGTTTTTGGTTTGTCAAAATATATGCTGTTGTGTTTATAGTTTTTTCCAGAAAATATTGGTTCCGTTTTTTTGTGCGATTTGCAAAAGGTTTCATCGCTTGTATTTTGAACAGTTTAATGCAGTGCAGCCAAGTTAGTTGAAGCTGGACTTAAATTGTTGTTTGTAGATTTTTTATGTGTTTATTTGCTGTTGATTAAAAAACTCGCGAAACAGAAATTTCAAATTGTTATCATTAGTTTTTACTTTCAATTTTCTGCATCGCATGTGGTGCGAAACTCGGCTTCACCTCTGTTTTTATTTTTGTATGTTTTAATGTGTGTTTGTGTGTAGGTGGACTATCTGCAGAATAGCAACCGTGAATTAGAAGACAGACTGAGGAGGGCGATTGAGAAGAAGCATGATGCCAGCCACGAGGCATACATGGCCACGCGGGAGAGGAACGAACTACTCACAGATCTAGAACTCACAGAGAAGTTAGTAGCAGGGCACTCATTTATCACGTTTCAACCAACTAATCGGTTGAAATTACATAACTCAGGTCTTCACTGCAGACCCAATAGAGACTTATTTACTATGAGTGTCTCTTAAATCATTTACTAAGCAGTCATTTATTTGCTTAATTTTGGACTAAATTGCAAATAGGAATTTGTTCAAGGCAAGAGCTGAGATCTCAAAGAGGTTTCAGCTAAAAAAACTCCTTTTTATTACAATCGCGAAGGCTATTTCAGCTTAGTTTTTGGTGAACTGTGAGATCTTATCACTGATTGTGTTGCCTGTCGGGTTGAAAATTATGTTATGACGGAAGCCACTGTTCTGGCGAAGGGTCTGCAAAATACATAATAGCTGTATCATCATTGCCTTCAGTCTCATTTCATTTTTAGTGATGCTATAATCAAGAATATTCTTCCTAATATTACTATTATTGCCATTCTTCGCTAGAAAAGAACTAGAACCCTCATCCCTTCTTTTTTATTTATGGCAGTCAAAGTTGATTATGGTTCTCCCAAAGAGGATGATGGCTGTATTGCCGAAAGTACTTCTAAAAAAAAGTTTGCAATATCTTGTTTTTCAAGCATCGAAAAGTATTTTTTTTTTTTTTGTGTCTCTAGTTTGGCGGACAAGCTGAACTATGAGAAGGAGGCAGTGCTGGACATGGCGGGCAAGGAGGTCACAGATGCCCAGCAGAAGGTGCACAGAACCCACTCCGAGTGGAGGAAGAGCGAGAGCGAAAAGACTGACGCTCAGATGGTGAGAACATTTCAATTCTGTTCCAGTTTACCAGAAATGAAAACTATCCAAATGATTACCTATAGTATATCGTACCGAGAAATGTTATTGGTAAAGTTGTACTATATTGTGTCTCCGATGCACACACAATGCAAGAAATCGAGAGATTATGTACAAATTTATTTATATCGAGAGATTATGTACAAATTTATTTGGTCTTTACCCATGAGATAAGCAAGGGTATTGCAATCGGGGACTAGACTTCTTTTCCGGTTCACAGATTTTAGCATGCATGCAGTACACGACATGCATGCAGTATGTGCGTATGTTTGCGCTCATTGGTCTATTTCTCTCAGTGTGCAGCCTTATTAATGTTTTTCTAATTTTTTTAATGACATTTTTTTGATTTTCGACTTCGTCGCTTTCGGTTTACTTTTTGTCTGCATATTTTCGCTTTGTTTTTACCATCCAAGTAACTCGCTTATTTGAATTTAAGTTTTTTTTTACATAATAGTTGCTTTTAGTTTTCTGACTTACCTGTGCTGTTTGTTTGTAGTTTTTTAAATTGACATCGTTTATTTTTCTTGTTTTTGTTTTGTTTTCGTTGTAAAAACTTTGTTGTGCCCAATTGATATCTCGGCATTTTTATTAGCTTATTGACCTATTTTCGAGTCATTACAGTGGAAACTTGTTTTTTATGCTCACCTCTGGGTTGCACAAAATGCTAAACATCTTAATAGAAATTATAGTTCAAGTTTTTCATGACAACAATTTTTTTCGGCTTTTTTTTCGGGCTTGATAGGTTTCGGCCTATATTATACTTGCCTATCGGCCTTATATTGCGTCTTTCGTCGAGCGAAAAAAGTGTGTGTGCGTGTCTGTGTTTTAGGGGCGAGGGGGGGCTTAATAACTTCTGATTAGTCTGAAATTTTTTTAAAATCGGCTTTTTTTTGTTTTCCTTTTTATGGGCTTAATAGGTTTTCCTGCTATATCATGTCTGTTTAATTGTCCAATATTGTTTCATTCAATAGTGTTTTGACGGGGGTGGAAATTATTAACTTTTCTAAAGTCTAAAGTCTTGTTGATTTTTTTTTTCGTTTTAAAAGGTTTCTGCTAAGGTATTTTCGGCCGATTGGTAAACTATCTTCCGGTACTTATGTCACATTCTATTGTCTCGCCTTGTTTTCATTTCAATACTAGACTTTTCAAATGACAGATCTAATTTTTTTGACATTTTTGAATTTTCTCCATTGTTTTATGTTTTATCGCAAGTGGTGCGAAGCTCAGCTTCGCGTCTGTGTTTAAATGTGCGGGCTCCTTCGATTTATAACTATAGTAGCATAATGGCTGACAGTTGATTGCTCCCATTTTTAAATAATAGCGGCTGATGTATAAATTTGAGGTCAAAGGCAATAATAAAGTTGTAATAAATTTATACTGTCTAGAATTATCTCGGATGGAGTAGATTTTCGAATAATTTCTTGGTTCTTTTTGTGAGGCCAAATTTATTTTTCGAGTTCTCTTAAATCACTATGAAGGTCAAACTTTTGAGAATTTTTTTTTCTCTCTTGAAGGAAAATTTTCACAAAAAAGTCTTGGATCATTTCCTGTAAGTTTTGGAGCATTTCGGAAAGTTTCATTTTTCGGAAAGTTTTGGATCATTTCCGCATTTTTAAAATCCGATTTTTGACCAATAGTGCTTTATTATGATATTATGCTAAGTCTCTCGAGCTTTCCTAGTGGTAGTCAGAATAGCAAGAAAAAAACACCGTACCATAGATAGTTCTTTCCATTCACTTTCTGAACTGGTCAGAATAAAGTGTTATTTACTGTTGGCATTTTAGTTGATTGCTTCGTCGGAGGTAAATTTGTGTCAGGATATTTCATACTAATGAGATATTTTTACCCTAAACATATGAACCCAATTATACGTTCTCACTACTTACTCGTGTTATTACCTGCAATTGATTAATAATAGTTTACTTTCTTATTGAGTAGGTTTGTTAGTCAAGCGGCCCGGAGGCCCAACCCAGAGGTTAATTAGTTAAGCTGACCAGCGCCCATTTATCTATGACTTACCTACGTGTGATTTGAACCGGCAAACATATGATTACTGGGCGCCTTCACTTCCGAAGCGCCACAATGCCACAGCTGCGTGTGTTTATTTGTTGTGTGTTGTGTTTTGTTAGGAGAAGGAGAAGTTGGCGAGGCAGATGGAGCGAGCGAGGAGGGAGGTGGAGAAGAAGAGTAGTGAGTTGAGTAAGACGGAAGAGGCACTCATCAGGGCAGAGAAGGGCAAACAGCAACAACAGCAGAGGATAGAGGAACTCACCCAGAACGGTACCAAACTACTAGACAATTTTCTTTTTCCCCCACTTCCAAATTTTTACAAATAAGTTACTGCTCCCACAAACTTATTGTTATGAAATTTGACATGCAGACTAATTAGGCCATGATAAACATATTTGGTTTTCATAATCAACCTTGTAAAACCACTCATTACACAATCAAATTGATGCTCTTGTGAGGTTGCTGAAAAAGAAAAAGAGCCAAAAATAATGATATAAAAATTGCTATTTCGATAAAAAATGATTTCAAAATCGGGTATTGCAATCGGGCACCATACTTTTACCGTAAACAACTTCGTTCACAGGACTCATCTGGATCACAATGGGTACTATGGTTCACAATGGTTCTACTTTGGTTCTAACTTAGCTTTGATGTAACGAATACGCCTGGGACGTCGAATACGTCTGATGTCTTTGGGAAAATAACAAATTCTCGAAAAATTTCACTTATTTTTATCAGAGAAACAACTAAGGTTTCGGGTGAAGCCCAATTTTGACCTAGTTTACAATTAAATTTCAAGCCTGACACGGCTTGTTTTCAATTGTCTCGGACTAGTCGTGGGTCATTTTACTTATTACGATTAATTTTGGAGCTTTCAAATTGAGAAAAGAGAAATCGAAATCTTTGTATCTGATTATTAATTTAAAAAAAAACCCAAATCATAACTAAGTACAACAAACCTTATTTCGCTATTTCATGAATTATTTTTTACTGATTACACAAACCAGCTAACGAACGCAGCGTTATATTACTAATTTATTTTTGTCCAGTACAACTCGCCGCAAAATGCTCAATTACAATTTTTAATCGGTTTTTCGAAAGTTATTGTTTTTGAATCCCTGGCTTTTTCTTTATCCATGGTTTTCTTTTAGAGCGTAACCTGTTGCTGGAGTTGGAGAAGCTGCGACAGAAGAAGGGAGGGGGCAAACCGGGCAATGGAGCCGTGTCTCCTAACAGGTTCGAATAATTTAGTTATTGAAAGAAGACTCTCTGGCTAGTTCTCGTTTCAGTCAATCAATTTTTGTTGTTTGAATTTTTATTCAGTTGTGTATCGCCTGCACAAATTCAAAGTTGAAGGTTTTTGAAAAAACATGTCAGTATTTTTTTTTCAGTTTTTTTTGCGTTCATTGCTCTTTGCCAACTATCAGTTGGCTATGGTTTTTGTTTTGGCCATTTAAAATGGGGAGGAGTTTTGTATTCAACTGTGTTTTAGTTTTTTTTCTTTGTTTTGTTTTCCACGCAAAGTCAGGTACCACAAAAAATCATCGGATCGGTTCAGTGATATATCATATAAAAGCCTTGTCAGTCGTGATCCGAACAACATGTAAAAGTTTTCAAAACACCTCCCAGTAGCCAGAGAAACTGGTTTGAAGGTTTGAGATTCAGTCTAATTTCGAGCGAGTAACGCTCGTTATATGGAAATTTACTTTTTTAAAGACTTTTAGGATAAAAAAACTTGATTTTACTATAAAGAGAATAAATTTCGGCTGTTTCATTTAGCGCTAACTTGACAAAAAAGGCTTTCTAAAAAATATCAAATTGTGCAAAAAGTTAGAAAAAAGTTGAATATATATTTTTTAAAAATGTATTTTTAAAAAAGTATTTTTTTTAAAATTGTTTTTGAAAGTTTTTTTTTCTAAGTTTTTTTTTACTTTTTGCTTTTTTATTTTTTTGCTTTTTATTCATTTTTTGACGACAAATGTTGTCGACTATACCTAATTCACTGATTCTCGAAGCGATCTTATGCTTTTCGAATCACACCACCCATTAAAATTGACACTAATTTGAAGAAAAGTAGAAACAAAAACAAGTTTTTTCAATTTTTTTATGAATATGAAAAAGTTTTACCAGCATCGAGAAAATTAGATTTAAATTTTTTGATATGTAGTCCAAATTTGACCGATTAAAGCGAGCTTTTAATAGCTTGTTTGTAGTTAATTTAAGTCATGAAAATTAAGAATAAAGTTAGTTTTTGGAATTTTTTGCGCCATTTTCTGAATCAAAAATGCTAAAAAACAATCTACAGAAAGTTTGAAAATTTTGTTTTTCTAGTCATTTTTGTACGAAAATTGTTGTCCGTTTTGCCTACTTTACTAATATGACTGTCAAATATGCCTAGGTTTTAGTTTTTTGTTCAGATCCTTTTATCGCATTACGCAGAAAAAATGGCACTAATTAAATTTTTTATTTTTTTTTATAAGACTGTTGTCGGAGCATTCGATGATGCTTACACAGTAACAGCTTATCCTTATTTATAATAGTAATCGTATGTTGTTTTGTGTTTTAGACTGAATCAGATGTTGAAGTCGATTGAGCAGGAGAGGGACTACTACAAGAAGGAGCACGAGAAGTTGAAGAGGAAGAACCACAAGTTAGAATCAGAGAGACACTCCCAACACCACACATCCCCCACCAGGAGTAGCAAGGAGAAGGAAAAGGAGGGTGCTAGTGTGAAGAACGGAGCACAATATACAGCCAAGGTAACTAACTAAGCATGTTGGGGGGGGACTTGCATGTACGTAGGTTTTCGAAAGCGCTTATACTTGAACGGACGTACAGGTAAGGTAACAAATTAAGCATGTTTGAGGTCACATTCACAAACCTGTATGAACGTGGGAAGGCCCGGCAACAGCAGAAACATGCGTTTCAGAGGTAGCTAATACCGCTTGTTGTTCTCTGCGAAAAAAAAATTAGCAGCTCCTATCTTGGCATTTTCTTTACTCCTGCTAACATAGCCTCATAAAATGACATTGCCGCGCTTCAAACTAATTTTAAAACTGTACTGGCTGTCGCTCAAGTTAGTTGACACTTAGGAGTTTTATAGGGTTTGGATACAAAATTTTGTGTTTGAGTTGGATTCCTAGTCGATCTTTTCAGACGATTTTTTTTCGTACTTTCAATTTTTTAAGGGTTGAGATCTGACTTAACATCGCAAATAAAAGATTTCATTTAATCTTCTAAAACCAGAGAACATCTTTTTCAAATCGCTACATTTTGCAGCATAAGAATAGCTTTCGAGAGAAACCAGGAACCAATTTTTAATTTTCTAATCTTTATTGTTTTTCCTCTTTTCTTCATTTAGAATTTGGTATTCCCTTTGTAAAAACAAGGCCGGAGTGAGATTACGTTTCTTTTTATCTGGAAAAACACCTTCTGGTTTTGGTTCTCTTTTTGCGGATATTTTTGTCCGCTCATCACTAAAAAACCAGTTCAATGTGTATGTGTATTATGAGAATAAACGTACGCTGTATTTTTTAATCCCTTTGTGGAATATGGTTAAATAAATAATATGATGAGTATGAGTCATGCTGGGAAAAGCTGTTGTGTGTAGTGTGTGTATTAAGCTTCCTATTTGTTAATACATCATCAGATCAGCTGCGGCGACTGAACTGAAGTGAGATGTTTAATGAATTGAATTGTTGTGTAATCTTCATTCAAACACAATTCAACAACAGAGTAGTCTAAATTTACCATCTAAATTATAAATCCACTCTTAAATTTTATCGTTTGTTTTTGTTCGTTTATTGAGCACCTATTTTGAAATGGACTCAAAATCAAAGTTATAATTTTGTATCAATTTTTTTGAATTACAAAATATATATACGATATAAAATTGAAATTTATGCTCATTTATTTATTGCCTCTCTATTATATACTTAATATTTCAAAATTGCCGAAGTTTTCATAATGATCACATAGTGTGGTATGGTGATTTATCTACTGTCAGTCATCTTTTAAAGTTTTTCCAGCAATGGGTGACCACTCAAGTTCTCAATCTGATTTTCTCGGTCTCCATTCCACACAGTTTTTATCTCTATATCTACATGTATAATGTCCCACACGCGCCATCGTTCCTTCGTGCGTCCCTGTGCACGTGTGTCATCCAGCAACAGCACAATCATCACCACCAGGAGATCCAGTCCAGCTGTAGTCAATCACGTGGCCCCCATTAGGGGAAGATGTTCGGCCAACTCCTGTTCATTCATGTCTCACCACTCCAACAATACTGCTGCAGCCACACAGAGGACAAACAAGTCAAAAAGTGGCAGAGCTAAAGTAAAAACATCTCATACGTTTGAAATCCACAGAATGAAGTAAAGTTTTGCTCTTCCGTTTCTTTACTGAGCGAAAGAAATGAGGATTGTATCGGAGCGTAAAATTTAAGCACCCAAAAAACAGCTGATGACGAGTTATATCAATGAGATTTTATTTTTTTTTACCTTATCAACTGAAAATTTTCTCAGCATCGAGAAAAGCTCATCTGTTTACTTTCAAGCACAGTGAACAAAATGTTAAATCGTTATAGATAATGTTTAAGAGTCAATGAAAGTAGTGAATATTCCGAAATAGGCCTTAATGATTTTAAGTTTGTTTTTTTTTTTCAGGCAAAAGCCTTCATTTTTGTGCACGCTATTTTTTGATTTTTCGCGGTTTGACTGATTCTTTTTAAGCTCATTTCGTATTCTTTGTTAAAAGGAAGGAAAACTCCACGATCGAACAGCGAAAGTCCTCTGCACTAGTTTTGAAAATGGAGTAAGCTTTTTAATTTTACCTATCGATACAGTTTTCACAAATAGGGTTAATTTTTATCAAAAAAGTGTCAATCAGAAATTTTCCTTGAAATTCAAAGAGCTCTAAGGCCATATATTTTAACTGATTTTTCTATTTCCTTTCGGTCATTGACTTTTTTCGAACTGTCTGTTGGCTATGTTTTTTCAAGAGTAGCTTATGAAAATTGGGCGCTCAAAAAGTCTCAGGAAAGTCTTCTGAGGAATTTTCTTCATGGCTATATCTGAATAGTCATTTTTTCATGCGTTCAGTCGAGATTCATTGATCATTTCTGTTTGAGTTCAATTCGAATTCATTTGCTAAAAGAAAAGTAAATAACGCTCTTCTTTTAAGAAAAGGAAATGGCGCGAAAAAAAACGGAACTAATTTTTTTTCTGTAGTGCAAGCTATTTAATAGTTTTCCCACAGAACTAGATTTTTCCTCTTCGTCCAGTTTTATCAGATTGGGTCAAGTTTAGCGTAAAAGCTTCAAGCAATAAAAATCCTGCATTTTAAAGAGCCTCAATCCTTCCTTCAGAATTCGAAAGTTAAAAAACTATTCATTAAAGTATTCAGTAATTATTGCTTGTTTTCCTTGAGTTCATCGATACTTTTCAAACTATCTGTTGGCTATCTTTTGCTTTTCAAGTTCGCATCAGATTCAACTGAAAAATTGAAAGAAATTATGCTTTTCAAATAACAAAACTGGATTCGGCGTGAAACACAGAGGTTGACTTTCATTTTCAAAAGTGGGTTAATAATTTAAGTTTTTTTCTAGTAGAATGAAAAATTGCTTTATGAACCAGTTTTCCGTAAATCCTAAATTGAGTCAAGTCACTTCGTCAAAACGGTGCTTTTTAAAGTTTTCGTGAAATTTCGAGAGTTTTGAGGCTCTCTTTTATTAGGCTCTCCTATAGTTTTCCATTAAGTTTCAACAATTTCCATTGTTTTTCCATTAAGTTCCAACGATAAAAGCTTCGTGAATTTGAACATGATTTAAGGTGATGTAAACTTTTCTATGAAACTCAGTAACTAAGAATTTTTCACCTTCTATGCGTTTATATTATGTTTATATGTTTATTATTCGTTGAAAATGTCTTAAAATTTGTTTACCCTCAAATTTGAGTTATTGACAATACCCTTTCAGTTCATTCACTGAATAAAAGAAAATTACAATCCCTAAGAAATAAAGTGCAAATGAAACAAATTAAAATGTGATGGCCTTTTAGGTTCAAAAGTTTTCCAGCGGAATGATTAAATTACCTATTGATCCAGTTTTCTCCACATTCCCTCAGTTTGCTGTTTTTTCCAGCTTTCTCAGTTTCCTCCTTGGGTTAATTATGAAGATTCTTCAAATTAAAAGAGCTATATAATATACACAGCGATCGAATTTATTGTTTCCTTTGAAAACGCTTCAAAAAAAATTCTGTCGTTTTTTGGCTGTCTAGAGTTCATTGACTTTTTTCACTTGTCTTTGTACTTTTTCTAAAGTGCCAACTAACGCAGTCAATTTCCAAATCATTAATTTTTTCATTCTTTTTTTGGGGTTTTTGCGCTTCGCAAAAGTTCTCAGAACAAATGTGAAATAGCCTGAAAATTCGCTCTCAGATTTGTAGTTCGTAACTTATCAACGGGATACATCTCCATCCAGCATAACCCAGATTGCGTTAGTCTTATCCAAAACTGACATTATAAATTTTTCCTGAAATTGGTTTCAAAGTTAGAAAAGAAGTCTGTTAATTTGCTCAGAAGCTTTTTGTACTGTTCACTGGCTATGTTTATAAACTCGTAGTTGGAGAGGCTCCGCTTCAGCAATAGAATTGATTAAGTTCAAGATTTGCAAGCCTTATCAAGTCTCAATTAGACTTTTCAGGTAACCTCTCATATAAAACCAGAACCAAGGCGTTATGGTGTCTTAGAGGTAACGCACATGCCTGCGAAGACAAAGGTCGTCTGTTGTTTGAATCCGGTCAGGGTTTGTTTTTTTTGTCGGAATATACGAAATTTTTTCGTATTTTTATTTGCAATTTTTGGACGCTTGTTTGAAATTTGTCTTCGTTTATCGATAAGAAAGCAATAACTAGTGCCTGCTCTAAATTTTTTGAAATTGTTTCTGATTGCAATAATTTGATGAGCTTGATGCAGGGTCTATCTCTCGCAATTTTTCCGATACAGTTTGCGTTCACAGCCTAACATCACTATCATTGTTGTGTTTATGTGTGTTTAGCAAGTGTCCCAGTTGGAGAGTGTGGTGAAGGCATTGGAGGATGAGAGAGACCACTTCAAGAGGGAGTACGAGAGAGTTAAGCTGTCTTCCAATGTGGCCGAGAAGGAGAGTCATGCAGCTACCACTAGTGCCCCCAACAACAGAAGTGGCAGTGTGTCCCCAACCAGACACAGGTCACCACAGAGGTCAAATCAGGTCAGCAGAACTAACCACTCTCTTAACTACTACGATTCGTGTACAGATGTTTTACTATTCAATTGATAAACTTTAATTGCAAGGTTGAGAAGTTAAATAATTTATCAAACTAGTTTAAATATTTTTGTCTATTGTGCACGTTAAATGACCAGAACAGATCACAGTCTTCTGTTATTTTTTCAATGGTGCACTCAATCGTAGCTATCAATCATTGGATCTCTTAATGTACACCCCTTATGGTACCTAGTAGCGAATCCCCCTCCCTTTTATTGTTAGAGAGGACCAGTTGAAGCTATCCAAATTAGGAGTTTGTTTTCTGGACTGTATCTTCACTTGAGCAAGAGTTGACATCATCATCATCAATTAGTACCATCTCTTTTGGGGAGTGTAGGCTGCACGAAGCAGTATTCGTCGATAAACTGCTTCTATAAGCGACGTTTTTGCCCTCTGAGTAGTAACGGAAGTTGGGTTGTATTTTATTGCTTTAATTGAACTATTAATGTGTAGTGGAATATGTTGTATGGTGTAGGTGGTGGTGGACGTGGAGGTGAGACGTCTGACGAGGGAGAACAGGGAACTGCAGAGCATGTTGGACAAGTGTGAGTTGCACATGAGTGAGATCAGGAGCAATGTCAAGATACTCACGCAGGAGAACGAGAAGACCAGGAGTCTCTACGAACAGGTCAGTCTGCTTCTGCTTCCCTCTTCTATTCCTTTGCCATCAATATCCCCTCTCTCTCTCTCTCTCTCTCTCTCTCTCTCTCTCTCTATCTCGCTCTATCTATCTATCTATCTCTCTCTCTCTCTATCCTCTCTCTCTATCTCGCTCTATCTATCTATCTATATTTCTATCTTCCATCTCCTCGATTCTCACTTACCCAGTAAAAAATAAAATAAATATTCATTTTCTTTCAATATCAATGTAACGTTTTTTTAATGGTCTTGGTGGAAATTGTCTTAATTGTTGAATAACTAGAAAATAGGTTCAAAATGGATGTTAAAATTTGTGTCGAGTTTTAGGCCAATGAGGAAGTGACTCGACTGCGGAGGGAGTTGATGAAGAGTCCCAAGAATGCGAAGGCATCTCAGGCCGCACAGGCCATACTCCAGGTATGAACAAACATAACCCCCATTAGTACAGATAGAATCGTCAATTCCCATTACTAAAATCCCCGGGTGGACAAAAAGGGCATTTTTCTTAGCGGATAACTCCAAATTTAACATTGATACGGCAATTTGTGGTCATGACATATGTCGAGTAATATCGAGTCAAAACTTAGTTGTTCAACAAGGAGTAAATTACTTGGTTAATGAAATAGATAGTTGCGAGAATTAAAGTAAATGCTTAGTTCAGTTTAGCAGTTGAGGTCAGAACTTTATCCTGAATAACAGTGAGGATGAAACAGATAAATGGACATCTAACAAACTATGTAGAAAACATAGCGAATGATCACGCACAGCGTGGTATTTAGTATTGGCCAAGACTATGACCTTGGTTAATAAGATTAACATAAATCTGCAACAAGACTGCAAAAAGACATGTTTATAACGAGGTACCGAAGGTCGCCTCACGACAGGTCACTTCTGGCCATAATAACTGCAACTATTGGACATCGAATTGAATTGAGCGTCTAAATACTATCATTTTTTCTATCTTGGTTATAAATTTTATGTTATGAAAACTTCTAGCGGGTTTCCTGAGATCCCCGTCTCCACACAAAGGGTTCGATATTTTAAAGGGGCTTGTCTTTCGGGGGGGGGGGGAGTAGATAAAGTAGTAGTGTAGAGTAAGTATTACAAAGCAATTGAGGAAAAGTGAGCAGAATCGGCATCCTATCTTTTTTTATCTCAATAACCCCAAATGTGTATGTATTGTGTGTTGTGCGTGTAGAGAGTGGAGAGTGAGCGCGATGATGCAGTGGGTGACTTGAGGAGGACTGGGGCTGAGAGGGATGCTCTGCGGGAGAAACTAGCCAATGAGCAGGCCTCCCACGTCTCAAACAAGGCCAGACTGGAGAGCGAGGTAAGTCATGATCGGTATTCTCAAATTTCGCCCCTCGCACGTTTCCCGCAAAACTTACTGGCACATTTCTTCCCACACACATTTCGCCCCTAAAATGTACATAAAGAAAGCGGCGGTTAATTAACTGTGTAATAAGTTAGGGTCGAACCGTTTGAGGACGAAATGTGTGAAATTATTAGGGAAGAAATGTGCCACTAGATTTAAGAGGGGCGAAATGTGTGTGTGGGGCGAAACGTGGGACATTCGTCATAATCGGGGTGTAGATGAGATGTTCTGATAGCTGGTTCTGGTCTTTTTTGTTTGTTACATTCCAATATGTTTGGTTGCCGTGAAACTTGGGTGTATAAACAGCTCAGAGTAGATACATCAAAAAACATAAATTAATTGAAAATGTGACGGAGAATCCGAAATTAAAGTGGGCAATGTTCTTTCTGGAGGTGAAGCCCGATTGTTACTAAGATAAGGATGATGAATTTTTGCTACTTATTATTTAAAGTTGATAATTGTTGTGCTATGTATGTGTTTAATTGTGTAGGTTGAGGAGTTACTGCAGCGTCTGCGTCCAGTGGAGTCTGAGAGGGATGAGTTGATGAGGAGGGTGGGATCCCTTAGGGAGATGGTGGCCTCACTTGAAGACCAAGTGAAGACTCAGAGCATGAAGATCAGGGGAGTGGAGGATGAGGCTCACGACTTCAAGGGAGAGTCACACCAGCTCAGGTAAGATGAGGTTCCCCTTAAACAGCAGAAAGGTTTAAGGAATGAACAAAGTCAACCTAGTCAGTATTTGGGTAGTCTGAGGCCCATCATGGTCTGCGTTTGTTGCATCACATTTGGTACTCATTCATAACTTCGTAAAATCAATGAATGTAAAATACTTCGAAAACCTATTTTTGTTGTCGTTGGAAAATCAAATCAGTCGAAAAATCATTCTCTCCGTAGACGCTGAACAAAAGGTGGCTGCTGTAAAAATTAGTTGTTGGTGTTGTAGGATGTTGGTGGAGCAGACAGAGAAGAGTCTGAGTGAGACGAGATACAGACTAGACAAGAAGACACAGGAGCTGGGACAGTCGGAGGACACCAGGGCACAGCTGGAACTGGATCTACACTCCACCAGGTAAGGGCAAGAGATGGGATGGGAAAGGAAGGGAGGGGAGGGGAGGGGAGGGCGACGCACACACAAACCCAGTTAGTTTTCCCAATCGCAGAAGTTCAGTCGAAAACTGAGTCTGAGCAAATATGCGAATGAGAAATGACATCTTGAGCTATTGGTGTTTTTTTCGAATCAAGTGGTCAGAAGAGATAAAAGTAGAGGTCCGATTGTCAAACCAATGAATTTATTTGCATACAAGTAGAGCAAGACGTTTCTGAGTGCGTTAACACATTTTCAACTGTTAGTTTTCTAGGTTCTTGTTACGCTAGCGGGCAGCTAGTGTTTTAGTACAAAACTTCTTTTTTTTCTAACCTAACTCGCAAATTAAAGTGTTCGTTAAAAGTTTTCACTTGTGCGCCTTTTTGCTATAATCACGATATGTAGCTGTTCTCGGCTTTATTTGTGGCTAGTGTTTGTGATGGAGTAAGCGTCCGTGGCTTAGTGGATGTTGCTTGAGACTAGCAATTTCTAGGTAGCAGTAGTTCGTAGGTTCGAATCCGAGACGTCGACGAATTTTTACTAAGTCGAGGCTTATTTTTACTTCTTCATTTTGCACTTTTTAGAACTCTAAAGCTGCTTTTTTTCGTGTTCTACCTAGTGTTTGCGAAGCACAGCTTCGCCTCTGCGTAAAAGTTATTTCTAGACAGCTCAATCTTGTGAGTTTGCGCACTACTTTTTATCGGGTGCCGCAATGATTCGCAGCATAAGACAACTCGCACAAAAGACAAATCGAAATTTTTGGAGAAAGACTACTAGCAAAAAGAGACAACTCGGATGAAACTCGTGCCAAATAAAAGTTCGTTAAAAGAGCGACAGATCATTATTTTGACAGTTTTTAAGAGTATGTGACATCTTTTGTTGCAATTTTCATTTAAGGATATTTATAGTACTTTTCCCCGGATTTGAACCGAATCAGGCGTTTTTTCGTTAGACCTTGTTCGTTTTTGTCTCCTGAAAAAACTTTGATACTTTTTGGTGAGCGTAACCCATTCCTGATTGATTTTTTTGCCACTCGGCCTTCTCGAAATGAAAATATTTTAACGTGCAATGTTAGGAACAATATGAGCCGAAGTTGCAGCTTTTTGAAATCTTTTTAGCTACCACTTTTTCCAGTAAATATCTAGCAATAATACATTAAAATCATCAATGAAGTGTGATTGACTGAATTTGTGTGTGATTAGAGCGCACCTGAAGAAAGAAAAGGAGGAGGTGAATAGACTGAAGAGTGTGGTGGCCCAGCTGGACCATGACAAGGACACTCTCCAGAACGAACTGGACCTCAAGGTCGAGAAGGTGGCCAGTCTGAACTCGGAGTTAGACAACAAGGTACAGTAAGGCATTGCAAGTGATTTTTATTGTATGACAAATCATACTGTTTGTGAAAGTTCTTTTTTATTTCGACAAAATATCTGGTTCTATGTCGACAATACCTTTGTGTCGAATATTTTACAAACTTGGTCGTTACATGTTTTATTTTTGCAGATGATCATCCAACTGTAGTTTGAATTGTCTGCCATTGTCTTTTCCATTTAATACCTAATTTTAATTATTTTTTATCTCTACTAGTATTCTTCTGATTATGTGTATCTGTGTGTGTTGTAGCTGCACCAGATCTCCTCCATGTCTGCTGAGATGGGTGAAAATGAGCAGCAGATGCTGAATCTGAATGACACTGTGGCGGCCAGGGAGAGGGAAATCAAATCACTCAGGTAACACATCATCAGAGGGGAAGAGAGTAAAGAGTTAAGGGAAGCCAAAAGAGATTCGATTCAAAACTCAGTGGAACAATTCGAAATAAAAACTTCATTTAAATTCGAACATCGGTCTGAATCAAGAAGTTTGCGCTCACACTGTTTTTTTTTTAAATTTTTTGAACACTTGTCCCAACTAATGGTCCGTTTTTATATTATTACCTTCTTTCCTGTACTGTATATTAAAGTGTGTTCTAATTGAGGTGTGTATTTATGTGTGTTAGAAGACAGTTGGATGCGAAGACCTATGAGTGTGAGGAGACATTGAGGCTGAAGGACAGTGGCTCCATGGAGATCAAGAGACTCCAGGAGGATCTGGCAGAGATGACCAGGGAGTGCCAGGTACACAATTTATATCACCCTTGTAATTAGCAGACAAATATAAGACAGAAAGAGTTTGCTCATGACTCTTATCTGTTTGTAGGACCCCAATTTAAGGTTCCTAATCATACATGCTCCAGGAAATCATCTCAACAGGAAATATTTCTATACTCAATAATGAAGGGTCCAATCCTAAGTGACGCGGAACTCATGTTGTTATTTTTTTCTGAACTAAGAGATGTGTATCTATGTTTGAGTGTCATGTCATTGGATCTCTTTCTGGTGTTCATTTTTCCATTTGCGATTGATCGCTCCCAATGATATACTGCAGATTGTTTTTCGTTTGTGTCCATCATTGGAGTGGAGAGTATTACATGGGATCTATTTAAGAGTGGTTTTCTGTTTTTGATCATTGCTTTATTAGCTCTTTGTTGTTTACTCTTTTGTGTTCTTATCCATCATCTCTGATGTGTTGTTTGTGTCTGCTGCTGCAGAGTATGCTGGAAATGCCCAGATACAGGAAATATTGGGTATGTGTCACCACCCCAGTTGCAGCCGACCATGATTACCCAGCATGAACATGCATTTGTCATCAAATCAATAAAACTACTTTTTCGATGTTGTAATGGTCCTATCAATTAAGAGAAAAGTTCATTGTTGTCACGTGTAGTTGATGTATGAAGTTATTTTTTTTCAGCTTATTGTTCCCACTGCCAAATTTTGAATAATTTAACGAACTAAGTGGAGACTACGAATTGTAGCATGGAGTGTTATAAACTAATTTGGAGGATATTAGAAAGAAACATTCATCATTTTAGAAGTTCAAAAATAACCATCTATTTTAATTGGCGCATATACTTTTGTGTCTCGAACTATAATCGACATTCAAATATTACTAGTTTTGTTTTAGTCCATCTCACAACAACTGACTAGGACTGAACAAGATAGAGATGAGCTGAAGGCGAAAGTGATGGCCTACCACAAGGAACTGCAGAGACAGGAGGATATCATAGCTGCGCAGGTTCGATTCCCAACGGCTGCCTTTTGCTTCCCACTCATTTTTTGTCGATTTCTACTCGACAATTGCTATGATGCCTCTCATGAGAATAAACTGCAAAAAATATTTTTTGACAATTTTTTGCGCTTAAGTTGCTCTAGACTTTTGTTTACATAGTATATAATTTTATTGGCTCAAAAGCTTAATCCTATAAGTGAATCTTTTTACTATTCGTTGTTATCGTTACTACAGAAATGATTTAAAATAAGCTGACAAAACGCTTTAAACTTGAAATGTAAAACGCGTTTTTCTCAAATTGGGTTGGCTTCAGGTAAAACATTATGAAGACACAATTTGCCTTGAATTTTAACAGAAATAATATGATGCAGTTTGTATTGCAAATTTTGGGCTCACATTTTTACCCCAAAAACTTCATTTTGTCTTTTTTCAAGCTTTGTTCGTTTGTACGGATAGTTTTGATCAGCTCTGTAGAAGCTGTTAATCTTTTCAGTTGATGACAAAAAACTAAGCGTTTGAGAGTACAAATTAGAATTGTGGGTGTTTGTGTGTGTTAGGAGCAGGAGAAGAACCACTTGTTGGGCAGCTACAGACAAGCACAGACGGAGTGTGCCAAGCACGAGAACGACAGCCACACCTACCAGACGGAACTGTCTTCTGCCAGACTGGAGATTGTGAGCAAGGAGGGGGAGGTGAGGAGACTGGAGGAGAGGCAGAGGGAGATGGAGAGAGACATCAAGGAGGTGACGGCAGCACTCATTACTCATAATTGGGTTTTAGAACGCAGCCGTTCTTTTTTGGATCTCTTAAACTATGTCCTCCTCGGTACCTAGTAACGAATATCCCTCCTTTTGCAAAAAGGGGTATAATTAACGAGATCCTTTTTTAAGTTTTTTTTTTAATCTCACCAAATGTTGTCGAATGTGATTTATTTTTCGCACCTCACATTTCCAATTTTCAGAGTCAGCAAATCGACATGCATTGATGCTTTTTAATGTTCTCTCGAGTGAATAAGAAATGATTCAAAAAATGAACTGTTATGAACTAAAACGCTTTCTCCGTGACAATTTTTTCGTATCCTATTTGTGTGAAATATTAGGAAATGTATCAGGCGCAAAGTGTGTGTAGACCAGTTCTGACTTCGCGGTTGATGAAATATAAGTCTGTAATGGGGCCATTTAGCTGTTTTGTAAGTGGTCATCTTGTCAGTCACGAGTCTGCGCTATTATGCTTAGGGTTCACAGAGGTTCCATGTGCTTTATTTAGATTAGAAATTTTCATTTTAATTGGAGGTATGTGCTCTTGTTTAAAGCAATCAAAGCTCAAGAACTCACCCAAATGAAGAAAAGTCATTTTTGGGACCTGAAAAAAAAAGAAAGTGCCATAAGAAATGACGTTCAAAGTCTGTAGTTCTAAAATAACATCAATCAACTGCCAATTATTTTGCAATTTCAGGCGCGCATACAATAAAAAATAAAGCTTTCAATCAATCTAGCACCTAATTAATGAAAATCTAGTTTCGTTTTTGGTGCCTATGAGTAGTTTTTTTAGTGATTCTAGAATACTAATGTGTACGTGTGTTGTGTTGTGTGTGTAGTACCAAGAGGCCTCAATGCAGTATGAATCACAATTGTCCCACCAGAACAGTACTTTGCACTCTCTCGAGAATCAACTGAAGGGACTGCAGAATGACAAGGAGGCTGTGTTGAGTGACTTGGCTGCAGTGAGGGAACTGTGTGTCAAGCTGGACTCCACCAAAGACACTCTCCAGAGGAAACTGGCGCAGAAGAACATCGAGTCAGACCAGGTATGAAGTTCATCTATATGTGCTAATAGAAGGTTTTTCTATTTAAACGGCCAGAAATTACATGAGCTTCTGGTTTTATTGAAGTGTAGATTTCAATTCGCTTGATGGAATTAATTAATTAATTTCGAACAATCAGATTCGAGCGCTATGATGCAACATGAAAAAATCGCTTTCGTGGTACAGTGCTGATTTAAATTAACCGTACAAAACGCGTTAAACTTGAATTTTAAAACGGATTTTTCTCAAATTGGGTTGAGTTTAGGTGAAAGCTTATGAAGACAAAACTTGCTTAAAGTTTCAGCAGAATTAATATGGTGTAATTTGTTTTGCGAAATTCGGGGCCAAAATTTCACCCCAAAATTGAGTCATTTTGGTTTTTCTTAGTTAATCAAAAATTACGCCGAAAATACCCAGTCAATCACAGACATAATTATATCAAAGTGAGCCCCTTACGTAGCCCAACAAACTTTATGAAGGGTATAATCTCCAAAAAATGCAAATTGTTTAAAAATTGTTTTTAAATAAAAAGTTGGTATTTTATATAGTAAAAATGACCTTTTTGTCTATCAAACAAAAATAAATTAACTTATACAATATTTTGGAGATTATACCCTTCATAAAGTTTGTTGGGCTACGTAAGGGGCTCACTTTGATATAATTAGGTCTGTGATTGACTGGGTATTTTTGGCGTAATTTTTGATTAACTAAGAAAAGCCAAAATGACCCATTTTTTGGGTAAAATTTTGGGCCCGAATTTCGCGAAACAAATTACACCATATTATTTCTGCTAAAATTTTAAGCAAGTTTTGTCTTCATAAGTTTTCACCTAAGCTCAACCCAATTTGAGAAAAACGCGTTTTAAATTTCAAGTTTAACGCGTTTTGTCCGGTTAATTTAAATCAGCACTGTACCACGTGAAAGTTCTAGACGCGAAAAAACGGCCTTGAGTCGCAAAAAAAGAGCTTCGCTGAACAAAATAACAGTCTGAGTGTGTGTAGTATGAATTTAATACTCCATCTCTAATATGTATGTGTTTGTGTGTGTAGCTTGTGAACCAGTTGGAGGATGCGAGGCAGGAAGTGGAGCTACTCAAGAAACAGATCGAGAGTGAGAGTCAGACTATCAAGAACCTGGAGGACCTGCTGACCTCCAACAGGGAGAAGGAGTTCGCCTGCCAGCTGTCCAGTCAGGAGAAGGAGACGGAACTACAGCTGTACAAAGAGAGACTCGCTCTCTCGGAGAACAAGAGGTCAGTACTCGCACTCCTAATGATGTAACTAACATGTTTAAATATAAAAGACATTCTAGACGCATTGTAGTAGAATTTCATTTTCATTGATTCGAGGAGTACATAAGCTTTTTTTAATGTTGAAGTTATTAAGATGTGAGTAAAAATAAAGAAGGAGCGAAAGTATTCGGCACGTTGGTCTTGCTTTATATTAGAATCGAGTCATCTAATAACTCACTTTTCATCTTAACCAATTGGTGGTTTAAGAATGGAAGCGGATAAAAGTTTCGAATACAATTGGTTAGTAAATATTCTTCCTCTGTTCTCACGCTTTTCCCCAGTTTCTGGGGTCTTTCCGAAATCTATTTTTGTTCTGTATGATTTTATGATACCTACGTAGTAATTTAAATGGATTTTTATTGTTTCCTTTTGCCACTATTTAAAAAACTGCCAGAAACTAAGTTTTCAGACATGACAAATTTCTCAAACGAATTTTTTGCGAGTTATCGTTTTGATCATCTAAAGGTGCTGTTTTAAAAGTTATCGGACGGGCAGTTAAGTAACTATGATTTTTGAATAGCCTCATATTCTGCATTAGTGATGATGACTGTGTGTTGTGTTTTGTGTAGTGGTTCACTGCAGCGAGAGATCCAGAGCTTCAAGACTAGACTGGGAACAGCCGAGGCAGAGCTGGAGAGGAGCAGACGCCAACTCACCAACGAACGATTCGAACGGTGACTATAATCTATTCACTCTTTATAAATGCAGAACACGAAGAGACATATAAAACTGAGAGGTACAGACCCATTTAGGGGGTGAATTCTCATGACAGAATTATCGAAATGTCTTTTTTAACCAATCAACGGGTTTTAAATTCTCAAAAGTTTCACGCTTTTTGAACAGGATTTTTTGGTATTGACTATTTATTTGGCGATATATTTTCGGGTCTGAGGTACTAACCAGCGGCCCTTCGAATGGTAATAGACACAAACTGGTTACTGATTACAATTGTCAGTTATCGTTCAAATTGGTTCTCTGATCATGCTTCTTGTTTCTTCTCAGTATATCGGAGAAGTGGCCGTGTTGTTGTCATTGTTGTGTGAGTGAATAGTGCTGTTATGTTGTAGGGAGCGAGTAGAGCAGGACCTGAGGAGAGTGAAGCAGGGAAGATACTCCAGCCCCACCAGGTAAACAAATCAGTACCCTGTTCGTCACCAACTTGCTATAAACTGCTTTTTGTCGTGTTCTCCCTAGTGTTTGCGAAGCTTCATAAGGATGCTTAATTTGAAGTTCTCTAGTTTGATAGCTCTTACCATTCAACAGGTTCGAAATTTAGGATTAGATTTTTTTTAAATCTTAACTAACGAGAATGTTATTCATGAATATGATCTAACAAACAATGCATATGAGTAGTGGCTATGTCTGCACCTCTCAATCGAATGTTTGAGGCCCTCCATGATATGTGATCGTTGCTTGAGGGTGAGGCATCATTACCCTGCCCAGAAAAGTAACCAAAAAATTGCATGTAATTCTTAACTAGGGGCACAACAGCTGTTATCTGTAACAGTTCGCATGTTGGTCCTTTCCGTTGTGGATAAATCGTCTTAGATGCAATCCTGACTAAATGTTTGCCCTAGGTCCCCCTCCCCTACAAGGGTGCGAGTAGTGTCCCACTCCTTCTCTCACTCGCAGGGGGCTCATCACAGTAGTAGCATCTCTGCTACCAATGCTGCTGCGGCTAATCCAGCAGTCGTCATGGACCCCTGTTCATTGTGTGGCCAGACCACACTATGTCCAGAGCGGTCATAGTTATGGATTGAGATAATAATATCAAAGGTTGAAAAGCGGCCATAGCATATCATCATGTCTATACTAATCACTAGATGGAAAAACACAGCACAGCGACAATAAGCAAAAATATCGTTCTTAGCAAATCAGCTTAATTAAATATCATCAAAGTTTTTAGACAGTAGAATTTCATGCGTACGATGGACTTAGCGCGAACTAACTTAGTTTGCGCGACCAGAGATTTCAACAAAAAGTAAAAATAAAAACGAGGCAAATGTTACCATTTCTGAAATATCCGCGCGTTTATTTTTTTTTGAAAGAGCCACGAATGATCTTTCATTTCTGTTCAGGAGCAGTGGAGTTGAAAGATCTACAGAAGAGCGCAGATACAATTTGGAAGACTGATATGATCAGCACGTTTAACCATACCTGCTCGCAAAAATTATCCTCTCTTCTGTCGACCCTTATCAAGGATCCTTTTCAACATATCCGACCCGATCTAGCCTTCTTAGCGTTTCAGTCTACTTAAGAGAAAACTCCTAGAGTTTGTAAACTGAAACTATCTCAAATGTTACCCGATGTCAATGACCAATTTTAAAAATGCTGCTAAACTAGTAATAAAATAATGATTGAATCGAATATAGTGTGACGCAATTTGTAAATTCTGTTACTTTCTTATTTTTTTGCGATTAAATCTTCTACAATTCTTATTTTGATTTCAATGAATCGTCAATTCAATGCCTCTCAAATAAAACCCAATGTGTAATGTTATGTACAATAGTTTTTGGCCCATCACTTAAAAATAACCACCAGATTAGTTCAGTTGTGAACTTGAATAAAGAGTTGCTGCTTTTGATTTGGTTTGGAGTCACTCAACTTTATTTGTACAGTTTCCTATGTCGATTTCAATTAACTGTTTCACCCTCTCTTCGTATTCACATCTCTCAGTTCAACTAGGGGCGTATTAAAGTGGACATGGATGCACTGACTCACCCTCTCTTAATGAGTACATCCTCATTCTAATTGTTTTTAAAGGGTGACTGAACGTCGTGAAGACATTTAGATAAAACTTTTTTAAGGTGTTCGTTTTTTAAAAGTCTCCCATAATCAAATTGGTTTTTAGTTTGCTTTAAAAAATGTTTTAATTTACAGCTCACTAGTGCAATAAATGTTTTGATCAGCATCCCTTGACCTATTTTCTCTTCACGTTTCCACGAATAATCATCAGAATGAGTTAGAGTGATAAATCATATTAATTAAGCCCTATCATTCGTGAAAGTTAGTTTTTTGAGTTTTAATGCTTTTTGGAATTCAGAGTACTTCAAAACACGTAACTAGTAATTTGATTTTTTTGAGAGTCATGAACGTAGTGAATTCTTATATAGGTCTTGCTGATTTGTTTTCAGGAAGAAGTCATAAAATATTGATACACCTAGGTATAATGGACTTTTTGAGTTCAATTGAAATTCATCTGCTGAAAGTGACGTAAAAAGCACTCGCTAAATACAAATGTGGAAATGGCGCGAAAAAACGTGAACGATTTCTAGTTTCGAAAGAGGAATTTACTTTTAAGATTTCCCAGCGGAATGAAAACTTTACCTGTTGATCCAGTTATCTCAAGTTGGGTTCATGTTATCAAAAAAGCGTCGATCATAAAATTTTTTTAGAAATTCAAAGAGCATAAAGGAATCTATTTTTTCTTTAAAACTCGAAAGTTGACATTTTTTCCGTTTTTTTTATGTTAACTTGCGTTCATCAATCTTTTCCAATCTTCAATTGGCTATGTTTTGTTTTGCTAGTCAATTTTCTACAGAATTTTAGTCCAATTTGTTTAAATAATTATGATTGTCGAATATGCTTAGTCTCCAGTTTTGCGTTTAAATCCTTTTTTATAACGCAGAAAAAAAAACTTAGTGACTCTCTATGTTTGATCGGAACATGCTACTTGCAGAGTAACCGGATATCCTGGTTTCAAATTGGGTTTGTTTTATAAAGAAAGTTGGTTGAATCATAGATTCTTGAACTTTCAAGAGCCCTTACTTATTGTATTTTGTCATCAAAAGTTGGAAAATGTACCCACAAAAAACAGTTAATACTCTGCTATTAAAAAATTCTTCCATTTTTGTTTGTCTGCTAAATTTGTCGTCTTTATTGCTTTATTACTGACATTTTTTTGCTACAAGCAGTTCTCATTAAAATTGAAAGTTTTTTCTAGTTTTTTTTTAAATTTAATAATTTTATTTTTATGCGTAAAACCTTCATTTTTCTTTAATTGATTTGACTACACAGATTTCCACTTTTTTGATGATTTTTTTTCGGCTTAACGGCAGTTAACCTACTGGCAGTTTAATTGCTGTTAGTAAATGTTTTTGAATACTTAATTAACACCGGCTATTGCGGCTATTGTGTATCTGGACGTGTATTTCTCTAACTGAACTTCATTTCCAAAAAATTTGAAGTTTTTGGATTTCCTTTCTTATTTTGTCTGTAGGCTTGCTATGCTAAAACGCTGTTAAATCGCAATTACTGCAACTACTGCTTTTTGCTCTATCAAACAAGCACAGTGCAAACGAAATGCCTTCATCTAGTGTCACTGGCATCAAAAACAAGACATAATCTACATCAAACCTACCAGCAAGTAAAGCATTGGCCAAGATAATTTTTCAGCTAGAGCACCGTTTTTTTTTCGTATCAGGAAATTTGCTGGAGAACCCATAAAATAGATTTACTGGGTAAACCTGTTTACTTCTACCATTCATAACAATCATGACCTCATAAACGACAAAAAGATGAGCTACATACAAGTATTGTTAGTATGATTGGCTAGAGAAGCCATATCGGGATTCCTTGGAAACACTATTTTTACCCGAACAAAAAACGATACCTTTCTGGTCATTTACGCTGCTTTTTGCGAAAAACGTGTTCAAATTTTTCAGTGCTCATGTGTTTAATACTGAACTAAAGTGAACCTGTTTGCTGAGAATAGCCAGGAATAAAATATATCTTTCATAAAATTGAAGCGGAGAGAACACTCAATTGACAAAAGCTTGGAATATCGCGTGTTTCTCGATTTCAAGATGTCTTTGAAAGTAGTAATGGATTCTTTTTGTTACCACATGTTTTTCAAATAATGTTATTTTTGAATCTTTTTGGTAGAATCGATTGAATATGTAGCTTTTTCATTACATTTAAGGATCAAACCCTCTACCAAGCGATGTTAAAGAAAAACAATGACTGACATCCTGCGAATAAGTACTGAAAACGGCTTGATATGGCGTCAAATCCGTAAAGTCAAGATTATCTAGACTGTCAAAACATACGCAAAGGGAAAATGTTCAAGTTTCGCTACTTTATAAACTAAAGGACCCGGGTTGAGGTCCGCGACTTAAGAAAAGACTTTATAAGTCGCGCCGCATACCATTTTCAGACTTGATTTCGCAGTCGCGCCGTGTGCTTAAGTCGAACCGTCAGTCTATTATTAAGTCGCGCCGTCAGTCTTTATTTAAGTCGCGCCGCTTAAGTCTTTTCTTAAGTCGCACCGTCAGTCTTTTCTTACGTCGCGCCATCTTTTTTTTCTTAAGTCGCGCCGTCAGATTTTTCTTAAGTTCAGCCGTCAACTTTTTCTGAAGTCGCGCTGGTCGCGCCGTTACTTAAGGTTGCGCCGGTTCCGACGGTTGTTTAAGTCGCGCCGGTCGCGGCGGTTTTTTTTTCAGTCGAACCGATCTTCAATTGCAAAGAGTCGGTCGCGCTTGTCTGGAATTGCCAATATAAAGTCGCACCGGTCTAGAATTGCCAATTTTGAGTCGCACCGGTCTTTTCTAAAGTCGCGGACCTCGACCCGGCGGATATAATCAATTCCGAAAGTGTGTTGGCTCTCTTTTGTAACTGCTCACTCCGTTATATTATTGTACTTGTCGTACTCCTTAAAGCCTTAGGTTAAGAATTGTTGACTCATTGTTTGAACTTTAAGAAAAAATTTTTTCATAGTCTACCACTTCTGAGACTAATGGTCCAATGAAAATAACGACGATGAAATTTCCCTGCGTAA